CTTTCTATCATTCATTCTTTCTTTCTCTCTCATTCTCTTTATTGCTCATCCTTTCTCTCATTCTCTCTCTCATTCTCTCACTTTCCCATTCTCTTTCATTCTCTCTCATTCTCATTCTCCCAATCTCACCCTCCCATTCTCTTTATCTTTCATTCTTTCTTTTTCTCCTTATCTCTCATTCTTTCTTTCATTCTTTCTCTTATTCTTTCTCATTCCCTCATTCTCTTTATATTTCATTCTTTCTCACTTTCTCATTCTCTTTACCGCTCATTCTTTCTCATTCTCTCCCATTCTCTTTCATTCGCTCTCGTTCTCATTCTCTCAATCTCTCATTCTCTCCCATTCATTCTTTCTCATTCTTTTTCTCCTTATCTCTTTTTCTTTCATTCTTTCTTATTCTTTCTCATTCTTTCATTCTTTCACTCTTTCTCTCATTCTCTTTATCTCATTCTCTCCCATTCATTCTTTCTCATTCTTTTTCTCCTTATCTTTTTCTTTCATTCTTTCTTATTCTGTCATTCTTTCATTATTTCTCTTTCTCTCATTCTCTTTATCTCATTCTCTCCCAATCTTTCTTTCATTCTCTCATTCTCATTCTCTCAATCTCTCATTCTCTCCCATTCTCTTTATCTTTCATTCTTTCTCATTCTTTTCCCCCTTATCTCACATTTGTATTTGTATTTGTATTTATTAGATTTATATACCACCCTTCTCCCGAAGGACTCAGGGCGGTGAACAGCCAAATAAAACACAACAATATATAAAATTTAAAAAACAATTTAAAACAAATTAAATGAATTTGGCCCTTACGCATTAAAACACTCCCCTTTTTAAAAATGAATTAAAATTAGCAATTCTTTCTCTTTCATTTTCTTATTCTTTCTCATTCCCTCATTCTCTTTATATTTCATTCTTTCTCTCACTTTCTCTCATTCTCATTCTCTCTCATTCTCTCCCAATCTTTCTTTCATTCTTTTTTTCTCCTTATCTCTCATTCTCTCTTTCTCTCCCATTCTCTCTCTCTCTCTCTCTCTCTCTGTGTGTGTGTGTGTGTGTGTAAGGTGCAATCTTTGCACCTTGTTAGCCTCAAAAATAAACCAGGCTAGGTATCTGGTGGGCACAGAGCAGGGTGGGGGGCTCTGGGGCCTTTGTGAAGACCCAGGGGCACCATAAGAGGGACTCCCTCATCCACAGCACGGTCTTTCATCCCCAGGGAGGGTACAGGCCTCCCACGAAGCCAAGAGGGGAGAAAGCCTTGCTGGTACAGTGGTCTAAGCACCCTGTTATTAACACAGCTGCCTGCAATTTACTGCTGGTTCGAATCTCTCCAAGGCTCAAGGTTGACTCAGCCTTCCATCCTTTCTAAGGTAGGTGAAATGAGGACCCAGTTTGTGGGGGCAATAAGCTGACTTTGTATAAATATACAAAAGTATGAAGGCTATTGCTTAACGCATTGTAAGCCGCCTTGAGTCTCCGGAGAAGGGCGGCATATAAATCAATTTTTTAAAAAAAAAGCGTGGAAAGGGGAGACATTTGGGTGTGTAAAGGTAGACTGTCTTAAAATCCGATGCTCTCCATTGTATTTGTCGGAGGAATCCATGCATTGCAGTTGATCCAACTTCTTTGCTCCAGGCACAAGAGCTTTGCTCTCTCTCTCTCACACACACACAACTTGCTCTACTGGCCTGTGACCGTCCCTCTGAGGAAGGAGCCGCAGGGTCCCCGGATCAGCCCCCCCAAAAGACACTGATCTCCTCCCAGGACTGCAACTCCCCCCATAGAGGACTGCTGTGCATGTGCAGAGGGGGGAGGCCTAATAGTGGGAGGGGGGAGACAAGAGGTTTCTCTGTGGGGCACCAAGCAGGGACCAGGTCTCGCTCTCTGGCTCTGCAGGGCTGTGGGGCAGCCGCAGGAGAAGCTCCCCAGAGCCAGCGACCTCTCCACTTACCTGAGTGGAATTGAGGGGGGGGGAAGAGGGACAATTCCTCCTTTCCAAGCATAGTCTATCACACACACACACCAACACACCCCAAGAATCGGATCTAGGTAGTCCTTGACTTACAACAGTTCATTTAGTGACCTTCAAAGTTACATCGATACTGAAAAAAGTGACTTAGGATCACACTTACGACCCTTTCAGAATCCCCCTGGTCATGTGATTTACATTCTGATGTTTGACAAATGACTCACATTTACGACGGTCCCGGGGTCACCCGATCCCCTTTTTGCGACCTTCTGACAAGACAAGTCGATGGGGAAGCCAGATTCACTTAACAACCGTATTACTAACTTATCAATCAATGGCAGTGACTCCATGAACAAATGTGGCCAGAAAAGTCGTAAAATGGGGCGAAACTCACTTAACCAATTTCTCACTTAGCGACATAAATTTTGGGCTCCGTTGTCGTCTTAAGTCGAGGAATACCTGCGCTTTATTGTATGCTGCCTATAATACAGGAATCTCCCCGTACTGCCAGCCTCAGCCTGGGAACCGACAGAGGAAGGCTCAAGGATTCAAGGCTAACGCCCCACTGAAGTCCTTTTCCATTCCTGGCTGGGTGTTTCCCAACACACACCCAGTGGTGGGTTGCCCCCAGTTCGCACCGGTTCTACAGAACCGGTAGTATAAAACTGGCGGGAAGCTCCGCCCACCAACCCCGACGTCATCAAAATGCTTCTGCGCTTGTGCAGAAGAGCATACACACAAGTGAGTGAAGCGAGCGTGTGCACGGCCCCCTTGAAAACCAGTAGTAAAGGTAAGTAGAACCCACCTCTGACACACAGACACACACACACCAATTGGGCCAGGCACCCTAGGAGCCCCCGATCCGAACACAACAAGTTTTCCATCTTACCAAGCTCAACAATTCCATGTGTGGCACAATCCCCACTGAAAACTTGACTGTTTGTTTGTGTGTGTGTGTGTGTGTTGTGGCCCGCCAATGGCCTGCACGGATTGTTGCTGATCCTGACGACGAGGAGGCTGGTGTGGTGCTGCGCCAGCAGCCTGTGCAGCCAGCACTCGAGTCGGACAGTGAGGAGGCTGGAGAAGATGTGGTGCCAGAGGCGGGGATTCAGCCAGGGCCTTCAGAACCTCCAGAAGCTTCCATAAGTGAAGAGGACAAAGAGGAGGAGCCTCTTCTCGATGCACGGGTGCACAGAGCCGCCAAAAAGCAGGAGTGGCTCCTCAGGAGGAGGGAGAGTAAGGCTTGGGGCTAATTGGCCACTCCCTTAGCCTATTTAAGGAAGAACGCAGTTTGCATCAAGCTGCAGGAAACAACTTTAGTTTGCTAATCATCGCGTTGGGATGTCTCTGCAACCTGGTTTCTGGGCTTTCTGCCAACTCCAGTAAGACTTTGACTATCTTATCTGTGGAATTCTGGCAGGCTGTTAAGAACGCTTATTAACAGCCGGCATTTGCTAAAACTGCGTTATTTGAATAAACTAAGTTTTGTTCAGAGTTTGTGTGTGCTGTGTTCTTTGGGATCCATAGCTGGGGCAGAACAGTGTGTGTGTGTGTGTAGGGTAGGAACGATTGTGCTTTTGCCCAGTGGTGAAATCTGAACCAGTTTGCTACCGGTTCGCTGGCTGTGCATGCAGTACACACCACAAGGAGGCTTGAGAATGTAAGTAGAACAGCGAGGGGGGGAATCAGCTGTGCCGTGAGATTCAGCTTCGCTAGAAATCAGGATTTCAAGCTTGTTAGCAAAGCTAAGCCGCGCGGGACAGCTGATCGTCGGAAAGCTTTTTTTAAACTACCGGTTTTCCCGAACCCGAGCGAACGGGGAGCATTTCACCCCTGCTTTTGCTTAGAAAATTGAGGAAGGGAAGATTAATTTTCTTTGGTCTAATAATTGATGTATTAATGACTAATTACAATGATTAAGTAAATGAATTAAGAATTCAATTAATGATTAATTAAGGTTTAAGAAAAAATATCTGAGTTTTGAGAATAAAAGTAGGAGGGAGAGTAAAATGATTGAGAAAATGAACTAAGAATATCTTACAGATGTATTACGAGAATTCTAGGCTCTGAATGATCTATTAGTGTTTGTTAATGTTTTAAAAACTCTTAGGCCTAAAGGATTATATGTTATTTTGAGTTTAAAGGGAGGTTGATGAATAATCTGTAGAAGGGGAGTTAAGGGTCTAGGGAGTTAATAGTCTTGCATTAGCTTAGCACATTTTAGCGTATGTTTGATAAAACTTATACCTTGTTTTTCTTCTGGGAAGCCAGGGGACGGGGGTGGAAGGTTGGGTTTATAAATGTTTAAATATACAAGTGAAAAATGTTATTTGTTTCATTATAAAAAATAATAAAACCTTTTTTTCAAAAAAAAAAAAAGAAAGAAAGAAAATTGAGGAAGGGCAGGAAAAGAGGGAAGATCTGAAGGCCATCAATTTTACAAGTTTCTTATGGTCAAAGACCATCAAAATGAGGGCGGGGGGCACACAATGAAAGACCATAGAAAATAAATCAGGGTCTAGAAAACAATACTAATATTCATTTTATTTATTGAAGTTATATGATGCCCATCTATATAAAAAGCTGCCGGATCAAAACCGAAGGTCTAACTGTCATAAAAAACAAACAAACATCTAAAAGGGTTAGAAACATTAGAGGCTTGTAGGGGAGCATGAAGCACTAGTAGCACTCTATCTGATGAACTAGATCCTCCTTAATTCTACTTTAGGGCACAGGTCCCTCTCGGATGGATTTGAAGCGCTGACACGTAGAGCTGCCACAGAACTGTTTGTTGTAGCAAGGCTCACATCTGCAAGCAGCTGGGAGCTGTAGAATTGTCAGGTGTGCACCAGGGATTCATCATCTTCTTCTTTTAATGACGCCATAATAATCCCTTGCATTGGGATGGAGTCTGGGCAATTGAATGGAGCTGAGCGTTTACTGGCCGGATGCCCTTCCTGTCCCCAATGAGGAGTTTTGTTCAGCAGATCTATTCTCATCGTGCCCAGAGAGAGAGAGAAATATCTGCCTCTATGTAGGATCGAACTCACAGCCCCCTGATTGTGAGGGGAGAGCTCCACCTCTAGGCCACTCATGTGCACCCTGGATTATTCATGCAATAAAGAAGGGGAAGGAAGAGAAAGAGAGAGAGGTTGTCACAAACATTATCTTGCTTTCCAGCAACACCCCAGGAAGGAGCAGCTCAGGGCTGCGAGGAGGCACCACCCATATTCCCAGCCGGCTCCTAGGGAGAGTTGCGTGAGGCAAGGCCTGCAGATCAACAAGGGCCCCCCTGATGCTTTGCTGCCATTTCGCTCAGCAGACGGTGGACAGCTCTCTCTTGTTCCGTGTCGCCTTCCAAATGGAAATCCCTGGCGAGCTCTCTCAGACGCACCCCCAGATGCTTCTGTTCCACAGGGTGATCTCCTGGCACCTCGAGGCAGGCCTTGTACGCCTGCAACGCTGCCTGCCTCTGCCCCTTCTTCTGGAGGAGGAAATCCCCCCAGTGCAGATAGAAAGACTGCTGGCATCTCTTGGTGGCAGTTGGGAGTTCCTCCATCACACTCAGGTAGACCTCCTCCTCGTAAAGCTGGCACCTTTCTCCGTACAAGTTCGCCAGCTTCAGCCGGGAAAACACGGATCCAGGATTATCTTCCAGAGATCGTCTGAAACTCCCAATGGCGTCCTCCATGACGTCCGCTCGTTTCCGCTCGGATCCTCGATGTAAGAGAATGGTGTAATAGATGCCAAGGTCGTAGTGGAGGAGATAGTAATCACCGCAGAGGGCGATGGCCTTCTTCAGGGTGGAAATGGCTTGGGAGGGAGAGTGGACCTTATAAACCTTGGCGGCCATTCTCAGGAGTTCCGGGTTGAGACTGTTCTGGACCACGTCGTCAGCAAGCTGCCAAGCTCTTTCATCATCTTTCATACGGTAAGTCTGTGCCAAGTATACTTTGACTTCATAATTTTCGGGGTGGCTACGGATCAGCCCTTCCAGCAACTTCCGGCTCTCATCCTGTAACTTCTCATCCTCGTAGGAGTGTGTCCAGGAAGCGAAGGTGGAGAAGGCCAGGCCCTCCTGCAGCTCCACGCTTGGTTCCTGCAGCTCCAGGGCCTTCTGGAAACACTCCTTGGCCAGCTGGCCGTTCCGGAAGCCCATGGCCAAGAGGGACCAGCCCTTCTGGGCGTAGACCTCCGGGATCGGGGCCGAGTAGGGCTCAGGGCTGGACAGGTCCTGGCAAATCTGGCGGATCTGGGCCAAGTAGAGGTCCACCTTGTCATAATCGGTCAAGTGGTAATAGATCCAGGCGTAGTTCCCGTAGAGCAGCAGGACGTGGCGTGGGAAGGTCCCCGGAGGCTCCTTCCTCAAGACCTCCTTGGCTTCCTGCAGGATGGCCAGGGCCTCTTTGGGGCTCCCCTCCAGGTGGCGCAGGTAGGCCTTCAGGGCAAGGTAGGTGCCCCGGTTGCGGAGGGGGCCATGCTCCAGGCGGACAGCCAGAGTAAGCAGGGTGTGTCTGATGTGCATCTTGTCCTTGACCTCAAAGTCCCAGGTGAAGTGACACTGCAGGCGCTGGAGCTTCTCCTTCAGGGGTCTGCTGTGGGGTGGGGAGCGGGGGAAGGAGAAGACAAAAGGGGAGGAGACCTGGGTGAGAGGCAAACGACACCTGCCGTGTGTCTGTGAGCGTAGTGGGCTGAGATAATGTGTTGACCACAAATGGAGCTGTTCAGGCTGGGCCGGAGCATGTGAGCCTGGCCACGTCTGGCTACTCATGGGGAAGCAGATGCTGCCACCCTCTGGACCCTCGATTCCCCTCATGGCTCCTTGGATGGGGGGGGGACACTCTTTTGGGTCTTGCAAAGAGGCTAGCGTCCAAGGAAGGGAACCTGCTTTAGCCTCCTGTCTGCAGGGAACAAGATCTCTGCTCACCCCTCTTAGAAGCTTTCCTGCCCCCCTTGATGGTCCTCAGGGGACCCCCATGTGGGGGTGGGGGTGGGGAACAGTCTTTGCACCTCCAAAATAAACAGTACAGGTAGTCCTCGACTTACAACCGTTCGCTTAGTGACCATTCGAAGTGACAACGGCACAGAAGGAAAGTGACTCATGGTTGTTTTTCACACTTACGACCGTTGCAGCATTCCTATGGACATGTGACTTGCATTAGGACGCTTGGCGACTGACTCACATTTACGACGGTCCCAGTGTCCCATGATCCCCTTTTGTGACCTCCTGACCAACACAGTCACGGGGAAAGCCAGATTCACTGAACCACCGTGTTACTCACTTATCGACAGCAGAGATTGGGTTAACAACTGCGGTAAGCAAAGTTCGTAAAACGGAGCCAAACTCACTTGACAAACAAGTCTTCACTTAACGACAGCAATTTTGAGCTCCGTTGTGGTCAGAAGTCGAGGACTACCTGCACTTGGCCTCTGTGGGGCACAGAACGTCCGCAGTTGCCCCTGAGCTGGCTCGGCAGCTTGTGTGAATGTCCGGGGGGGGGGTAGTGGGGGACTCCATAGAAGCTTCACCCCTTTCTAGCCCTGGCATGGAACAGGACCCCCTCGCAGCCAGGAGGAGGGAGATGGTGGAAAGGGGGAGGGGGGCAATTTTGAAACTCCTTGTGTAGTGGACGACTGCACCAAAACCCACTTAAATCCGATGCCCTCCACGGTTACCGTTTTTTTATCAGGGCAACCTGGTCTACCCAATTATGGGATGGAGCATCCTGCTTCCGCCTTTCAGCCCCAATCCAGGTGGTCGCTTTCATGACAAACTATTGTTGTGTTAAGTTTATGTTTTCCCCACAAAGAAACAAAGAGAGGCTGATATAGATCTATTTCAAGCTATTTAGCTCTCGTCAGCTAGCCAGGCCCTTCTGGGATTCGAACCTGGGCAAAGAAGGGCCTGGCTAGCTGAGGAGAGCTAAATAGCTTGAAATAGATCTATACTAGCCTCTCTTTGTTTCTCTGTGGGGAAAACTTAACGCTCCATTGTTACAGGTTTCAAAGGGAGTTGTTGATGGGCCCTCTTGCTTTATTTATTTATTTATTTATTTATTTATTTATTTATTTATTTATTAGATTTTTATACCGCCCCCTCTCCCGAAGGACTCGGGGCGGTGAACAGCCAAAATTAAAAACATACAATATAAACAATTAAAATACGTTTAAAACAGAATTAAATCTAAAATGGCTCCCCAATTTAAAACGCCTTACCCATACCCCTATAAATAAGACGAATTTAAAAATTTAAAAATTTAAAATTTCCACATTTAAAAAGGGGGGAAGATTTAGGCCAGGCCAGCTTGATAAAATAGAAAAGTCTTAAGCGCGCGGCGGAAGGTGCGCAGATCCGCAGATCCCATCTGGTCCCTAGCTGGGATGGGGGGGGGCAGCCTCGGCAGGAGCAGAACAGCTTTTGGGAAATCTGGGGGGGGTATTGGGGGGGCAGCTGCCTTTGGCTGTTCCCGAGTCTCGCTGGGGGCGGGGGGGGGGGCAACGCCGCCTCCCCCAGCCAGGCTCCCGCTCCGGCTCCTTCGGGGCTGCAGAGACAGACACGGGGGGTTCTTGGAGAGTCTTGGGGGGGGGCGTTGTGGGGCAGGTGGGGAGCTGCCTGTCTCGCTGGGGGCCTCGCTCCGGCTCCTCTGGGGTTCAAAAACAGTGCAGAGCCAGGATGCGCCCCGGGCCCCTCTGAGAGGCAGGGGCCACGGGCTCGTATTGCAGCAACCGGACCACCGGCGGGGGGGGGGGAAGGAGGAGGAGGGAAAGTCAGGTAATTGATGGGGGCGGACAGGGACTTGGTTGCAGCCCTCCCCCCATTTTGCATTTTAATAAATAAATAAATTTTACAGGGAGAGACCCTCCCCAGGATTCCGCGGGACCCTCCCCATTAGGGACCCGTCCTCCCTCTGTTCCTTGGGGGGCTCCGTTCCGACACCCCCATCTGCCCGCCTACCTCATCCTGCCACACTGTTCGCGCTCCGGCTCCCTCTCCGGAGTTGGGGCGCAAGGAAGGGAGTTGGGCCAGGTGGGAGGACGGGGTGGTCCTGCCGGAGAAATGGAAAATGAAAGCAGGTGGGGGGGGGGTCGAAGGGGAGGGGGGACGTGGCCAATGGCCTGGCCAGGTTGGATTGGTTGGGGGTTGTGGTGGGGGGTGGGAGATGGACAGGGAAAGCCCATTCAGGCCACCTGCTTCGCGGGCAAAGGGGCCGTCCAGCCAACGGCGTTTCGGACGACCCCACCCGCTTTAGCGCGAGTTTTGTTTCGTGGGGGCCTTCTATGTGCAGGGCGGGGGGAGAAGGGGGGGCTGCAGTTGTGGGAACCCAGGCCCTTTTGGCGGGGGCGGGGGCTCCTTCTAGTGCCCCTTGGAGCCTCTCGCCGGAGGAAGCCCCCTTCCCAATGCCCCTCTTCCTTAGAAGCGCCCCAATTGCCTTGCCTTTCCCTCTCCTTCTTTCTCTGGGCTTGCGTGTATCGGAGGATTTGATGAATTGCACGTGGATCCAAGTGCTTTGCTCCAACCGCGAGAGGAGAGGGGGGGAGGGCGGCCCACCGAATAGCAGAGTTGGAAAGGACCTTGGAGGTCTTCTAGTCCAACCTCTGGCTCAAGCAGAAGACTTTATTCCATTCCAGTTGAACAGCTGTCCAATCTCTTCTTAAAACCCTCCAGGGAAGGAGCATCTACAAGTTCTGGTGGCAAGCGGTCCCACTGGTTAATTGTTCTCACAGTTGGGAAGTTTCTCCTTAATTCCAAGTTGCTTCTCTCCTTGGTTAGTTTCCATCCGTTGCTTCTTGTCCTGCCCTCAGGTGCTTTGGAGAATAGCTTGACTCCCTCTTTTTGGGGGCAGCCCCTGAGATATTGGAAGACTGCTATCATGTCTCCCCTAGTCCTTCTCTTCATTCAACTAGACATACCCAGTTCCTGCAACCTATGTTTTAGCTTCCAGTCCCCTAATCATCTCCTCTTCTCTGCCCTCTTTCCAGAGTTTCAACATCTTTTTTATAGCCCGAATCTCCCCTTCCAGGGCTGCTCAGAGGCAGTGAGTAGCAGCAGGGTCCCTTGTGAGCAAATGCTCCCTTTGGGAAGACCCCTCAAGGGGGGAAGAGTTCACCAAAGATTTCTTGGTTTTAAAGGTAGCCTCATTTCTTCAGAATGTCCTGTCTTTAGGTCTTTAGCTACCTAGTTAAGGCAGGTTGCAGGAAGGGTTTCCATAACCCAGTCCGGAAGAATTTAATTATATCACCTGGGGAGGTACATATCTTAAATTTGCAAAGGTTGAGAAATATAAAGTTAGAGAAAAATGGCTGAAATGTAAATGCACTTGAACTGAAATGTTTTTAGTAGGGAAAAAAAAACCCAATATTTTATTTTATTTTGTTTTATTATTATTATTAAATGTCTACCTTGCTCATTTCACCTTACTGACTGTGGGCACGAAGGATCCTTGGTGCTCTCTGAGCTGGCTTGTTTTCCTGGAGACATTTCGTTACCCAACTAGATAACATCATCAGTGCTAGAAGAGATTGAGAAAACGGTACTTCCCTGTAGTACTGATGTTAACTAGCTGAGTCATGAAAAGTCTGCAAAAAACTCCCAAACAAGCACAAGGCACCAAGAACACCAGTCCTCCCCCACTCCTCTTTTCTGCAAACTCCCTGCCTTCTAACATTGATGATGTTCCCCAGTTGGGGCATAAAACGTCTGCAAGAAAACAGCCAAGCTCAGAGAGCACCAAGGACCCCTCATTTCAAAACAGCTACCGATATTCTCCTTTATTGACTTCGGACAGTTTACAACATAAAACCACATAAATAGATGAATAAAGGCAAACCTTAAAACAGGATTAAAAGTAATTTAAAACCTAGGCTGGCCCGAACGTGTGAAATCTTCCCAAGTGGGTAGATGGTTCCATGTGCAAACTGGACTAAATGCAGCCCAGAGTCCCCTTCCCTGGCATGGGCCACTACATGAATTTGATTAATATAAATAAATAAATCTAAGCCCCCTCCTCCTCCCAATCTGCCTCCCCCCTTCTCCATCATGTGTCCATAATTTTGTTTGTATGGTCATTTTATCGAATACTTATTTATACTTGGTGATTTTAATTTTTGTTTTATGCTGGAAGCCGCCCAGAGTCGCTTCGAAACGAGACAGGCAGCAAATAAATATAAAGATAAAGATAGTTATAAATGATAGATCATAAAATGAAATTTGGATAAAATGCTTGTTTTTGTTAAAGGAAAGAGCATTTGTCATACAATGAGATTTTGAAAATTTTGAGAGCACGAAATGATTTTAACCGATACTGTCTGTAATTGTTTGGAAGGATGATATTTTTATGCTGTTTTTGTTTAAAAAATAAAAAAAACTTTTTGGAAAAAAAAGATAGATCATAGATATAGATAGATAGACAGTAGATGATAGATATAAATGATAGATATATCATATATAAATAGAGAGAGGGGGGCATAGATAGATAGAGATGAATGGATGGATAGGTAGGTAGGTAGGTAGATTAGATAGACAGAAGATATAAATGATAGATCATTGATAGATGATAGTTGATAGATGATAGATATAGAAGAGAGGGGGGCATAGATAGAGAATGGATGGATGGATAGACTAGATAGATAGATATAGAAAGATAGATATACAAAGATAGGTAAGTAGGTAGGTAGATAGAAAGATATAATAAAAAAACGTGTCGAAGGATTCGGCATTCGAGGCAGGGATCGGGCGCTCGCCTTCTCCGTGGGGTCCGGAGGTTTTCCAATGCGCTGCGCTTTCTTTCTACTTTGCAAAACTCTCCCATCGCTCGGGGTCTCCCCAAAGAGGCAACTCCCCACAACCGCAAGAGTGATGCTGAGGACGCCCAGGAAAACTTTCTTCTGGGGGAGGGGGGTCCCGGGTCGCCGGGAGTGGCTCGGCCGTCCTCCCCTCTGGCTCCCGGAGCGAAGGATTTGGATTCCTCGCAAGGTGGGGGGGGCTTTAAAGCTGAACCCGGGTCCTTCCCGGGCATCCGACGCCGGAGAGGGTCTAAGAAACAGGGTGGCGACCCCGCCCCGCCGCCTGGATTCTTATAATCTGATAAGATAATAACAGAGTTGGAAGGGACCTTGGAGGCCTTCTAGTCCAGGGGCCCCCAACCTTTTGGACCTCAGGGGCCACCAGGTTCCTAACTTTAAATCCCGCGGACCACTAATACGAATTCAGCGCGCCGCTTGCTGAAGCGCCTGGACTCCCAGTGACGGGATGGCACTCTCCCTCCTCTCCCTTTCTTTCTCTCTCTTATTCTCTCTGATTCCCTCTGTCTCTTTCTTTCTTTCTCTCTCTTTCATTCTCTCTCTCTCTCATTCTCTCTCTGCCTCTTTCTCTCTCTCTCTCTCTCCCCCTCTCTTTCTCTCTCCCCCATTCTCTCTCTGATTCTCTCTCTGCCTCTTTCTTTCTCTCTCTCTCCCCCTCTCTTTCTCTCTCCCCCATTCTCTCGGATTCCCTCTGTCTCTTTCTTTCTTTCTCTCTCTTTCATTCTCTCTCTCTCTCTCATTCTCTCTCTGCCTCTTTCTTTCTCTCTCTCCCCCTCTCTTTCTCTCTCCCCCATTCTCTCTCTGATTCTCTCTCTGCCTCTTTCTTTCTCTCTCTCTCCCCCTCTCTTTCTCTCTCCCCCATTCTCTCGGATTCCTCTGTCTCTTTCATTCTGTCTTTCTCTCATTCTGTCTCTCTCTTTCTCTGATTCTCTTTCTTTCTGTCTTTCATTCTGTCTCTCTCTCATTCTCTCTCTCCCCCCACTCTTTCTCATTCTCTCTGTCTCTTTTTCATTCTCTCTCTGATTCTCTCTCTCCCCCTTTCTCTCTCTCTCTCTCATCTCATGGGCCAGCCAGTGTCTCCCCGAGAGACCGAGGTGCGCGGAACACCAACGAGGGCCGGAAGAAACGGCCGCGAGATCCAGCAAGAGACGAAGCTTCGCTCCCGCTCTGCAACACGGCGGATTTGGAGCGGATCTCCATCCCCCGCCCTTCCCTTCTCAGGCCAGGCCAGGAGTGACTGGGAAGAGAGGGCGAGGGGCGGGGAGAGCCACTGGTGGGTTCAGCCGACAGGAGGGGGAAGAAACAGCCATGGATTGCTGCGGCCCGCCTGCACCGCCAACCCCCCCCCCCCATTACCTCATTCGGGCCGGCGAAGGCTGCGCTGCAAAGATGCAAGTTGCACGGACCGCCCTCTACGGCGGAGATTCCCAGCCCCACCACGAGCTGCCTGGCCAGTCCCGTATTCCAGAGCTCTAGTCTCAGGACTGGCCGGTGCTCATCCCGGAGCAGCTCCTCCATCACCACCATTTTCTCACGGACCACCGGCTGGTGACCACTGTTCTAGTCCAACCCTCTCCTCAATCGGGAGACCCTAGACCATTTTAGACATGTGGCTGCCCAGCCTTTCCCTAAAAACCACCACAACCTCTGGTGGCAAGCAGTTCCACTGGTTAATTGTTCTCACTGTCAGGAAATTTCTCCTTAGTTCTAGGTTGCTTCTCTCCTTGATTAGTTCCACATGCACATAAACTGCCGCCCCCAGCCCCATACAACAGGCTCAAAGGAAGCGAGGGTCGGCCGGAGTGCGGTGGGTCGTCTGAAGGCGGTTACTAGAGGGTCGGGTTGCCCGTGAAACACGCGGTCTAACCGGCTTCCCCTTGTCAACCAGACGTCGCCCTTAGACGAGACGGGCGGCGCCCAAAAATCGAAGCAACAAAAACAAACAAACGAAGCAACCAACAAAAAGTCAAGGCAACTCATTCTCATCGCTGGTCCATTCTCAGCCATCGCCTCTCCCGCTACTTTCACTTTCGATTTTCAGAACGCTGGAAGCGGAAAACGAAACTCAGCGCTGCGCCCGCCGGTCTCTTCGCCTTTTGCTCCAAAGCGGGAGAGGCAGCCGGAGCGCGAACAGTGTGCAAGGATGAGGTAGGCGGGGTGTGTGTGTGTGAGGGCTGGGGAGAGCGGAGCCCCCTCCCCAGGAATAGAGACAGGGGGCGAGGGTCCCTAAAGGGCGAGGGTCCCGTTGGATTTTGGCGGAGCGTCTCTTCCTTGCAAAACGGGTGCGGGGGCTGCTCCTGCAGCCAGGTCTCTCTCTCTCCCCCCCCATCAAGTACCTGAGTTCCCCCCTCCCCAGTGCGGTTCTCCTGCTGCACCACCAGCCCGTGGCCCCTGCCTTTTCAGAGGGGCTCGGGGGCGGGGAGAGGGGGAGGTGGCCTGGGGCTCAACCCGGCTCTCCGGCGCCTTTCAGCCCCCAAGGAGCCGGAGCGACAACCCGGCATGGCAGGAACGCCGGAGAGACTCCGGAACAGGCAGCTCCCTTCTTGCCCCACAACCGACCCCCCACCACTGACTCCCCAACAATCCCCTTGCCTGCCTCTGCAGCCTTTTGCAGCCCCGAAGGAGCCGGAGCGAGACCCTGGGGGGGGTGAGGGGGGGCGTTGCGGGCGTGCCCCCCAACGAGACTCGAACAGGCAAAGTCCGCTCTCTTTCTGCCCCACGAGCCCCCCTCCCCACCGCAGACTCTGCAAAAGCTGCCCTCCTCCTGCTCCCAGCTGAGGGACCTGTTCCCCATAGGCTGGGTAGCCGTGGCATCCCCATAGAGCCCAACCCGAGAAGAGGGCTTCACAACCTCCTCCTCCCCCCAGACTCTCCAACAACCTCCCTGTTTGCCTCGGCTGGGGAGGCGGCTTTGCGGGGGTGGGGTGGGGCGGCAAGGAGCAGCGAGACTCTGGAACTCAGCTCCTCTCCAGCCCCACCAACCCTCGGCCTCTCCCTCCTGCTTCCCCTCCATGAAAAGAGACTCTGCAATTGTGGGCAGCCTCAAAGCTGAGACCCCCCCCCCTCCTGGGAGACCTGTTTCTCCCCAGGGATGAAAGACCATGCTGTGGTGGAGGGGGGTCTTTTTATGGAGCCCCCTGGGCGTTCACAAAGGATGCAGAGCCCCCACCGTGGCAACCTTGGCTACTCTGTGCCCACCAGATACCCAGCCTGGTCTGTTTTTGAAGGTCACAAGGTGCAAAGATTGTCCTTATACACAGAGAGGGGGAGGGGGGATGAGGAAGGGGAAGAAGAGCAAAGGCAGCCACATGGGGGTCCCCTGAGGACCATCAAGGGGGGCAGGAAAGCTTCTAAGAGGGGTGAGCAGAGATCTTGTTCCCTGCAGACAGGAGGCTAAAGCAGGTTCCCTTCCTTGGACGCTAGCCTCTTTGCAAGACCCAAAAGAGTGGGCCCCCCCATCCAAGGAGCCCCGAGGGGAATTGAGGGTCCAGAGGGTGGCAGCATCTGCTTCCCCATGAGTAGCCAGACGTGGCCAGGCTCACATGCTCTGACCCAGCTGGTGAACACATTATCTCAGCCCACACACACACACACACACACACACACACACACACAGACACACGGCAGGTGTCGTTTGCCTCTCACCCAGGTCTCCTCCCCTTTTGTCTTCTCCTTCCCCCGCTCCCCACCCCACAGCAGACCCCTGAAGGAGAAGCTCCAGCGCCTGCAGTGTCACTTCACCTGGGACTTTGAGGTCAAGGACAAGATGCACATCAGACACACCCTGCTTACTCTGGCTGTCCGCCTGGAGCACGGCCCCCTCCGCAACCGGGGCACCTACCTTGCCCTGAAGGCCTACCTGCGCCACCTGGAGGGGAGCCCCAAAGAGGCCCTGGCCATCCTGCAGGAAGCCAAGGAGGTCTTGAGGAAGGAGCCTCCGGGGACCTTCCCACGCCACGTCCTGCTGCTCTACGGGAACTACGCCTGGATCTATTACCACTTGACCGATTATGACAAGGTGGACCTCTACTTGGCCCAGATCCGCCAGATTTGCCGGGACCTGTCCAGCCCTGAGCCTTACTCGGCCCCGATCCCGGAGGTCTACGCCCAGAAGGGCTGGTCCCTCTTGGCCATGGGCTTCCGGAACGGCCAGCTGGCCAAGGAGTGTTTCCAGAAGGCCCTGGAGCTGCAGGAACCAAGCATGGAGCTGCAGGAGGGCCTGGCCTTCTCCACCTTCGCTTCCTGGACACACTCCTACGAGGATGAGAAGTTACAGGATGAGAGCCGGAAGTTGCTGGAAGGGCTGATCCAGAGCCACCCCGAAAATTATGAAGCCAAAGTATACTTGGCACAGATTCTCTGTAGGAAAGATGATGAAAGATCTTGGCAGCTTGCTGACGAGGTGGTCCAGAACAGTCTCAACCCGGAACTCCTGAGAATTGCCGCCAAATCTTATAAGTTCCACTCTCCCTCCCAAGCCATTTCCACCCTGAAGAAGGCCATCGCCCTCTGCGGTGATTACTATCTCCTCCACTACGACCTTGGCATTATTTACATGGACCTCTTAGATCGAGGATCCGAGGGGAACCAAGCGGAGATCGTGGAGGACGCCATTGGGTGCTTCAGACGGTCTCTGGAAGGCAATCCTGAATCTGTGTTTGCCCAGCTGAAGCTGGCGAAGTTGTACGGAGAAAGGTGCCAGCTTTACGAGGAGGAGGTCTACCTGGGCGTGATGGAGGAACTCCCAACCGCCAGCAAGAGAGTCCAGCAGTCTTTCTATCTGCACTGGGGGCATTTTCTCCTCCAGAAGAAGGGGCAGAGGCAGGCAGCGTTGCGGGCGTACAAGGCCTGCTTGGAGGTGCCAGGGGATCACCCTCTGGAGCAGAAGCAGCTGGAGCAGCGTCTGAAAGAGCTGGCCAGGGTTTTCCGTTCAAAAGGCGACATGGAACAAGAGAGAGCTGTCCACCGTCTGCTGAGTGAAATCGCAGCAAAGCGTCAGGGGGCACCTCGTTGATTGGCAGGCCTTGCCTCACCCTCACGCGACTCTCCCTAGGAGCCGGCTGTGAATATTGGGGTGCTCCAGCCCAAATGGGTGGTGCCCCCTCGCAGCCCTGAGCTGCTCCTTCCTGGGGTGTTGCTGGAAAGCAATATAACATTTGGGACAACATCTCCCTCCTTCTCTTCCCTTCTCCTCTTTATTGCATAAATACTCCAGGGTGCACTCTTCTACAACTCCCTGCTGTTTTCAGATACAAACCTAGGTACAACATACAATATTGTGCCAGGCTCTACGCATCAGCACTTAAAATCCATCCGAGCATGACTTGTGCCACCAAGTAGAATTAAGGAGGATCTAATGAAGAGGTCTCCAACCTTGGCAACTTTAAGATTTGTGGAGCAAAGCTGGCTGAGGAATTCTGGGAGTTGAAGTCCACAAGTCTTAAAGTTGCCAAGGTTGGAGACCCTTGAGTTCCTCAAACTGGAGTGCTCTGTGTTGTATTAGATTTTGTGTGCCATATTCTAACCCTTTCCCCTACCGTCATCCAATGCTCCTACCCCGCCTGTTCCTTTTTTTGTCTTCTGCTTGTTTACAGATATCTTGTTATAACTTTTAGCTTTCCAAAAATTGTTATTTTCTTGTATTTTTAATTGCCTGCACCTCACTGTCCTTGTGGGGTTCTCTGAGCATAATAAAGGCTGGATTTTGTAAGGCAGTTAATCTCGAGAGCATTTTTCTTGCCCTTCTCCTCTTCTCTTACGTACAGGTGCCACTCATGCATACACCCCCATGTCCAAGTTTCCAGAGGGATTGTTACGGGACATGAGTCTTGGGACTCGGTCCCAGATTGTGTGTGTAGGGCTTTGATTAATCATCTCTTTGTAGTCGTCCATGGGGACTGCACGGAAATGTCTACATTCACCCGCACCAAAAAACCGCTTGCTTTTAAAGATTATTTATTCCACGCAGGGGTACCTGTGGGGTGGGGGATTAGCACCGTCGACAGTGGGGTCTGCTGTGCCCATTTCTGGCCTGCTTGTTCATATTTGGTGGCCGCAAATGTTATGTTATAGAGCTGCGGTTATCCCTTGTATCTATGGGCACGAATCCTGGACTCTGTACTGTCCACAGATCAAACGGGAAATTTCACACGCACGTGCTCTACGGCATCCTCCGCATTTGTTGTCAAGACCTCCTCTCCAACCTGGGGGTCTTGGATCGCATGGTGTCCAGCGGCCTTGAACCCCTGATTTATCAGAACATGGATGAGATGGGTGGATTGCGTCATCGGAATGGAGAACCACTGTGTCCATCGCCCGTTGCTCTGTAGTACGTTTCTCAACCTTGGCTGCTTGAAGATGTGTAGACTTTAACTCTCAATGTTGGCTGGGGAATTCTGGGATTTTGTCCACACATCTTCAAGTGGCCCAGGTTGGGCAACAGGACTCCAATGGATACTGTAGTCTGGGAAAACACCACAGGTTCGAACAGACAAGTGCTACAAAGACACCACAAATGAAATCCTGCACCACTGTTAACACTGAAGCTGCTGACCGTAATCGCTAGGGAGCTCAGAGCTCTAAAGCATCCACTAGTTTTCAAGTCAGGCACCACCAAAAACAAATGGAAACCCGTCAGTGGTGTAACAGCCACTGCTGGTGGTGGCGCAGTGGTTAGAATGCAGTATAGCAGGTCAACTCGCGGCTCACTCCAGGAGTTCAATCCTGACCGGATCAAGGTTGACTCAGCCTTCCATCCTTCCAAGGTCGGTAAAACGAGGACCCAGATTGTTTGGGGCAACAGGCTGACTCTGTAAACAGCTTAGAGAGAGCTACGAAGCCCTGTGAAGCGGTATATAAGTCTTAAGTGCTATTGCTACTATAATGATGGATTTCCAGTGTCCCATTGGGTAGACCAGAGGTGTCAAACACCGATAGGCCATGGAGTTAGCCTGTGGGGCCATCCCAGAGACGGCGAGGGACTGGCCCCTGTCACCCCGGCCATGTCCACTCAGTCACGCCAACCAGGCCATGCCCATCTTGGCCCCCCAAGAGCAAACAAACTCCTGATGTGGCTCGCGACAGGACTGAACTTGATACTCCGGGACAGGGGTGAAATCCAGCAGGGTCTGACAGGTCCTGGAGAACCAGTAGCGGAAATTTTGAGCAGTTTGGAGAACCGGCAAATACCACCTCTTGCTGGCCCCAGAGTGGGGAGGGAATGGGGATTTTGCAATATCCTTCCCCCAGAAGAGGGGTGGGAATGGGGATTTTACAGTATCCTTCCCCTGCCATGCCCACCAAGCCACGCCCACAGAACCGCTAGTAAAAAAATTTGGATTTCACTACTGCCCCTGGGGTAGACTATGAAGAATGCTCGCAAGAACTGGGAATGTGCTGTTTAATGAAAAGAAGGATTAGCAGTTTCCCATTATTTGAGGGGCTGCCACAAAGAAGAGGGGGCCAACCTAATTTCCGAACCACCTGAAGGCAGGACAAAAAGCAAGGGATGGAAACTAATCAAGGAGAGGAACAACCTAGAATTAAGGAGAAACTTCCTGACAGAACAAATAATCAGTGGAACAACTTGCCTCCAGAACTTGTCGGTGCTCCAACACTGGAGGTATTTAAGAAGCGATTGGACAGCTATTTGTCTGAAATGGTATAGGACCATGATGCCGAACCTATGGCACGCGTGCCACAGGTGGCACGTGGAGTCATATTGTTGGGCACGTGAGCGTTGCCCAAGCTCAGCTCCAGCATGTACGTGCGCGCTCACCAGCTGATTTTTGGGCCTTCTGGGCCCACTGGAAGTTGGCAAACGGGCTGTTTCCGGCCTCTGGAAGGCCTCCGGTGGGGTGGGGAAGGCTGTTTTCATCTTCCCCAGGCTCCTAGAAAGCCTCTGGAGCCTGGGGAGGGCAAAAAAACGGGCCTACCGTGCCCACCATGCTGTCACATGGCAAAAGTGGGGGGGAGCAAGGGATCGCATGCGCATGCATGGGGGGGGACAGGGCACCTAGAATTATGGGTGTGGGCACACACATGCGTGACTACCCCGCACTCCCCCAGCTTTTGGCACGCGATGGCAAAAAGGTTAGCCATCACTGGTATAGGACCATGATGGCGAATCTATGGCACACGTGCCACAGGTGGCACGCGTAGCCATACCTGCGGACACGCGAGCCATTGACCTAGCTAAGCACAAGCGTGCATGCGCGCGCAGGACAGCTGGTTTTTGGCTGGCCCTGCCCCTCCCCTCCCAGGAGTCTCCACATGGCCCATTTTGGATGCCAGGTAAGTACAGGGCTCGCAGTGAGGCTCTGGGAGAGCGTTTCCGGCCTCCGTAGGGCTTCTGGGGATACAGGGGAGGCCGTTTGCGCCCTCCCCCAGGCTCAAAGAAAGCCTCTGGAGCCTGGGAAGGGCAAAAAACGGACCTACCAGAAGTCAGGAAATGGGCCGTTTCCGGCCTCCAGAGGCTTCAGGGAGGTCTGCTGGGCCCAAAACATGGTGCGGTGGTGGTGGAGTGGGTCGTGCGCACATGCACGGGGGGGGGGGGCATTGAATTATGGGTGTGGGCATGCGCATGTGCACTATAGCGCATGTATGCTTTCGGCACCCAAGGAGAAAAAGGTTCGCCATCACTGGTATAGGGTTTCCTATACAGGGGGTTGGATTAGAAGACCTTCAGGATCCCTTCGAACTACATCATTTGGTCATTTCATACGGACTGCAGAGCCAGTTTAGTGTAGTGCAGGGGTGTCAAACTGGCGGCCTACAGAGGCCGCGCCCACCCCAGCTCCGCGAAGGGAAAAAAAAGTCACGATAAATCACGTGACGGCAATGCGACGCCACAACTTTGACACCCGTGGTATAGTGGGTGACAGCCTAGAAATCAAGAGATAGCGAGTCCCACTTTGGGCACGAAACTATCTGGGTGATTATGGGGAAGGCTTCTATGAGAGCCCCCACCACCTTGATTGAATGCCTTGATGATATTGGACTACAATTACCAGAATCCTCAGCCAATGTGGCCCACGGTTGGGAGGTATATCTGAAGTTCTCCTGGTCAGAGAAGGTGTCTCAGGAAACTTTCTGCCCAGCAAAAGCCAGATTGATTGAAAGCAGGACCCAGAAGTTGCCAGCAAGAAGGCCAGGAGCCTCTCCAGAGAGCTCTGGATGAGGCTGGTGCAATGAGAAGGGCCCAATTTGATACCAAGGAGCGCTTTGCAACTAGACAATATAGGAGTGGTATTTTCTCATCCGCTTCGAACACGGAAGGTGGAAGGAAATTCCAGTGTGTCTGTGTTTGTGTCTGTGTGGGCGTGTACATGATTTGCGTTTGAAGGCCCAGGAAGAAAAGGGACAGGGAGGGAGAATTGTGTGTATCTGTGACCCATAACGCAATCCAGACAAGACAAATCACACACTTTTTCCCAATGATTTGGTTTTGCCTCATTAATCGTGGTTCATCATTCAAACTTTCTGCTAGTTCTGGAACATTGGGTGGAAATTCTCGTTCATGAGCACCGGGGCCCAGAGTTCATGACAAGGGGCAGCTTCTGCCCTTGCCAAGCACATCAGTTGACCCTCCTCTTCCCCCAAGGGAGAGTGCACCACCAAGGCAGCTCTGTGTGGTTTGTGTGAACCTGTGTGTTGTGTTTCGGTAGCTGGAGAAGGTCCCTGTCAAAGGTCCACGGCTGTCCCGGAAGGGGGCGAAGGTAGGTAGCTCTCCTGAGATGGTCCAGTTCAGAGGGTGCCGTGGACGATGGGTGGACAGGTCTCTGGGGGGATGCAGTGGGCCTGGTGCTCCACCAAGCCCGCTGGGCACTGGCAGCCTGGCACACAGGGCTTAAAGCAGTGGGACTCCAGCACCCCCAAAGGCACGGCGTGGTTGAAGCAGGTCTTGGGGCAGGGAGGGCCACACTCGTCAAAGACGTAGCCCCTCTCTTGGGGGCAGCCCACCGCTGCGGAGGAAGAGAGAGGCAGGGGATTAGTAGCAGGAAGGAGGGAGGGGACGGATGGGATAGGACTGTGCCGCTCCAGGGAGAGGCAGGGGGTACCATGTGCCATACGAAGCACAGAGGACTGACCTAAGACTAGGGCAGGGCCAGACTCCTGGAGGGAGGGAAGGGAGAAAGGGAAGAAGAGAGGAAGGAAGGAAGGAGAGAAAAGGAAGGGAGGGAGGGAAGGAAGGAAGGAAGGATGGAGAGAAAAGGAAGAAGGGAGGGAGGAGAAAAAGGAAGGAAGAAAGGAGGAAGGAAGGAGAGAAGAAGGAAGGAAGGAAGGAGAGAAAAGGGAGGGAGGGAGGGAAGGAAGGATGGAGAGAAAAGGAAGAAGGGAGGGAGGAGAAGAAGGAAGAAAGGAGGAAGGAAGGAAGGAGAGAAGAAGGAAGGAAGGAAGGAGAGAAAAGGAAGAAGGAGGGAGGGAGGAGAAAAAACGGAAGGAAGAAAGGAGGGAGGAAGGAAGGAGAGAAAAGGAAGAAGGAGGGAGGGAGGAGAAAAAGGAAGGAAGGAAGGAGAGAAGGAAGGAAGGAAGGAGAAAAGGAAGAAGGGAGGGAGGGAGGAAGGAGAAAATAGAATAGAATTTTTTATTGGCCAAGTGGCCAATAAATTGGCCTCTCCTGCACAAACCCCACTCCCTTCTAGCACTGATGATACTACCCAGTTAGGTCATGAAATGTTTGCAAAAAAACCAACAACCACCAAGCTCAGAGAGCACCAAGATCCCTCAGGGTTGAACCCTGAGCTGCAAATACTCGCTTCTATTGATATTTCTCCTCCTTTCAGCCCCACTCGACCTCCCAGGGTCCCGTCCCGCTTTCATTTGACCCCCAACACTGCCTCCCCCCACCAGGACCGAGCGGGAGGTGCAGCCAGCCCACCACATTCTCACCGCAGAGGGTAGGCGAGCGCCACTGGAGCATCACGCCAGCATGGCGGCACTGGCGGGCATAGGCCTCCAAGACCTCGCAGAGACAGTCGTCCGTGCCGGCAGCCCCACAGGCGCAGAGGTCGTAGACGCAGGAAGCGAAGAAGGGCTCCGGGGCCACGGCGGCATGGCAGCGCGCAAAGGGGGGCGACTTCAGCACCTTGCAACGGGCGTTGGCCTCTTTGCGGGAACGGTACCCGGATCCTTTGCAGGGATCTGCATCCAGCGCGTCGGCGCAGCGGTGGGACCCTGTAGCGTTGGCACCGGCCACCTGGGAGGAAGCGGCACGCGGTCTGCAGAAGCCCCCTCCCTCTGCCCCGTGGCGGGAGTGGAGGGCCTGCCCGGTGTGGGGTTAAGGTCTTGAGGACCAAGGGCCTCCGGAGAGGAACAGTGGCGCTTTGGGCAGGTTGGGAACCGGGTGGATTGTCAGGAAGAAGAAAGGCGCATCGCTGTTATTCTGGGGCTGGAAGTAACTGAAGGCTGACTAGGTGCCTGGAGTGGCATTTCTCAAGGTCAACTCAACCAGGATGGATAGATGGATTCTCTTGCCTCCCCCTCCTTCCTTTCCCATTTTCCCTTCTCTTTTCCTTCCTTCCCTTTCTCCTTTCTTCCTTCCTCTCCTCCTTCCCTCCCATTTCCTTCCTCCTTCCCTTCTTCCTTCCTTTGTTCCTCCCTCCCTCCCTTTCCCTCCTTCCTTCCTCCCTCCCATTTCCTTCCTCTTTCCCTTCTTCCTTCCTTCCTCCCATTTCTTCCCTCCCTCCCATTTCCTTCCCCCTTCCTTCCTCTCTCTCCCCCTCCTTTCCTCCTTCCCATTTCTTTCCCTTCCTTCCTTCCTCCCATTTCTTCCCTCCCTCCCATTTCCTTCCCCCTTCCTTCCTCTCTCCCCCTCCTTTCCTCCTTCCCATTTACTTCCTCCTTCCCTTCCCCCTTCCTTCCTTCATTCCTTCCTCCCTCCCATTTCCTTCCTCTTTCCCTTCTTCCTTCCTCCCTCCCATTTACTTCCTCCTTCCCTTCCCCCTTCCTTCCCTCGTTCCTTCCTCCCACCCATTTCTTTCCCTCCTTCCTTCCTCCCTCCCATTTCCTTCCTTCTTCCATTCTTCCTTCCTTCCTCCCATTTCTTCCCTCCCTCCCATTTCCTTCCCCCTTCCTTCCTCTCTCTCCCCCTCCTTTCCTCCTTTCCATTTACTTCCTCCTTCCCTTCCCCCTTCCTTCCTTCGTTCCTCCCTCCCACCCATTTCTTTCCCTCCTTCCTTCCTCCCTCCCATTTCCTTCCTCTTTCCCTTCTTCCTTCCTCCCTCCCATTTACTTCCTCCTTCCCTTCCCCCTTCCTTCCCTCGTTCCTCCCTCCCACCCATTTCTTTCCCTCCTTCCTTCCTTCCTCCCTCCCATTTCCTTCCTCTTTCCCTTCTTCCTTCCTTCCTCCCATTTCTTCCCTCCCTCCCATTTCCTTCCCCCTTCCTTCCTCTCTCTCCCCTTCATTCCTCCCTCCCATTTCTTTCCCTCCTTCCTTCCTACCTCCCATTTCCTTCCTCTTTCCCTTCTTCCTTCCTTCCTCCCATTTCTTCCCTCCCTCCCTTCCTCCATTCCTTTTTCCCATTTCTTTTCTTCCTTCCTTTCTTCCTCCTGCTCTCCCCTACCTTCCTCCTCCTCCCCCTTCTTCTCCTTCCTCCTCCTCCTCCCTCCTCCCTCCACTTCCTCCCCCCTGGCTTGCCTTCCAGCTGTTCCCAAAGGCTGCGTCCGACAGGCTCAGGTGTCCGGACCTCATGCGCAGATCGTCCTGCGGGAAGCTGTTGAAGTTGCCACAAAGCCCACACAGACGCCCTTTGTACGTTCCGGGCACGCTGACTTCCAGGTGGGAGCGGCCGTTCCAGAGCACCTGCAGGTGAGCAAAAGGACCCAACGATGTGCCACATCTGGGGCGTGAAGGAATGGATTTACTCGCTGTTGCCCCCCCACCCCCACCCCTTCCGCCAAGAGCTAGACCAAAGCTACCAACTGCAAGAAAAGAGTTTCAGGCTAGACATTCCTGAGCTGTTGGTCAGTGGAACAGGCCGCCACATGATGGGGTGAGATCTCCTTTGGCAGAAGTCTCCGAAATGAAGATGACGCTCTTAGTCTAGGCTAATCATACAGGTCGTCCTCGACTTACGACTACAATGGAGCCCAGGATTTCTATCGCTATGTGCAAAATGTCTTTCCAAGGGAGTTTCGCCCCATTTTACAAACTTTTCTGGCTGCATTCGTTCAGGGAATCGCTGCCCTTGTTCAACCAGTGACATGGTTGTTAAGTGAATCCGGCTTCTCCCATTGGCTTTGCTCATCAGAAGGTCACAAAGGGGGGCACCCGCAGGCGATCCCGGGGACGCGGCAACTGTCATAAATACGACTCAGTTGCCAAGCGTCTGAATTTGGATCGCATGACCACGGGGATGCCGCAACGGTCGTAAGTGTGAAACACGGTCCTAACTCCCTTTTTTTCAGTCCCGTTGTAACTTCAAACAGTCACTAAACAAACTGTTGTTAGTCGAGGACTGCCTTTCCTCAATACTTGCAAACACTGTTCATGTTTTAGATCAGGGGTCCCCAACCTTGGCAACTTTAGGACTTGGGGACTTCAACTCCCAGAGTTCCTCTGGCTGAGGAACTCTGGGAGTTGAAGTCCCCAAGTCTTAAAGTTGCCAAGGTTGGGGACCCCTGTTTTAGACAGCTTGGGCAGTGAAATATGGATGCCCCTGTAGTGTTATAGAGCAGAAAACACCAGTTACAGAACGGGAATGTCTTTGATACAACTTGGTTGCCTTTCCCCCAATTTCCCCAATTGACTGAGCCCCCCAACTTGCTGCCCCTGATCTCTGGAAACACCCCCCCCCAATGTGTTGCTTGTGGGGGCTGGGGGCATTTCCCCAACCCCCCAACTCAGGGGTGAAATGCTACTGGTTCGCTCCGGTTCGGGCAAGTCGGTAGTAAAAAAAAAAAAAGCTACCGGTACCTCTGAACCGATATTTCGACGATCAGCTGTGCCGCACGGTTTAGCTTTGCTAGGAAGCAGCTTTCTAGCAAAGGTAAATCGCGCAGCGCAGCTGATCCCTCCCCTCGCTGTTCTACTTACCTTCCCAAGCCTCCTTTTGGAGCATTCTGCACATGTGTGCATGCAGCGCGCATTTGGTGTGCATGCACGGCCAGTGAACTGGTAACAAACCAGTTCAGATTTCACCACTGCCCCAACTACCTTGACGCCGATGTTGGTGTTCAGCAGCAGAGTGCTGCCCTTTGGCTCCACGGAGAGGTGGGGCTCCTTCAGGAAGGGGAGGGTCACCGTCTGGGAGTCCACCTGCAGAGGGAGATGAAGGTCACCATGTCTGGGTGAGGGGCTGGATCTTGCCTGCCCTCCCCTCCCTTCTTGTAGAACAGTTGGGTGCAGGAAGGCCAACCGATGCCCCTTTGCCCGCCTCACCACGACCACACCGTCCTGTAGCAACTGCACCGTTGTGTCCCCGATCAACACGGTCACTTCCTTGGTCCAGGACACGCCCGGGCGTCCACGGTCCTCGTTGGTCACATGGATGCTGGATGGAGGGAGTAGAATAATTCGAGAGTTACTTTGGACCTTTGGAAAGGTCGCCATTGGTTCTCCATGCAAGTTGGATGGTATTTCGGTTTGTTGCATGGTGCCCCATAAGCTGACTTATTTTGGCAGGATCTCCGGGATCCAAGGTTTATTCTTCCAAACTTTCAGGCTCGTGCTGGAGCTCATCATCCTCAGGGAACGTCTCTCTCTTATTGTTGACTGAGACGGATCAAGAATATAATTGCAACCCCATGTATCCTAATGTTCAACCAAAATGTTGGAGATGTGATTGCTTGGATGCTACATATTATCATATATGGTGGACATGTAAGAAAGCAAAGGCTTTCTGGATAAAAATTTGGTGGGTTATGCAAAATGTTCTGAAGAAAAAACTCCAATTTTCTCCTCAATTGTTTTTACTGGGCATAGTTAAAGGCTTTTCAATGGGTGAAACAAAATTGATATTGTATATGGTGACAGCAGCTAGGTTATTGATCGGTCAATATTGGAAAAGGGATGATATGCCTACTATTGAAGAATGGACTTTGAAGGTGGCCAGTTTTGCAGAAATGGCGAAGATATCAGCATACTTAAAAGACCGGACTCAAGAGACCTATGCATGGGAGTGGAAGAAATGGATAGATTATGTGCAGAATAAATACCAAACTAGGAAGTACCAGATAGCTTTTAGTTGAATGTTGTGTAGAAATGTATAGTATATAGGGGGTACAATAGTTCAGTGTCATGTAGAAATGTATAGTATACAGGGGGGAGAATAGAAGGGCGGTAAAGTATGATAACATATGATTTGGATTTGGATTTCACCTTGGGGAAGTCATGGGAGGAGGGGAGGGTTAGGGAGGGAAAGGGGGGGGAAATGGGAAAATTTGTATTTGTAAAACTTTTTCAATAAAAAAAAAAAGAATATAATTGCAGCCCGAAAAATACACTAAGGCAGACGCTTGTCCGCCCCAAGGATAAAACACCCCGAGAGGAACCGAGCAACGTGGTACATGCAGTATAATGCAGTGAGACGTGTGCAGACTGTTGTTTCTCCGTGTCATATAATATTATGTGGGTACATGCATAATTTTGTATTTATTTATTTATCTTGTCATGTTTATGTTTACCCTGTTTCCCCGAAAATAAAAGACACCCCTCGATAATAAGTCCAATTCGGCTTTTGAGTGCATGCGCTAAAATGAGCCTCCCCCCGAAAATAAGCCCTCCCTGAAAATAAGCCCTCCTCGAAAATATTTAAACGCAGAGCTAGAAATCAGGTAAGATGGCAAGAGGAGCCCCATTCTTGTTCCACGTGCCCCAAAATACTAAGACCTCCCCGAAAATAAGGCCAAGCGCTTATTTCGGGGTTCAAAAAATATAAGACAGGGTCTTATTTTCAGGGAAACACAGTATATTAGAGGTGGAGACCCTTTGAGAGCTGTATGCAACGTAATTTAATTTTAATGTATGACGATGAGTGTATATTCAAAGTGACAATAAAGTAAAAATATTCTATTCTGTACATTGGGGAAACAAAACAACCACTTCATAAACACATGGCACAACATAGGAGAAAAAAAATCATCAGGACTAGATTCAACAGTCTATCTTTATTTAAAAGGCAAAAGGCCACTCTTTTGAAGACAACAAGGTCCACATTCTGGACAGGGAGGGCCGCTGGTTTGAAAGAGGGGGTCAGAGAGGCCATCTATCTCAAAACTGAACAGCCCTCCCTCAACAGAGAGGGAGGGATACAATATCATCTATCTTCAGTCTACAACATGGTCCTTTCAAGAGCTCCAAGAAGGCTCCACACCCATTTTGCACCACTCAGGTGTGACCCTGAGGACACAGATAAAACCTCCAAGTGGTCTCAATGACCCTCTAAAACGTCTGTCTGCAAGGAGTATCAATCCTTCCCTTCCTCACTATCCAGCCAGAGCTGAAGAAGCTTCTTGGATGAGAAGCAAACATCTTCAAAGAAAAACTAGAAAGTCCAGTTGCCTCTTGAAAAAAAGCACCTTTGGGATAACCATGAGTGACGGAGAATCTCCATAGACATCTGGCAAAAGAACAAAGGCATTCCTACCCCCGACCTTTAGTTTGAGGTTAGCATTGAAGATCTGGGCTTGGAGAGGAAGGGGGCTCACCTGAAGTCCTCCCCATGGCAATCCTGGGACAGGACGTACTTGCAGCCCCCTTGGAAGTGGATCATTTTGCCATCGAACATCCGGTAGTGGGGGTCACCGAAGGCCACGCAGGTGGCGGGATGCGGGACGCAGCGGGGGCAGCACACGCCGGGGATCAGGGCTGGAGTCTCGTCCTGTCGGCAAAGAACACAGCCCGGAGCATCAGAGTTCCCTCTCTTCCCCTCTCCCTCCTCCAGAGACACAACCCTTCTCCCCAGCAAGGTTAATGGCTTTGGGCCAGTACAGGTAAACCTCGACTTACAACCACAATGGAACCCCAAATTTCCGTTGCTAAGCGAGACAGTTGCAAAGGCAGTTTGGCCCCATTTTACGACCTTTCCTGACGCAGTTGTTAAGTGCAGTTGTTAAGTTAGTCACACGGTTGTTACATGAATCTGATTTCTGCACGGACGTCGCTCGTGAAAGGGGATATATGACCCTGAGACTTTGCAGGCGTCATAAATACGAATCAGTTGCCAAGCGGCCGTATTTTGGTCACGTGACCACGGGGATGCTGCGACAGTCGTAAGTGTGAAAAACAATCCTTTCTCCCAGTGCTGTTATAACTTTGAAAGGTCAAAGTAATGAATGGTTCTAAGCAGGGGTGAAATGCTCCCAGTTCAGACTGGATCGCCCGATCCGGTAGCGATGGAGGCGGGTGGTTCGGAGAACCAGTAGCAAAAATCCCTGCCCCCCCCCCATGCCCAGCTGAGCTGCACAATCATCAGAGGCTTTTTTTTTTACTTTTCAAAGCATTTTTTCTACAACCTTTGGACAAAAAATGCTTTTAAAAGTAAAAAAAAAAAGCCTCTGATGATCGCGCGGCTCAGCTGGGATCGTCAAAGGCATTTCAAAGAAAAAAAGCCTCTGCTGATCAGGCAACTCAGCTGGGATCATCAGAGGCTTTTAAAAGCATTTTTTCTACAACCTCTTCGGCCAAAGAGGTTGTAGAAAAAATGCTTTTAAAAGTAAAAAAAAAAAAATTGGCCACACCCACCCAGTCACATTACACCCCCCCAAGCCACGCCCACAGAACCGGTAGTAACAAATTTTAGATTTCACCACTGGTTGTAAGTCAAGGACTATCTTTAAGAGTTGCTCTCTGAGTGATTGTGGCAACTCCCCCTTGAACTGGGGGGAACCCCAGGGTGGGACAGGCTTTGTCTGACCCCACCCCCTCCATCCAGACCTTTCTCTGCAACTCACCGCAGCACAGGTAGAGGGGGGGCAGCGTTCACGACGACAGTGCACCTGGCCAGACACGCAGGTACAGGAGGTGCATTCGTCCACCTGCCAGCGCTGGTTGGAGTGGAAGACCTGGCTCAGGTGGGAGCAGTTCTGGCCGGGATCTGGGGAAAGATACGGATGGGGGTGGGGTGGGGAAGAAGGTGATGTCGTCTTGCAAACTGCCCCTTCTTCCTGCCCCCAACGTTGCTGCACCTGGATTCCCACCCCCAGCTCACCCTGGAGAGGCACCACTAGGTGCAAATGCAGTGGTGGGATTCAGCCGGTTTGCACCTATTCAGGAGAACCGGTTGTTAACTTTCTAAGCAGTTCAGAGAACCGGTTGTTGGAAGAAATCTTATTTTCTTTTTCCCCACTTTACAGGGCTAATCCTGTAAGGAAGGCAGGAAGGAAACGTTCTGGTGGTGTTTCTAGCCTAATCTTTATTGCCCTGCTTACAGAAACTGCCTCTTTGGTTTAACCCTTATTACGTTGTAACAGCTAAGGCGAAGCGCCCATTGACGTAAGTGATGTTGAGTTGGCCACGCCCACACGGTCACATGACCACCGAGCCACACCTACTCAGCTGGTCATTAGGGCAGAGAACCGGTTGTTAAATTATTTGAATCCCACCACTGTGCAAATGTATTGGCTAAGGCTGTAAAAATCTGTATTTTATTTTTAAATTGGCAAATGAAAGGGCAGGGTCTTAGCAAAAGATCCCTCTCCCCACCCCACTCCACAACCATTTGTATGAGAGCTCAAATCAGGACCTTGCTGTAAGCGAAGTTTGCATTTATTTTATCTGTTAAATTTGCTGGTATCTTATCGATTGAATTTGCTTTTAATTTCTCCAGTTTGCCTTTATTTATCGAACTTGCATTTATTTTGCTTATCGAATTTGCACTTTTTTTTTTAATTTGATTTATATGCCGCCCTTCTCCGGAGACTCAGGGCGGCTTACAATGCGCTAAGCAATAGCCTTCATACTTTTGTATATTTATACAAAGTCAGCTTATTGCCCCCACAATCTGGGTCCTCAATTTACCTACCTTAGAAAGGATGGAAGGCTGAGTCAACCTTGAGCCTGGCGAGATTCGAACCTGCAGTAATTGCAGGCAGCTGAATGTACTTATTCAGCACTTATTGCATTGGTCCAATTTGCTTTTATTTTATCGATTAAATTCCTATGATTTCCTTTATCAAACCTGCTTTTATTTCATTGATCGAATTTAACAGAATGTTGGGAGGGACCTCAGAGGTCTTCTAGTCCAACCTTCTGCTCAATCAGGACACCCCTGTCCCATTTCAGACAAGTGGCTGTCCAGTCTCTTCTTAAGACCCTCCCCACCCCCCGTGTTGGAGCACCTACAACTTCTGGAGTCAAGGAGTTCCACTGGTTAATTGTCCTCACTCTCAGGAAGTTTCTCCTTCGTTCTCAGTTGCTTCTCTCCTCGATTAGTTTCCATCCGTTGCTTCTCCTGCCTTCAGGGGCTTTGGAGAATAGCTTGACTGCCTCTTCTTTGGGGCAGCCCCTCAAATATTGTAAGACTGCCATCATGGAGCACGAAATGCATTTGCTAACAGGGTTTGTGCTAAACAACTATGCCCTTTTCTTCTTGTGTGTGTTTTATTGTCTTACCTTGGCATTCGGCGCAGCACTGCCCTGGCACCCGTACCTCCACCAGGCCATCCTGGCACACTAAAGGCAGACACTCCTGGATGTGGCACTCCACGTGTCCCAGCTGCACATCAACAAGAAGGCTTGTTACACCACAAAGTTGCGTGTCTGAGACACACCGGCCTCAAACTTGTGTTGCCACCCGAAATGCATTTCTAAGGATGTGTTTTTGCCCACTCTAAACCTCCCCGGGTGGCACTGATGATGGCAAAGCAGCTCCCTAAAATGCCAGCTATGGAAGACCTGCAGAAATGCAATTCTAATCTAGGATTGTGGGCCAAACCTTCTCGCAGATAAGACGGCCGGCCCTGGGTTCAAATCTACACCATTCTTTTGCCATTCTACAATTTATCAATTTTCACCCTCGGTCTTATTCTTGGTAAAAACTAGGAAGGGGAAACAGGTTGTCCTCGACTTACAACAGTTCGTTTAGTGACCATTTGAAGTTACAACGGCACTGAAAACAGTGACTTACGACCGTTTTTCAGACTTACGACCACGGCAGCATTCCCATGGTCCAAATTTGGATGCTGGGCAACTGATTCATTTTTATGACGGTCGTAGTCTCCTGGGGTCACATGATTCCCCCTTTGCAACAGTGGGGAAGCCAGATTCATTTAACAACTGTGTGACTCACTTAATAACTGAAGTGATTCGCTTAACAACTACGGCAAGAAAGGTTGTAAAATGGGGTAAAATTCATTTAACATCTGTCTCGCTTTGCATCAGAAATTTTGGGGTCAATTGTGAAATAAATGGATGTTGACATTTTTGGAAATAAACTAGCATGTTTAGTGATAAATGGGAGAGAGGAGGAGCACAAAAAAAGTCACAGACTGACATGCTGTCTGTAACTGTTTGGAATGATAATGTTTTTATGTTTTGTTTTTGCTTTTAAAAATAAAAAAACTTTTTATAAAAAAAAAGAAATGTTGGGGTCAATTGTGGTCATAATTCGAGGACGACTCATCTCAACATGGACTAGAAACTTGGGGAACTGAGAAATACTGCCAATATCCTTGGTAATTATAGGGAATCTTTGTTGTATGACTGCTTGCTTAGTGACCGCTTAAAGTTATAACACAGCTACCCAAAACTATTTACGACCTGGATTCAAAGTTATGACAGCTGCCCCCCTACCCCACGATTGCATTTTGGGGACCGTCCTGCACTTACGACTATTAGCAGTGTGCTGTGATGATGTCACTGCAATCTACAACATTTTTGCTGGAAACCAAGTTCACACTTCAAAAAACGTCTTTTGCAGACAATCATTTAACAACCTCATAATCCCTTGAGTTTGATAATCCATAATCAGGAGGTTGGACAACTGAATGGAGCTGGGTGTTTTATTGGCCGGATGCCTTTCCTGTCGCCAGTGCGGAGTTTTGTTCAGCAGATAAATTCTCATTGCACCCAGAGAGAGAAATATCTGCCTCTACCTAGGATCGAACTCACAACCTTTGCAGACAATGCATTCACTTAATGATTGGGCTGTTCACTTAACAACTTCCACATTGGCTTAACAACCACTGTAAAAAAAAGGTTTTAAAATCCAGCATGATCACCGGCTTAATGAGCAGTGGGACTTAATGACTGTAATTCTGGGCTCAATCACGGTCGTTAAGTCGAGGATTTCCGGCATTGGCTCCGAACTCGTCAGTGAACAGACCATGCAGGGTTTGGGTTGAAAGGGGTGCGAGGTTCTTACGTGGCATGAACAGGACACGCAGCTGTCCGCACTGTCCTTCCAGGTCTCCCCGTCGGACACCCGCCGTCCGTCAGCCTCGATCACGCATTCTGCAAAAAGAATCATAGAGTAACGGAGGTGGAAGGGACCTTGGAGGTCTTCTAGTCCAACCCCCTGCTCAAGCAGGAGATCCTCTACTATTACACACAAATGGATGCCCAATCTCTTCTTAAAATCTCCCAGTGATGGAGCATCCACAACTTCTGGTGGCAAGCTGTTCCACTGGTTAATTGTTCTCATTGTAAAGAAAAATTCTCCTTAATTCCAGGTTGCTTCTCTCCTTGATCAGTTTCCATTCATTACTTCTTGTCCTGCCTTCAGGTGCTTTGGATAATAGGTGGACCCCTTCTTCTTTGGGGTAGCAGCCCCTCAAATACTGGAAGACTGCCGTCATGTCCTCCCTAGTCCTTCTTTTCTCTGGACCGGCCAAACCCAAATCCTGCAACTGTTCTTTCATATGTTTTTAGTCTCCAGGCCTTTAATCCTCTTAGTTGCTCTTCTCTGCACTTTTTCCAGAGTCTCAACATCTTCTTTATATTGTGGTCACCAAAACTGGTGGCACTATTCCACGTGTGGCCTTACTAAAGGTTTGTAAAGCAGTGTTCCTCTAATTCAGGGATCTCCAGAATTGGCCACTTGCAAACTTGTGGACTTCAACTCCCAGAATTCCCCCCTCCCTCCCCCCTCCTTTCTCTTTCTTTCTTTCTTTCTTTCTTTCTTTCTTTCTTTCTTTCTTTCTTTCTTTCTTTCTTTCTTTCTTTCTTTCTCTCCATTCTCTTCCTTCCTCCCTTCTTTCTTTCTTTCTTTCTTTTCTCTTCAGCTCTTTCTTTCTCTCCATTCTCTTCCTTCCTTCCTTCCTCCCTCCCTCCCTTCTCTCTCTCTTTCTTTCTTTTTTCTCTTCAGCTCTTTCTTTCTCTCCATTCTCTTCCTTCCTTCCTTCCTTCCTTCCTTCTTTCCTCCTCCTTCTTTCTTTCTTTCTTTCTTTCTTTCTTTCTCTTTCTCTTCTCTTTCTTTCTTTCTTTCTTCTTCCTTCCTCCCTCCCTCCCTCCCTTTCCTCCTTCCTTTCTCTCTCTCTCTCTCTCCCCACCTTTATTATATTTATAACTAACTCATGGTAGTGAACATATCCAACACATCTTCTTACTCCTATTTTCCCTGCAAAAACAACCCTGTGAGGTGTGTTGAACTGAGTGATTGGCTCAAAGCTGACTTTTCTGCCTAAGGCAGGACTAGAACTCCCTGTCTCCTGGTGATTGGCCCAAAGTCACCCAGCTGGCTTTCCTGCCTACGGCGGGACTAGAACTGGTGATCTGCTTTCTAGCCTGGTACCTTAACCCCTAGACCAAACTTCCACAGGGCAGGGAGGGGACGTAAAGGGCAGAGAGATAGGTCACCGTCACAGACTGGGCAGCAGGAACCCGGCGGGGTGAAGTGTTGGGCGCTGGGGCAGCTGAGCAAAGGGCATCCTCGGTGCACACAGACCCAGGTCAGATCCTGCATGGAAAGAAGGCAACGTCAGGCGTGGCCCATACCAAGGGATGCTTGGGGGTCTTCTGGACACCCTCGGATGACTTAGGGGAGACCAAGGAAGGGGACGACCATCCGTGGTCACGAAGACTGGAAAAGAAGCAGATCTGAATCACTGACTCTGCCACTGCCATGCCAACCCCCCTCCCCCACCCCTCTGCAGGAACCCCGTCCTTTGCTGCAGCATCAGTCCTGGGCGGAGCCTCACCTGGCACATACAGGTGTAGCAGGGTTCCTGGGTGGCTTGGACCTCGTTGCCCAGCAGGTCGGAGGTGCAGTTGCTGAGGGCTTCTTTGAAAGGAAGGAGAGGGGAAGGGAAGGAGGAGGTGGGAGAGGGAAGGGAAGGGAAAAGAGAGGGAGGGAAGGAGGAAGGAGGAAAGGAAAAAGGAAAAGAAAGAAAAAAAGGGAGGAAGGAAGAAGGAGGAAAAGAAAAGAAAAGGAGAGAGGCAGGAAGGAAGGAAGAAAGAAGGAAGGAAAGAAGGAAGGAAGGAAGGAAGGAAGGAAGGAAGGAAGGAAGGAAAAAAGAGTAAGGAAAAGAGGGAGAGGAGGAGGAAAGGAAAACAAAAGAAAAAGGAAGGCAGGCAGGAAGGCAGGAAAAAAGAACAAGGAAAAAAGAATAGATAAAAAGGCAGGCAGGAAGGAGAGCAGAGAAATGAAAGGGAGAGAAGGCAAGAGAGGAAAGGAAGGGACGGAGAAGAGAAAGTGAAACTTTTAGGATGCTTTTCTTTTCCAAAAGGACCCCCACTCGTCCCCACAGGGCCCTTTAAGGCCACCGGCTGCTTTGGTTGCCCTGAAACTGCCGATGGGGACAGTTGGGGAGGTCTAAAAATGACCAGGGCATGGAGCCCTGCCAGCTTGGCCTCCTGAAGACAAACTGCCTGCTGCCTTTCAGAAGGCGTGACGGACTACAATACCCATTATCCACCAGGCTACTGGGACCTGGAGTCCAAAACCCCCAAGCAGGTCCTGTTCAGAAGGGGTCGTTTTCCAGACTTCTGTGTTTTTCCTTCAAGTGGAGGTCAGACACTTCCCCCCTTTGAGGGAGGGGTGGTTTCTCTCGAGAGCCCCACCTGAACCCCATTCCTGCTCAGTGGAGAAGGAAAGCGGGGGGGGGGGGGAGAGACTCACGTGCACAGGTGGGGCAGCAGGCGCCAGGTGCCGGCGCCTGAATCTGGTCCTGGGTGCAATCCAGCAGGCTGGGACACTGTTTGCGATGGCATTGGAGGTGCGGATGGCCGTCGGACATTAGCTGGGGAGGGGAGCAGAGGGAGGGTGTGAATTTGTGCGGGCGGGCAGGCGTGCATGTGTGAAAACCGGTCGTAAGTCCCTTTTTCAGTGCCGTTGTAATGCTGAACGGTTCAATACTGCAAAATTCACTTAACAAATATCTCGCTTAGCAACTGAAATTTTGGGTGCCATTGTGGTCATTAAGTGGAGGACTGCACTGGTCGGATCCAGCGGGAGGGGGCTCCTACCTGACAGGTGCAGATTTCACAGGGGTCTCCTCCAGGCTGGAAGCTGTCCCCTGGCCCATAATGACGGCCCCTGTAGCTGCAATCTGGGCAAAGGAAGGAGAAGAATGATCATAGGAAGAAGAGAGGAAGAGATTCATAACAGTTAGATAAGAGAAATTTGAGTCCGGAATAGAACTGTAATCAGAGAAAGCGTCGTAAGAGAATCACTGTAGTTGTTGAGTGAATATGCGGTCATTAAGCAAATCTAGCTTCCTCCCTTGACTTTACTTATCACGAGCTAGCTGGGAAGGTCACAAAGAGGATCACATCGTGACCCCAGGGCACTGCGACTGTCATAAATGCAGGTAGTCCTCGACTTACGACCACAATGGAGCCCAACATTTCTGTTGCTAAGTGAGACAGTCGTTAAGTGAATTTTGCTCCATTTTTATGACCTTTCCTGCCTCATTTATTAAGCGGATCGCTGCCATTGTTAAGTTAGTCCCAGGGTTGTTCAGTGAATCTGGATTCCCTGTTGACTTTGGCTTGGCAGAAGGTCGCAAAACGGGACCCTGGGACACTGCAAGTGTCATAATATGAGTCAGTGGCCAAGCGCCTGCGTTTTTATCATGGTCGTAAGTGTGACGCAACGGTCATCAGTGTGGGAAATGGTCATAAGTCACTTTTTCCAGTGCTGTTGTAACTTTGAGCGGTCACTAAATGAATGAAGTTGAGGACTACCTGCAATAATAGGCATGGTGTTGGATTCCTTAGTCTAGTCTAGTCTACCTCGAAGGGCTGGCAAGAACAGGGTTCGGGGTTCCTCTCATGGTCAACAGATGCCCAAACGATGACCGAAGGGCCTTTGGAGGTCTTCTAGTCCACCCCCCTGCTCTAAGCTCGGCCCCCTCCTCACCCGCGCACACTGGGCAGCACTCCCCGGGCACTTCCACCTGCGCAGGGCAGGAGTTCACGCAGATGATCCGGGTGCAAGTGACGACGCCGTCTGCGCACAGGCAGGCCTGGCAGGGCTCCGAGGGGGCAAACCAGCTGCTGCCATCGGCCCGATCCTGGCCCTCGTGCACGCAACCTGCAGAAGGGGGGGGAAGGGCAGGGAGGGGTCAGGCCTGCTGGTGGGGTGGGGGGGGGAATGGGCCCTGCTCTTCTGGGCAAGGCTGGGGGATGGTCTGCATTTCTTGGGCCAGTTTCTTTGTCTGTCTTTCTTTCTTTCTTTCTTTCTTTCTTTCTTTCTTTCTTTCTTTCTTTCTTTCTTTTTCTTTCTTTCTTTCTTTCCTTCCTTCCTTCCTTCTTTCTAGTTCCTTCCTTCTTTCTTTCTCTTTCTTTCTTTCTCTCTCTTTCTTTCTCCTTTCCTCCCTCCATCCCTCCTTCTCTTTCTCTCTCGCTTTTTATTTTCCTTCCTTTTCCTTCCTTCCTTCCTTTCTTTCTTTCTTTCTTTCTTTCTTTCTCTTCATTTCCTTCCTTCTTTCTTTCTTTCTCATTCTTTTTTTTGTTTCCTTTCTTCCCTCCTTCCTTCTTCTCTTTCTCTCTTTTATTTTCCTTCCTTTTTTTCCTTCCTTTCATTCTCTTTCCTTTCTTTTGCCTTCCTCCCTCCCTCCCTTCTCCTTCCTTCTTTCCTTCCTTCCCTCCCTCCCTCCCCTCAAAAAGGAACAAGGTGGACGTGGCACCTTGGCAACGGGGGCAGCAAACTCCGGGCTCCGTCACCGGCTGGGCGCATGTGGCAGGAGGGCAGGGGATGACCTCACAGCGGACGTTCCCGTCCTGCAACAGAGAGAGATGGGCGAGGACATCAGTGCCACCCTCCACCCCACAGATCCCTGACTCTGATCCACCCCCTCCTTCCGGAGGGCTGGCACATCTTTGGTTAACTGGCATCTTGCCACAAAACAAGACGGAAGGGGGAAGGGATTTCGGGTGATAAAGTTCGGAGAACACAAATGGCGGGAGGGGAGACAAGAACCGGAAGTGCCAAACTGGAATAAACCAGCCACCAAGGACACCAAATGCAAAACGGCATCAAGAGGTGACAAGCATCCGGGCAGTTCCCAAAGCATCAAACCAGCGTGAGTTTTGCTCCACTTTATGATTTTTCTTGCTGCCGTTGTTAAGAGATTCACTGCAGGTGTGAAGTTAGTCGCATGGCCGTTAAGTGAATCTGGCTCCCCCATTGGACTTTGCTTGTCAGAAGGTCGCAAAAGGGGAGGTCGGAACACTGCAATCGTCATAAATGTGAGTCAGTTGCAAAGTATCTGAATTTTGATCATGTGACCATGGGGATGCTGCAACGGTCGTAAGTGTGAAAAACCAGTCCTAAGTCACTTTTTTCAATGCCCTTGTAACTTCAAACGGTCGTTACATGAATTGTTGCAAGTCGAGGACTACCTACAGTCTCCATTCATTTGGAGAGGCTGAACGGTCAATAAATGCAGTGTTGTAAGTCGAGGACTATCTGTACTCAGATGTAGCTTTACTTTCGCTTCAACCGCTTAACTTTAGTAAAAGAGACTATCACTTCAACCAAATGGGAGTCGAGGGTTTTTCTTTCCTAGAGGTCCAAGTTGGGGCAGGCCTGACAGCAATCCTGAATAGCTACCCAGAACAAAGCTTTGGATTTCTGCCTGCGATATAGCTGGTAACCCTGGGCAGGCTGTCTTTTTCCTGCTGGGAAGCCGTGCCGAGGGGCAGAGGTGGGCACTCACCTGGCAGACGCACTGCAGGCACGACTCCGGCTGGAAACCCTGCCCGTGGGCATAGCGCTCCCCTTCGAAGATGCAATCGTGGCACATGGGGCAGCAGGGACCCGGAGCCGGATGCGAGCAGAGCGTAGGTTTGCAGGGCACCGGCTGGCAAGAGGCTTCGCCCCCAGGCTGGCAAAGAGAAAAGAATAAGGGGCCTCTAGCCATCCAAAAGAGGTGAGAAGAGTTCCCAAGCAGAGGGAATCTGCCCAAAGTCATCAAAAAAGTCAAAATGGCAGCCGGGATGGTGCAACTGAATAGCGCCAGTTCAAACAACTCTCCTAATGTTTTTGACTACACCTAATGGACACCCCTGGTCCAACACTTGATTGGGCCAAGATTGCCCCTCCCCTCCAGTCCAGCATGAAGCTCCCCTTCACAGGGGAATTCTGGGAGTTGAAGTCCAAGAATTGACTGGGGAATTCTGGGAGTTGAAGTCCACCCCTCTTAAAGTTCCCAAGGTTGAGGGACACTGCTCTGTGTCAGGGCTCTCCAAACTTAGCTACTTTAAGACTGACTTGTGGACTTCAACTCCCAGAATTCCTCCGCCTTCCATGCTGGCTGGGGGATTCTGGGAGTTGAAGTCCGTCCCTCTTAAAGTGGCCCTGCTTGAATAATATTGGAATAGAGTTTTGATGCTGATGATTATTTTGATTGTTTTTTTCAGATCCTCTGCACAGTGGCATGGACGTGGTCGCTCTCTTGACTTTTTTGACCTCCCTTGGGTGAGGTGGGGTCCACAGGGTGACGACGCGAGGGTCTTACCCCACAGGAGCACTCCTGGCAAGGGTCCAAAGCCGAGAGCCACTGGGTTCCTTCGGGATATTCCTGACCTGCGTGCTGGCACACTAGGGGCAGGAGGAAAATTGAGGTGAAGCTCCTAGATTTTGGGGTACCCGGTCACTCTGCCACCCAGCCTGCTTTCTAGCCAATTGCTGACTGGCAATTGGGCATTAAAATTTATTTAGTGTGCAGGTAGCGTCCCTACCACCCCGGGTGCTTCTTACCTTGGCACTGCAGGCAACATTCGCCCGGTTTTCGGCTGGGTTTGGCGCACGAGGCCGGTGGACACACCACGGGGGCGCAAAGCACGTTGCCCCCGAGGCAGCTGCAGCGGCGGCAGGGGTCAGAGAGAGGGGTGAAGACCGCTCGGTTGGCGTATTCCTGACCTTCGTAAAGGCAGCCATCACAGAGGGGGCAGCAGGCAGCCCTGGCGGGGGGCACGGGGTGGGCACACTGCTGCGGGCAAGGCTTGGGCTGGCACGTCACCGTTCCTGCCTGGGGAGGGAGAGGGCAAGGAGCTGGAGAGGTGGGGAGGGCCAAGGCTGGTGGGCCACACCCCAGGTGAGAATTCTTTTCTTTCTTTTCTTTTTCTTTTATTAGATTTATACACCGCCCTACTCCCGAAGGACTCAGGCACAAAAATAAAATACACAAATACAAAAATTTAAAAGCAAAAATAAAACCAGATTAAACAATTTAAAACATCCCAATAATTTAAAAACAGATTTTTTAAAATTTTCAATTTAAAAGAAAAGGGGGGAAAAGGTTAGGCCAGGCCAGCTTGCTGGAATAGGAAGGTCTTAAGAGCGCGGCGGAAAGGGCGCAGATCCGGGATCCTCCGTATCTCCGGGGGGAGCTCCTTCCAGACAGTGGGTGCCCCCACAGAGAAGGCCCTCCCCCTGGGGGCCGCCAGTCAACACTGTTTGGCCGACGGCACCCGGAGGAGCCCCTCTATGAGAGCGTACTGGGCGGTGGGAGGCTATTGGTGGTAGTAGGCGGTCCCGAAGTAGCCAGGTCCTAAGCCATGGAGCGCTCTAAAGGTGGTAACCAAAACCTTGAATTCATTCTTGAGGGGGTGAGATCCGACCTCAGTCTAAAGCCAACTGTCCCCTTGGCACCCCAGAGTCAGAAAGAGGGAGAGGGAGAGGCAGATCAGTGTTCGCACCTGTGGCGGGGGCGGGGGGGTAAAGAAGCCCTGGACCACTTTTGTTCACTCTTGAACTCAGCTCCTTCCTTCTCCACCTGCTGAGACTAGCAGTCTCTTGTATTTCTAAGACAGGGGACACCCCCCAATTTAGTGCCACGCCTAACCCAAGAACTCCCTAAAAAGGTCATTCTTTGCCCCACACGTCCAGCCACCCCAAAAGTTCCCTCCTAGCCAGGAAGCGCCTGACTCCCTTTCCTGCAGCCCTCCCTGCCCCTACACCCCCCTACACGGTGCCTCAAACCCTGTGCCCAAAGCAGACTTCAAATCTGCAGGTACTGGAAGAGGAGAATATATTAGTTCAGGGTTAAAATGAGGGGTCCTGGGTGGTCTCTGAGGTTGATGGTCTTCCTGCAGACGTTTCATGACCCAACTAGGGAACATCATCAGTGCCAGAAGGAGGAAGGCTTCTTGACTGGAGGAGAACAAGGGGAGGAGAAGCGGGAGGAGGAGGAGAGGAGAGGGAGAAAGAGGAGGAGGACGACTGTGGGGTCCTTGGTGCTCTGAGCTGGGTGGTTTTCTTGTAGACATTTCATGACCCAACTAGGCAACACCATCAGTGCTAGAACTGAGTGGGGTTTGCAGGAAGGAGGAGGAGGAGGAGGAGGAGGAGGAGAAGGAGGAGGAGGAGCAGGAGAGGAGAGGGAGAAAGAGGAGGAGGAGGACTGTGGGGTCCTTGGTGCTCTGAGCTGGGTGGTTTTCTTGTAGACATTTCATGACCCAACTAGGTAACACCATCAGTGCTAGAACTGAGTGGGGTTTGCAGGGAGGAGGAGGAGGAGGAGGAGGAGGAGGAGGAGGAGGAGGGGAGGAGGAGGAGGAGGAGGAGGAGGAGGACAACTGTGGAGTCCTTGGTGCTTTCTGAGCTTGGCTATTTTCTTGCAGGCATTTCACGACCCAACTAGATAACATTATCAGTGCTAGAAGGGTGTGGGGTTTGCTCATTTTATATTCTACTGAGTTGCCACACAAATGGTTGACGCCATCCTTTCAGGCTGGGCTCCTGTGAGTTGTGCCCCCTGCCGGAAAGGCCACAGACTGGTGTGCCAGCCAGGAACCTGCAAAATCCCTCCGTCGGTCTGGTACTGACTCACCTGGCAAGTACAATTGCGGCACGGATCCTGGGACGAAATAAAGACCTCCCCGCTTTTGTAGAGGTGTCCCTGGTAGCGGCAGGCACCCGGGCATTTGGGGCAGCATTGGCCAGGGGGCATGACGGGTTCCTGGCAGGGCACGGGAGGGCATGGAGTGGGAGAGCACTTCACCGTTCCACGCTGCGGACAGTACAGGATAAGAGTCCTGTTAATAGTGTAGAGTTTCTCATGGGGTGAAATGCTCCCGGTTCGGACCGGTTCGGGCGATCCGGTAGCGATCGGTGCAGGTGGTTCGGAGAACTGGTAGCGATGGCGGCGCGAGGTTTCGCCTACCCGCCCGGGTGTCGTTACTTCCTGCTTTTAAAAGGTTTTTTAAAAAGGCTCTGACGATCGCGCACCACAGCTGTGATCGTCAGAGCCTTTTTTAACCTTTTAAAAGCATTTTTTACAACTTATTCGCCCGAATAGGTTGTAAAAAAATGTTTTAAAAAAGAAACAAAAAAGTTGGCCACGCCCACCCAGTCACATTACCCCTCCCCCCACATAACCTGTAGTAACAAATTTTACATTTCACCCCTGGTTTCTCAGTCATCTGGATGAGGGGTCTCCAACCTTGGCAACTTTAAGACTTGTGGACTTCAACTCCCAGAGCTCCTCACAAGTCTTAAAGTTGCCAAGGTTGGAGACCCCTGATCTGGATCACCGTTGGCCGACAACTGATGCTTACAATTTTTGGCAAAAACTGTGCCATTGAAACAAGAGCTTCGTTTAATGACCCCAAGGTTTACTTAACGACTGCAACGTTAGCACAATGGATTGCTGCGTTTGCATAAGACCCCATTGCAAAAAAAATTTGTAAAATTGAGTCTTAAAATTGCAGTGTCATAAAATGGATCACTTCAGGTTCCATTATGGTCGTAACTTGAGGACTAACTGTGGTTTGTGCCCCCCCTCCAGTCGCAATGACTCAGCCCCCTTCCCCCCCCCCGGTTACTGACCAGGCATTGGCATTCCTCACAGGGCTGGTGTGGGGAAGCAAAACTCTCTCCATCTCCGTAGTCTTGGCCCCGGAACCTGCAGCCTGGAAGGGAGAAAAGAGACCACTCAGAGTCGGAGCAAAGAAATCCCTTCTGGCCCTTTAAGAAGCTGGGAGGGCGGGGAATTCTGGGAGTTGAAGTCTTAAGGCGCCAAGATTGGTCATTTGTTTGTTTTTTGTTTTTTCTGCCACAAATTTTAAAGCAATCTATAAGGGAGGGAGTGAATGAGTGAATGAATGAATGAATGAATGAAGCAATCAATCAATCAATCAATCAATCGAGTGAGTGAATGAGTGAATGTGTAGCCCTGCAGATAAAGGGTAGTAGCATCTCTTGAAATCACTTACCCTGGCACAGGGGGCAGGTGCATGGGCCGGGCACCGGATGGGCACAGCTGGCTGGCGTGCAAAGTTTCTTCATACAGTGAATCGAGCCCGCCTGTGGAAAGAGGAAGAGGAAAGGGAAGAAAGAGGAGGAGGAGGAGGAGAGAGAGAGAGAGAGAGAGAGAGAGAGAGAATGAGAGAGAATGTGTGTGTGTGTGAGATAGAGGGAGAATGAGAGAGAATGCGAGAGAAAATGCGAAAGAATGAGAGAGCGAATGAGAGAAAGAATGTGTGTGTGTGAGAGAGAGAGAGAAAGAGAAGAGAAGAGAAAGAGAAGAGAAGAGAGGAGAGGAGAGAAGAGGAAGAGAAAGAGAAGAGAAAGAGAAGAGAAAGAGGAGAGGAGAGGAGAGGAGAGGAGAGGAGAGAAAGAGAAAGAGAAGAGAAAGAGAAAAGAAGAGGAGAGGAGAGGAGAGGAAGAGAGAGAAAGAGAAAGAGAGAGATAGAATGAAAGATAGAATGAGAGAGAGAATGTGTGTGTGTGTGAGAGACAGAGGGAGAATGAGAAAGAATGCGAGAGAAAATGAGAAAGAATGAGAGAGAGAGAGAATGAGAGAAAGAATGTGTGTGTGTGAGAGAGATAGAGAAAGAGAAGAGAAGAGGAAGAGAAGAGAAAAGAGAAGAGAAGAGAAGAGGAAGAGAAGAGAAAAGAGAAGAGAAAGAGGAGAGGAGAGGAGAGGAGAGAAGAGGAAGAGAAGAGATGAGATGAGAAGAGGAAGAGAAGAGAGGAAAAGAGAAAGAGAAAGAGAAAGAGAAAGAGAAAGAGAAGAGAAGAGAAGAGAAGAGAAGAGAAGAGAAGAGAAGAGAAGAGAAGAGAAGAGAAGAGAAGAGAATGCTTTATTGGCCATGGTGTTCACATAACCACCACAGAATTTGTTTAATGACCGTGCTCATTTTATGACCGAGGCTGGCCACGTGTGTGTCTGCGTGTGCGTACACCAGATTCCAGCCGTTTGTGCAACGGGCAACTGTGCGTGTCTTTATTGCACCCCCCGGGCAGCGTGAAATGTTTCCGGTTTTTCTGCCTTGTGCTTATTTTGGCCGCAGGACGTCCGGTGGGTGCCAGAAGCCGCCGGCCGGGGAATGACTCGAGGCTTCCGGGAAAATAGTGACCCGGCAAGTTCCTGTCCCCCACTGTCCCCTCTTGCCTGCAGCCCTGGTTTCTTCAAATGCGGCAACTTTTAAGAGGGGTGGACTTCAATTCCCAGAAGCCCACCCCTCTTAAAAGTTGCCACGTTTGGAAAAAGACAGATTTACATGATGTATAAAAAGAGCAGGCTTCGGTTTTTTTTTTTTCTTTCTTTCTTTCTTTTTTCTTTCTTTCTTTCTTTCTTTCTTTCTTTCTTTCTGTCTTTCTGTCTTTCTGTCTTTCTGTCTTTCTCTGCCTCTTCCTCTTTCTTTCTTTCCATTCTCCTCTCTCCCTCTTTCTTCTCTCTTTCTTTTTTCTTTCCTTCTTCCTTTCTCTTCATCTTTCTCTCTCTTTCTCTCCAGTCTCTCCTTCCTTCCTTTTCTTTTTTCCCTTCATTCTTCCTCTCCATTCTCTTCCCTCCCTCCCTCCCTTCTTTCTCTTTCCTTCCTTCCTTCTGTCTTTCTCTGCCTCTTCCTCTTTCTTTCTTTCCATTCTCCTCCCTCCCTCCCTCTTTCTTTCTTCTCTTTCTACTTTCCTTCCTTCTTCCTTTCTCTCTCTTTCTCTCCATTCTCTCCTTCCTTCCTTCCTTTTCTTTTTTCTCTTCATTCTTCCTCTCCATTCTCTTCCCTCCCTCCCTCCCTGCTTCCTTCCTCCCTTCTTTTCTCTTTCTTTCCCCACCTGCTCCTGGCAGCTGCCATACTCACCTGACAGGTGCACTCCGAGCAGAGAGGGTCTCCTGGATCAGGAATGGCTTGGCCATTGGCAACAGTGACCCCATGGAAGGCGCAGTCTATCTGGCGAGAGGAAGAGGAGTTAGTGGAGGCTCACTGGAGCCTTTGGGCTCAGCTGCCAAGGGGGTGGGCAACCAGGAGCTGGTTGAGGGTGGGTTGTGAGGACAGCCAACCCCGAAGGTCAGTGAGGTCGTTGCCCACCCCCTTTTCCTTGTGGCCAATCACGCTTCCCACCTTCTCCTGCCCTCCCATCCCTCGGACCTCACCATGGCACGTAGGGCAGCATTGGCCGGGCGTCCGGAGAGGATGGCTGCAGGGCGCCTGGAAACAGGGCTTCCTCGTGCAGGTGACGAAGCCGTCCAGGCAGGAGCAGAGGCCACAGGTGTCCTGGGGGTCCGGGAACTCCTGCCCGCTCAGGTAGCGCTGGGAGACGTATTCGCACCCTTGGGACAACGAGAGAAGAGGAGGTTGCAGGAGGGGCCCCGAAACTCACCCGGTGAGTCTTCCTCGGAGGTTGCGGCAGTGAGGAGGGCAGAGACGGAGGGTCCCAGAAGGCCTCTTCTGCTCCGATGAGGAGGAGGGCTATTTGAAGGACCGACTCTGCCCTCTTACAGCCACCTGGCCCACCAAGACGGGCAGGCAGGAGCTGGTATGGGTCCCCTCCTTCTTCAGGAGCAGCCGTGGTCAAGGCGTATTTGCACAACTACAAGTTGTGCACCGGTTACACCCATTCCTGGAGCAATGTGCCCTTCTGACAGGCAGTCACTCATCGATCACCTCCCGTCTCCTGGTGATTGGCCCAAAGTCACCCAGCCGGCTTTCATGCCTAAGGTGGGACTAGAACTCCCAGTCTCCTGGTGATTGGACCAAAGTCACCCAACCAGCGTTCATGTCTAAAGCAGGACTAGAACTCACCGTCTCCTGGTGATTGGACCAAAATCACCCCGCTGCCTTTCATGCCTAAGGCAGAACTAGAACTCACCATTTCCTGGTTATTGAGCCAAAGTCAACAAGCTAGCTTTCATGCCTAAGGTGGGACTAGAACTCCCAGTCTCCTGGTGAATGGCTCAATGTCACCCAGCCGGCTTTCATGCCTAAAATGGAACTAGAACTGACCGTCTCCTGGTTATTGAGCCAAAGTCACCCAGATAGCTTTCATGCCCATGGCAGGACTAGAACTCACTGTCTCCTGGTGATTGGCTCAAAGTCAGCCAGCTAGCTTTCTTGGCTATACTGGAACTCCCCATTTTCTGGTGATTGGACCAAAGTCACCCAACCAGCGTTCATGTCTAAAGCAGGACTAGAACTCCCAGTCTCCTGGTGATTGGACCAAAATCACCCAGCTGCCTTTCATGCCTAAGGCAGAACTAGAACTCACCGTCTCCTGCTCTCCCACTTTCTATCTGGTGCCTTAAACCGCTCAACCAAACTGATTTGGGAGGTCCAGCCAAAAGTCCCACTGAATTGTCAGGATTGGAAAACGTGTCCCGGTGGGATTGTGACCCGCCCCGCGTGTTCCAGCCAGGCTCTACTGGACAGTCAGATCATTTCACTGCTTCTTGACTTTTCCCCAGGCAAGTCTCCTTCCTTGGAGGCAGCACCCCCCCAGACCCCCAGACCCCCAGACCCTCCCACTTACCTTCACAGCTCTTGCAGCAGGGCCCGGGCACCGGGAACGGGCACTCGGCCGCAGGGCAGGCCTTGGTCTTGCAAACCACGCCCCCTTCCCAGCAGGAGCAGAGGCGGCAGGGGTCTTGGGGGTCCGCAAACTGCTCCCCGTTGGGCAGCTCCTTGCCCTGGTAAAGGCAGCCTGGAAGCGGAGGAGGCAGAGAAGAGCCGGTGAGCAGTTTGGAGAACCGGCAAATACCACCTCTGGCTGGCCCCAGAGTGGGGTGGGAATGGAGATTTTGCAGTATCCTTCTGGAGTGGGGAGGGAATGGGGATTTTGCAGTATCCTTCTCCTGCAGTGGGGAGGGAATGGGGATTTTGCAGTATCTTTCTCCTGGAGTGGGGAGGGAATGGGGATTTTGCAGTATCCTTCTCCTGGAGTGGGGAGGGAATGGGGATTTTGCAGTATCCTTCTCCTGGAGTGGGGAGGGAATGGAGATTTTGCAGTATCCTTCTCCTGGAGTGGGGAGGGAATGGGGATTTTGCAGTATCCTTCCCAGAGGTGGGTTTCAGCAGGTTCTGACCAGTTCTGGAGAACCAGTAACGGAAATTTTGAGTACTTCGGAGAACCGGTAAATACCATCTCTTACTGGCCTCGCCCCCATCTATTCTCTGCCTTCCGAGTCCCAGCTGGTCAGGAGGAAATGGAGATTTTACAGTATCCTTCCCCAGGAGTGGGGTGGGAACGGAAATTTTGCAGTATCCTTCCCCTGCCACACCCACCAAGCCACACCCACCAAGCCACGCCCACAGAACCGGTAGCAAAAAAAAAATTGGATTTCACCACTGCACAAGAGGCATGGCCAACTGCACCCAACTGGCATGAGAGAACGGCTGGCAGCCGAGCCCAGCCGCGTTTGGGGCAGAGGGAGAGACGAAAGGCCACGATGTGGGGGTGCAACCCTCTTGGGGTCCCTTGCTTGAAGTTGAATGAGCGAGCCCACTACCCTCTTCCCAGGGCTGGGACTCCAGGGGTGGGCGAGGGCGAGCAGAGGCCGCCCGTTACCATCACAGGAGCGGCAACATCCCTGCTGCAGCGGGTGTGAGCACAGGACCGGTGCGCAGGGCTGGCGCTGGCACGTGATGGTACTGTTGGCACAAACGCAGGTGCGGCACTTCTCCGAGGGGTCGTAGAACCGTTCCAGGTGCTTGTAGGAGACCCCCAAGTAGAGGCAGCCGGCCGGAGGGGCTATAAAAAAGGGGAGGGGGCTGTTCAGAGGCGTGGCGTGCCCTCCTTGGGCATGGCTGCCCTCCCCGTCGAAACCCAGCCCATTGTAGGGTGAGGAGCTCAAGAGGGGGTCCTACCTGGACATTGGGGGCAGCACTCTTGGGGTCTCACGGTGGGCTTGGGGCAGAGCAGAGGTGGGCATCGACGGGAGAGGCACTGCACATGGCCATTCTGCCATAGGGAGGGAGGGAGGGAGGGAGGGAAGGGAATCGTGCTGGCATTCTTCTTGATTCAACAGGCACCCTTGAGGTCACGTAGTCCACCCTCCTCCGCCCCAGAAGCGATCCACCCTATTTTCCTCTGAACTGCTCTATGGCGGTCGGTCGGGGGGGAAGGGGCTGCCAGCTTCCCCTGCCACTGCTGGGCACTCACAATGCAGTGACACTGCCGGCAGCTGTCGGTGGGGTGGGGGAACTCTGCTCCGTTGGGGTACTCCTTTCCGGTGTAGCTGCAGCCTGGATAGAAAATGCCAGAATAAGAGAGTTGGAAGGGACCTCGGAGGTCTTCTAGTCCAACCCTCACCCCCGCTCGAGCAGGAAACTCTATACCCATGATGGCAAACCTTCGAGTATCCAGTGCCCCGGCGTGTGCACACAGATGCACGCATACGAGTTCTGGTTTGGGCACTCGGTGCCGAAAAGGTTCGCCATCACTGCTCTACACCATTTCAGACAAATCAGATGCATTATTTTTGCAAACTGGGGGTATTTTTTGGGGGGGGGGGATATTCCAGGACAGGCACACAAGTGATGAGTTGGCCTAGAGGTGGAGCTCTCACCTCACCATCCGGAGGCTGTGAGTTCGATCCTAGGTAGAGGCAGATATTTCTCTTTCGGGGCACAATGAGAATATTTCTGCTGAACAAAACTCCGCATTGGTGACAGGAAGGGCATCCGTCCTGTAAATACTCAGATCCATTCGGTTGCCCAAACTCCACCCTGCAAGGGATTATGGAGGTTGTTAAAAGAGAATGATTCCAGGGCGGGCATATGAATGGGAAATGGGTGAGCTTCAACACTCTGCACATGCTCTGCTGCCTTCTCTGGGGCTCTCAGAGAGCACTTAATACCCGCGATTTCTGCTATCGGTTTGGGTGAACCGATCCGAACCAATTCAATGCCACCTCTGACCACATTACACAAAAGAGGCCGAGACTTTGGAAAAAGTGCAAAGAAGGGCAAGTAAGATGATTAAAGGCTTGGAAACTAAAACATATGAGGAACGATTGCAGGGTATAACTAGTCTAGAGAAAAGAAGGACTCGGGGGGACAGGATAGCAGTCTTCTAATATTTGAGGGGCTGCCACCAAGAGGAGGGGGGTCAACTTATTCTCCAAAGCCCCTGAGGGCAGGACAAGAAGAAATGGATGGAAACTAATCAAGGAGAGAAGCAACCTAGAACTAAGGACAAACTTCCTAACAGTGTGGACAATTAACTAGTGGAACTCCTTGCCACCAGAAGTTGTGGGAGCTTCATCACTGGAGGTTTTTAAGAAGAGACTGGACAGCCATTTGTCTGACATGGTATAGATCTCCCGCTTGAGCAGGGGGCTGGACTAGAAGACCTCCAAGGTCCCTTCCAGCTCTATTCTGATTAATTAAATCTCCACCTCAGTCTGGGGTTTATTGGGCGTTACACACAGGGCAGGACCGGTTTTCGGGGGTGACCCCTTGAGGTGCTGCCATCTTACCGTTGCAGTTGTTTTGGCAACAGGAGCCCGGCAAGGGGTGGGCGCAGAGGGGAGCCACGCACTTCCGCGGGGTGCAGACCAGCTCTCCCCCACTGCAGATGCAAGACTGGCACGGATCCAGCGGGTTGGGGATCTCCTCCCCATCGGGCACCAGCTGGTTGTCCTGCAGGCAGCCTAGTGGAGGGAGGGAGGGAGGGAGGGAGGACAGGAAGTCAGTTAACATTCAGGCGCAAACCACTAGTCGTCTCCATCCCCCCCCCCGGTTATTATTTTTATGTATTGGTTTATTACATTTATAGGCTTGCCCAACTTGCTGTCCCAGATGGCTCTGGGCAGTTTACAATATAGTAAGCAGTAGAACTATAAAAACCATTATCAATATAAAAAGAGATTAAAGTTACAGAGGATTACAAGCAATCTCTAAAAATGTGGATTTGAAGCAGAGCAGGGCCCCCCAATGCCTGCCTTCCTTCCTTCCTTCCTTCCCCTCTTCCCTATCTCCTTCCTTTTTTCTTTCCTTCCTCCCCCTCCCTCCCTCCCTTTCTTTCTTTTTCTTTCCTTTCTTTCTTTCTTTCCTTTCTTTCTTTCTTTCTATTCCTCCCTCCCTCCCTTTCTCCTTCCTTCTCCCCTTCCTTCCTTCCTTCCCCTTCCCCCCCTCTTTCTTTCTTTCTGTCTCTCTTTCTTTCTATTCCTCCCTCCCTTTCTCCTTCCTTCTCCCCCTTCCTTCTTTCTTTCCTTCCTTCTCCCTCCCTCCCTCTTTCCTTTCTTTCTTTTCCTCCCTCCCTCTCTTTCTCCTTCCTTCTCCCCCTTCCTTCCTCCTCCCTCCCTTTCTTTCTCTCTTCTCTTTCTTTCTATTCCTCCCTCCCTTTCTCCTTCCTTCTCCCTTCCCTCTTCTTTTTTTCTTTCTCTCTTTCTTTCTCTCTTTCTTTCTATTCCTCCCTCCCTCCCTTTCTCCTTCCTTCTCCCTCTTCCTTCTTTCCTTCCTTCCTTCCTTCCTTCCTTCCTTCCTTCCTTCCTTCCTTCCTTCCTTCCTTCCTTCCTTCCAGAGAGAGAAAGCAAGAGGTGCCCCATCAATTCCCTTCAGTTACTCACTAGGGCAGGTGGGGCAGCAGGATCCAGGCCTCCGCTCTGGGTGGGGGCAAGTCACTGGTGGGCAAACAGTAGGTGAGCAGTGGACGGTGCCCCCCTGCAAGAGAGGACACAGACGGGGATTTAGATCTGAAGGAACCTTTGATTCTGCTTCTTCTCCATCTCCTCCTGCAGAAGCTCCAGTGGAGATAAACATCCTTTTATTGCTATTCTCCTTCTCACCTTTTCTACTACCTTCGCTTATTGGTATCATTATTATGACTATTATGACTTTATTGTTTGTATGTACACCGAGAGTTTCTGTACTGGAGACAAATTCCTGGTGTATCCAATTCCATCCCATTCTCTCTCCTATCCTATTCTACATTCCTTCTATTCGGTTCCGTTCCATTATTAAATTATGACGGTTCCTTTTATCTTTTTTGAAAGAAAAATTATCGCTGCAAGAGTTTTGAGAGGAATTTGAGATCTCTAAAGGAACCAACGAAAGGATGATTGAGTTTGGGGTGGCAGCTTCAGGATTTGGGTTGCCAGGCAACTGAAGGTGGGCAGGAGAATTTGGGGGCATCATCCACGGGTCGGAGCTGATGGGTCTCACCTTGCACTGGCAGTTCTGGCAGGAATTGTCTGGATCGGCGAACTCTTGGCCGTGGCTGTAGAGGCGCTGGTTGTAGAGACACTGGTGGCATTGGGGGCAGCAGGAACCTTGGAGGAGGCACAGCGAAAGCTGCTAAGACCCCTGGCACAAGGGAGACCCACCGGCCATGTCTAAATTTCCAACAGCTGAGCGCTCGTTGTCACAGTGAGATAAAACTCGCCTTGCAGTGAGATGGGCAGCATATAAATTTAATCAATAAAATAAATAAATAAAGCTGGGGTCCACTGAATGAGGGGAGAGAAGATGGGCAGGGGATTCATTAGAGTGTCTAAATATCGTTTAGTACAAGATTTCTTAAAAAAACAAACAAGTGCGCTCTTAGAAATCGAAATGCAAGTTCTGGATATCGTTTCGTGCAAGATCTTTTTTAAATGAATGAGCTCACAGAAACTGAAACGGATGAGTATCTGGATATTGTTTCCTGCAGGAGGTTTTTTTTAAAAAATGAATTAGAAATTGAAATGCAGGAACGTCTGAATTCCATTGTAGTATAAGATCTTTAAAAAAAAAAAAGAGTGCCCTCTTAGAAATTAAAATGCAAGGATGTCTGAATTTCATTTAGGGTGAGATTTTGTAAAATGAATCTTTCTTTCTTTCTTCCTTCTCCAAAAATGTCACTTTTGTTTTCTTTAATATTAGCTTGATTTTTTTTTCTGACGGCAACAGAATCTGGAGCAGGCTATTTGCCGGCACCCTAATTCTGCCAAGCCCTTTCATTTTCCTCTCGGTGCCTTCCTTCTACAGCCGGGTTCGATGCCACTGATCCCAGAGGTGAGGGCCCTGGTGGTTTTGGCACTCACCGAGAAGCCGGGCTGGATGCTGGCAGGTGACAGGTGGGCACTGGAGGGCATGGCACACGGTCTCCCCCTGGTGGCAGGTGCAGATGCTGCAAGGGTCTCTCGCTGGTGCCCACTCGGTGCCGTCTTCAAATTCGAGGTCCTCGAAAACACAAACTGACAGACACCAGCAAGAGAGGAGTTGGGTCAAACTGGGTTTCATCCTGGCCAGTCTGCAAAGCAGAATCCTGGATTCCTTTCCCCCACTTCACTCCCCGTATTTTACAAGGCATTTGTAAATGAAGTTTCCTGACAGTTAGAACAATTCATCGGTGGAACAACTTGCCTCCAGAAGTTACGGGAGCTCCAACACTAGAAGTTTTTAAGAAGAGACGGGATGGCTACTTGTCTGAAATGGTAGAGGGTCTCCTGCGTGAGGAGGGGGCTGGAGTAGAAGATGGTTCCTTTCTAACTCCTCCTCCTCCTTAGTCCTATTCTATTCTGTCCTGTCCTATCCTATTCTTCTAGTCTAGTCTAGTCTATTATTCTATTCTATTCTATTCTATTCTATTCTATTCTATTCTATTCTATTCTATTCTATTCTATTCTATTATTCTATTCTATTCTATTATTCTATTCTATTCTATTCTATTATTCTATTCTATTCTATTCTATTCTATTCTATTCTATTCTATTCTATTATTCTATTCTATTCTATTCTATTCTATTCTATTCTATTCTATTCTATTATTCTATTCTATTCTATTCTATTCTATTCTATTCTATTCTATTATTCTATTCTATTCTATTCTATTCTATTCTATTCTATTCTATTCTATTATTCTATTCTATTCTATTCTATTCTATTCTATTATTCTATTCTATTCTATTCTATTCTAGTCTAGTCTAGTCTATTATTCTATTCTATTCTATTCTATTCTATTCTATTCTATTCTATTCTATTCTATTCTATTATTCTATTCTATTCTATTCTATTCTATTCTATTCTATTCTATTATTCTATTCTATTCTATTCTATTCTAGTCTAGTCTATTATTCTATTCTATTCTATTCTATTCTATTCTATTCTATTCTATTCTATTATTCTATTCTATTCTATTCTATTCTATTCTATTCTATTATTCTATTCTATTCTATTCTATTATTCTATCCTATTCTTCTAGTCTAGTCTAGTCTATTATTCTATTCTATTCTATTCTATTCTATTCTATTATTCTATTCTATTCTATTCTATTCTATTCTATTCTATTATTCTATTCTATTCTATTCTATTCTAGTCTATTCTATTCTATTCTATTCTATTATTCTATTCTATTCTATTCTATTATTCTATCCTATTCTTCTAGTCTAGTCTAGTCTATTATTCTATTCTATTCTATTCTATTCTATTCTATTCTATTCTATTCTATTCTATTCTATTCTATTATTCTATTCTATTCTATTCTATTCTATTATTCTATTCTATTCTATTCTATTCTATTCTATTCTATTATTCTATTCTATTCTATTCTATTCTATTCTATTCTATTCTATTCTATTATTCTATTCTATTCTATTCTATTCTATTCTATTCTATTATTCTATTCTATTCTATTCTATTCTATTCTATTCTATTCTATTATTCTATTCTATTCTATTCTATTCTATTCTATTATTCTATTCTATTCTATTCTATTCTAGTCTAGTCTAGTCTATTATTCTATTCTATTCTATTCTATTCTATTCTATTCTATTCTATTCTATTCTATTCTATTCTATTATTCTATTCTATTCTATTCTATTCTATTCTATTCTATTCTATTCTATTATTCTATTCTATTCTATTCTATTCTAGTCTAGTCTATTATTCTATTCTATTCTATTCTATTCTATTCTATTCTATTCTATTCTATTATTCTATTCTATTCTATTCTATTCTATTCTATTATTCTATTCTATTCTATTCTATTATTCTATCCTATTCTTCTAGTCTAGTCTAGTCTATTATTCTATTCTATTCTATTCTATTCTATTCTATTATTCTATTCTATTCTATTCTATTCTATTCTATTCTATTATTCTATTCTATTCTATTCTATTCTATTCTATTCTATTCTATTCTATTATTCTATTCTATTCTATTCTATTATTCTATCCTATTCTTCTAGTCTAGTCTAGTCTATTATTCTATTCTATTCTATTCTATTCTATTCTATTCTATTCTATTCTATTCTATTCTATTCTATTATTCTATTCTATTCTATTCTATTCTATTCTATTCTATTCTATTCTATTCTATTCTATTCTATTCTATTCTATTCTATTCTATTCTATTCTTCTGTTCTGTTCTATTCTATTCCTATTTTTTATTCTTTTCCTATATTCTATTCTATTCTATTCTATTCTATTCTATTCTATTCTATTCTATTCTATTCGGAATGGACGCAGGGGCTGCATTGACACAAGGTTATCCTCAACTTACAACCATTCATTTAGTGACCATTCAAAGTTACGACAGCATTGTAAAAGGTGACTTGCAGCCAGTTCTCGCATTTATGGTCACTAAATGAATAGTTGAAGTCGATCTGTATTATTTTTACAAATAACTCAGGGCGGCGAATGTATCCAACACACCTCTTTCCTCCTATTTTCCCCACAACATTTCACAGTCTTGAATAGCCATAGCCTCAAGGGACATGCCAAGCCATAGTTTGTTTGCTCACGCCAGCTGCATTTGCATGACAGCCTAAGCCACAAATCCTGGTTTAGGATGCAGAATCTCCCCATTGGGAGCTAAATCCAAACCAAAACTGCTACTCTGAGGTCCCTATCTAATTAACATATCTCGGATCAAAAATACAGGTAGTCCTCGACTTACGACCACAATTGAGCCCCACATTTCCATTGCGAAGCGAGACATTTGTTAAGTGCATTTTGCCCCATTTTAGGACCTTTCTTGCCAGAGTTGTTAAGTGAATCCCTGCGGTTCTTAAATTAGTAGCCTGGTTGTTAAGTGAATCTGGCTTCCCCGTTGACTTTTGTCGGTCAGAAGGTTGCAAAAAGGGATCATGTGACACACACACACACACACACACACACATACCCGGACAATACAACGGTCATAAATATGAGCCAGTTGCCAAGCATCCCAATTTTGATCCGGTGACCATGGGAATGCTGCAACGGTCGTAAGTGTGAAAAACGGCCGTAAGTCGTTTTTTTTTAGTGCCGTTGTAACTTCGAACGGCACCTAAACGAACTGTTGTAAGTCGAGGACTATCTGTAATATGAACGGGATTGAGTAGCCCTTTGGGGTTCATTAACCCCATTCCAGGTGCCCTGGAGACGACTCAAACAAGTGAGCCAAGTTGCGGGCTGCAAACTTCCAAGACGTCACCAGTCCAATCTGAGCTGGCAGGGCCCACTCAGCTTCCACGTGGGGAAATGAGCAGCAAACTGGACAAGGGGTCTCCTCCCCATTCCCAGTTCTTCTTCAATGGTCACCTGTGCACACTGGACAGCAGCGTTTGGGGTCTCGGAGGGGCCGGGCGCATGGCGTTGGGGGGCAGAGTTCTTCCTGGCATCGGACATGCCCATCCTGAGTGAAGAAAAGAAAGGGAAGTGAATTTCTCAGCCGCTCAGCAAATTTAAGAGGGGTGGGCTTCAACTCCCAGAATTCCCCAGCCGGCTCGGCGGCTTCAGGATGGGTGAACTTCAACTCCCAGGCGTCAAAAAAAGATGTGGAGACTCTGGAAAGAGTGCAGAGAAGAGCAACAAAGAGGATTTTAGGGGACTGGAGGATCAAACATCCGAAGAACGGTTGCAGGAACTGGGCATGGCTAGTTTAATGGAAAGAAGGAGGAGGGGAGACATAAGAGCCTAGGTGGCACAGCAGACTAAAGCACTGTTAAGTAACACCAGCTGCCTGCAATTACTGCAAGTTGAATTTCACCAGGCTCAAGGTTGACTCAGCCTTCCATCCTTCCGAGGTAGGTAAAATGAGGACCCGGATTGTGGGGGCAATAAGCTGACTTTGTATAAAAAAGAACACCTCTTGGGGGGGGGGCCGAAAGCCCTACTAAGCAGGTATATACAAAAGTATGAAGGCTATTGCTTAACGCATTGTAAGCCGCCTTGAGTCTCCGGAGAAAGGGCAGCATATAAATCAAACCAATAAATAAATAAATAATAAATAAATAAATTGAACCAATAAATAAATAAATCGAATCAATAAATAATAGCAGAGTTCTGATATTTGAGGGGCTGCCACAATGAAGAGGGAGTCAAGCTATTCTCCAAAGCACCCGAAGGCAGGAGAAGAAGCAATGGGTGGAAATTAATAATTAAGGAGAGAAACAACCTGGAATTAAGGAGAAACTTCCTGCCAGAGAGAACAATTAACCAGTGGAACAGCTTGCCACCAGAATAATAATAATAATAATAATAATAATAATAATAATAATAATAATAATAATAACAACAACAACAACAACAACAAACAACAACAACAACAACTTTAATGTCATTGTACGTGTATACACAGTATACCCATTCAATGAAATTCACTTAACACCCAAAGACCAGATCCAACACACATAACAATCCCCAAACACACTCCCACTACCACAATTCCCCACTCCAAGCCACCCACACATCCACACAACAGACCAAGTAAGTAAGTAGTAAGTGAAAGAAAGAAAGAAAGAAAGAAAGAAAGTAAGTAAGAAAGAAAAAGAAAGAAAGAAAGAAAGAAAAGAAAGACCAAAGACACTTCTAACTGTTATTCTGTTATCCTTAGATAGTTCAAATAGAATAGAGAGGCCCTTTGAGGTCTTCTAGTCCAACCCTCTGCTCAAGCAGGAGAACCTCTACTATTTCAGACAAGTGGCTATCCAATCTCTTCTTAAAAAGCTTCCAGTGATGAAGCACCCCCAATGTCTGGTGGCATGCTGTTCCACTGGTCAATTGTTCTCGCTGTTAGGAAGTTTCTTCTTAATTCCAGGTTGATTAGCTTCTTGTCCTGGGTTCTGGTGCTTTGGAAAATAAGTTGAATGATTGAATTCTGAATTCTGGTCTCATGATTCGGCCTCCCGCCTGGACCGACCGGTTCACCCATCATGCCCTACTCACCAGGCACTGGCATTGCAGGCAGGGGCCTCCCGCGGCAGGCAAGAACCTCTCTCTGTCCTGGTACAACCGTCCTTCAAATTCACAGGCTTGCAAAGGAGATTCAGGAAGGGAAAAGAGAAACGCAGAAGGTGTGTGTCAAACTTTTCTCTCCTTGGTGTAACCTCGGAGTAATTTTAGGACAAGGGCTTTCCCCACCTCCTAGCTCTCCACCTGGCTATTTCTACACCTGCAACGGGCAGACGGGTACAGAGGTTTTCCCGCAGAAAGAAAACTATGTGGAAATAGTCCTCAGACTTATGACCGTAATGGAGTCTAGACGTTACAGTTTCAAGTTGTGATCGTTGTACGGCAAGCTATCGTGGGAGTGAACCAGTTTTAAGACCTGTTTTTGTATGGTGGTTGTTAAGTGAACTTGCAGTCATTAAACAGACCCATTGTTTGCTATGGGGAGTTTTTGCTGGACGCCTGAGGTAAATATTTTGGAAAAAACACATCATAAATTGCGCTTGTGTGAATATAAATATGGGCTGGTCATTGAATGCCCAAAATGCAGTCACATGACTGTGGGGGGGGAGGTGGGGGGGCTGGCCGCCGTAACTTTGAGTCCAGGTTATAAGTAGCTGAGGGAGGTTTGTCATAACTTTCAATGGTCACTAACTGACCTGGCGTAAGTTGAGGTCTACCTGTAATAAGGTAATCCTCTGATAGATACTGATAGTCCTTGACTTAAATCTACTTGTTTAGTGACCGTTCAAAGTTCAACGGCACTGAGTTATGACCGTTTCCTTCACACTTACAACCATTGCGGCCTCCCCATAAAATTTGGAGCTTGGCAAGTGACTCATACTTACGACGGTTGCAGGATCTCGGGGTCACGTGACCCCCTTTTGCAACTTTCTGACAAGCCATGTCAACAAGGAAGCGAGATTCACTTAACAACCGTGTTACCGGTTTAACAACTGCAGTGATTCACTTAGCAACGGTAGCCAGGAAGGTCGTAAGATGGGGCAAAACTCTACAAACAACTGTCTTGCTTGGCAATTAAAATTTTGGGGTCAATTGTGATCAGAGGTTGAGGGCTCCGTGGTACCCAATAAACTAGTGGAGAAACCCTCAATTTTTGATAAGGTTACTTTTAGTATCTGCACAATCCAATTTTTACATTCAACTTCTCTCAACTTTTACATTCTTCCGGGTAAGATAAAACGAAATACAGTTTTGCATTTCTTTTGGCATCCTTCAGATAGACAGCTCCTGATGGGGGAGGCTTTATTACGCCTACTCAGCCAATCTTGTTCGGACTCACCCGATGGCAAGAGGGCCGCCTCACAAATTGAATAAATCAATAAATAAAATTTGGGTCAAATGCATTTCGGGAAAATGTTTAAATTTCCCTGCAAAATAAAAAACGATCACCTGCAAGGAAGCCGATCCTTTTTTGAGGGGGGGTTGGGTTTTTTTTTTGTTTTGCATTTGGTTAGGTATTCATTAGGAATTTAACTTACAGTGATTAAACAGGAGCCCTTGCCCCCTTTTTATATACATAATTTTTATTTTATTTTTAAATATGAATATTGAATACATGAACAGTGTGTCATCTGGGCATCGTTAGTTTTGATACAAGATAATAATGATAATATCGATAATATTAGTTACATTAATCATACTCAGATAATTATAGTAATATTATAAATATTAAAATTAAAGTGATTAACATGTTAATATTTGCTCCACCATGTTATATAATCCTTCATCATTTAATTATTAATATCTTAATACACAATACTAATAACCATAGTGATATTATCTCAGTGTACCTAATAAAATCCTTTTTCAACTTCTGATCTTTACACCTACAAATTAATTTTAAAATACTGTATAGGAAAATTTGCATAATATTATTTCCCCCCCTCTGGTTTCTACCTCTATTCTACTTTTTAATAGAACAATCTTATATTAGGAGGTATTCTATTTCTATCTGTCATCTCTTGACCGTTTTAGTAGTTCAATTCTTGTTGATTTTTTGGCATGTTTCCCCTGGGAAACTTTGGGATTTTGTATCTCCATGCATCATTCATATTTGATCCAGGGGTGGGTTCTAAAATGTTTTACTACTGGTTCTGTGGACGTGGCTTATTTGGTGAGCGTGGTTTGATGGCCTTGTGACAATTCTTCAGGATTTAGCAGAGGTACTGGCCTACCAGGCTTTTAACTGCTTGCGGAGCTGTACCCGTCTACTCATTTGTTTTTGGAGGCACCAGTCTATTCATTTGTTTTCGGAGGCACCGGTCTACTCATTTGTTTTTGGAGGCACTGGTCTACCCATTTGTTTTCGGAGGCACCGGTCTACCCATTTGTTTTTGGAGGCACGGTCTACTCATTTGTTTTTGGAGGCACCGGTCTACCCATTTGTTTTTGGAGGCACCGGTTCTACCCATTTGTTTTTGGAGGCACCGGTCTACCATTTGTTTTTGGAGGCACCGGTCTACCATTTGTTTTTGGAGGCACCGGTCTACCCATTTGTTTTTGGAGGCACCGGTCTACCACCACACTGCCTTTTAACACTGATCAGCTGTAGGGTGGCCCTTTGAAGCCCCGCGGCAAGAGTTTAAACAGTTTTTTTCCTTCTAGCCAATCAGCTGGGACTCGGGAGGTAGCAAATAGGTTGGGGGTGGGGCCAAATAAAAGGTAAGAATAACATGGGGGGGGCGGGGCGGGAGGGCCCAGCTCCCGAACAAAGAGAACCGGTTCGGTGACGTCATATCGTCACTGCTACCGGCTCGGCCGAACCGGGCCGAACCGGGAGGAACCCACCACTGATTTGATCTAAATATTTCCTCTGTCTCTACATCTACCTCTCACTGCCAGACCTTCAATACGCCTATCAGGGCCTCAAGGAAGCCAGTCCTTGAGTTGACATCCCTGCGGGTGGGGGGGGGAGGGGATGGAGAGAATGGGAAACCTGCTGGGGGGAGGGGGAGCAACTCACCATCACAGGTGGGGCAACACTCCTCTGGGCGCTTGCCAGGATGGCTGCAGTGGGCAGGTGGGCAGCTCAACTGTCTGCAAGAGACCTCGCCAGCCTGTGTGGGGACAAGCAGGTCACTGTGGGGGGTGGCTGTGTGCCCACCCGGGACAGACTCAGCCCCCACCCACCCACCTACCCTGCCAAGCAGACTCACCACACAACGGCAGCGTTTGCAGGGGTCCGCGGTCTGCACGGTGTGGCCGCTCCGGTACTCGCGTCCTTCCCAGAGGCAGCCTGCAGGGGGCGAAACACAGATTGCAAATGTTCTACCCTGCCAAAGCTGCCCAGGCTCCTTTGGAAACCGCCAGCAGGGGGCAGCAGAGCTGTGTTGGCAGGTTTGCCCCCACACCCAAGGGGAGGGAGGCTTCCCGCTGCGGTGCTGATGGGGGGCGATGGGGTTTGGAGTGCTAGGCTCCGTTACTTTCCTCTGCTTTCCCTCTCCGTGACTGAGACGGGAAGGGGGATTTGTTGGACCGGCTCCAGAATATTCTAGAAGCTGGTCCAGGAAATTTATCCAGAGAGAAGCAAGCTAGAAATAAGGAGAAATTTCCTGAGAGTGAGAACAATTGATCAGTGGAACTCCTTGCCACCAGAAGTTGTGGGTGCTCCATTACTGGAGGCTTTTAAGAAGAGATTGGAGAGCCATTTGTCTGAAATGGTATGCTTGAGCAGGGGGTTGGACTAGAAGACCTCAAAGGTCCCTTCCAATTCGTTCTATGATTCTGTTATTCAACCCTCCCTGCCAAGGATGAGGCACGTAGTGAAGGGAATCCAGATGGCAGCAGTTTAAAACCCCTGAACCCTTTTAAAGTGCATCGTACGGCAGCACATCCGTAAAAAATAAAGATTTAGAGCTTTTGTTGCATAGATAGGATGCCATCTTGACTTTTTCGACCTCCAATTATTACTGCGAAATCAGGTGCCTGGAAGAGGGCCAAGGAATGGTGGCCCAAAGCATTTTGAAATCTGCACCCCTTGTTCAATGATGTCATCGTGGTTTGTCTGGGACGCCTATTCCCTCTTTCTCTCCGATGATGTCACTGTGGTTTGACTGGGATGCCTAGCTTTCCTTTCTGCTCGATGGCATCAACCTGGTTTGTCTGGGATGCAGAGCCCACCCCCTTTCCACTCAATGACACGATCATGGTTTGTCTGAGACGCCTAAACCCCATTCTGGCCAATGACATCATCGTGGCTTGTCTGGGATGCCTAGTGCCCCCCTTTCAGTCCAGAGCCCTCCCCCCAAGACTCACCATCACAGACGGGGCAGCAGGTCCCCAGCCGAGGGCGGGCAGGGTGGCGGCAGAGATTGGCGCACTGCCTCCGTTGGCAGATGGCGTTGCCCTCCTGCAGGAGAAGGGGAGAGAAGGGGGTTCCTTGGGCTCTGTGTAGAAGGAGGGACTTCTGGGAGGGGGATTCCTGCAGCTTCCCCCCTCCCTCCCCAGATTTAAAGAGGCTTCTGCACCAAGGGAGCTCCAGAAGCCTCTTTGGCTTTTGGTCCAGAAGCCAAAGAGATGTGAGATGCGGGCACCATCGGCCATCGAGAAAAAAAGGCCCATAGAAAATTCACCGAATTTTGTCCTTGACTCAGAAGATGGTCAAAAAAGTCAAGATGGAGTCATAAACTCCACTTGTCGGTTTTTTTCATTTACTGACTGTCATTGGGACCTGTAACTTGGCCTTTAAGCGGAGTGCTTAAATCTGGCCTGCGAGGCCAGCCTGAAAATATCAAAGGACCTCCCTGGGGTGCCAAAACAGTCTGCCGGGGAGAGGGGGGGCTGCAACCCCTGCGCGACCCATTTTCAGCCTCCCTGAAAACATTTTTGGCCTCTGCCGTATTTGGCCGGCAATGTGCTTCTGGAGGCCGGGACTGCTATGGAAAGAAAGCGTGGGAAAAAACGCATCTTTGAGCCTGTGTCAAACGCCCGGCATGACCACCCCCACCCCCTCTTGGCTACTACCCCCCCCCCGCGGCCCTCCGAGGTCAAACATAATCCTAATGCATCCCTCAATGAAATCGACTTTGACACCTGTGCTCTAAAAGGACGCAAATGACCAGCTCTCTGCAAGGAGTCTCAATCCTTCCATTCCCCCACCCCTTCAGCCAGAACTGAGGAAGCTTCTTGGATGAGAAGCGAAACGTCTTCAAAGAAAAACCCAGAAAGTCCAGTTGACAACCAGGGCCAGGAGGACTGAGAATCTCCATAGATATCATGCTAGGACCATGATGGCACCTGTGCCACAGCTGGCACGCAGAGGCCTTTCTGAGGGGCACGTGAGCCATCCCCCGGCCCAGCTCCAGCGTGCCTCCTGCCGGTCAGCTGATTTTTGGGATATGTGTGGGGAGGGGAGGGGTGCATGCAGGAGACGCACATGCATGTGGGGGGGGGAGTGAGAGGGGATCGTGCATGCATGAGCAGGCCCCCCCCAATGCATTATGGGTGCTGGCACACGTATGTGCTGCTGCGCGCGCTTTTGGCCCACCGCAAGAAAAAGGTTAGCCATCCCTGTGCTAGGACTTTCAGGGACCCGGTCCCAGAACCTTTAGTGAAGAGCCTTGGTAGTACAGTGGTCTAAGGCACCCTGTTATTAAGCTGGTTATTAAGACCAGCTGCCTGCAATTTATTGCTGGTTCGAATCTCACCAGGCTCAAGGTTGACTCAGCCTTCCATCCTTTCTAAGGTAGGTAAATTGAGGACCCAGTTTGTGGGGGCAATAAGCTGACTTTGTATAAAATTTACAAAAGGATGAAGGCTATTGCTTAACGCATTGTAAGCCGCCCTGAGTCTCCGGAGAAGGGCGGCATATAAATCAAATTTTAAAAAAATAAAATAAAAAAAATAAAAATAAAAAAAGGTCTGAAAGCTACAGGTGGACAGCCGGCCACTTCCGGGACTCACCTGGCACTTACATCTCAGGCAGGGCTCCGTGGGAGGCGTCCACTCTTCCCCGTGTTCGTGCCTGGCGGTTCCATTCGCACAACCTGCGTCGTGGAGGAGGGAGGGAGGGAGGGAGGACTGAATGCGGGGAAGCCCACCCGGCGGTAGGAAAAGGCATTCAACACAGGCAGTCCTCGACTTACAACGGTTCGCTTAGTGGCCATTCGAAGTTAAAACGGCACTGAAACAAAGGGACTTACGACTTATGACCGTTGCAGGATCCCCACGGTCACGTGATCAAAATTCGGACGCTTGGCAACTGCTCGTATTTATGACGGTCGCAAGTGTCCCTGGGTCACGTGATTCCCCTTCTGACGAGCAAAGTCAATGGGGAAGCCGGATTCGTTTAACAACCGTGCGGCTCACTTAACCACCGTAGTGATTCGCTTAACAACCGTGGCCAAGGAAAGTCGTACAATGGGACAAACTGTACAAACGTCTCGCTTAGCAACAGAAATGTTGGGCTGAATTGTGGTCGTAAGCCGAGGGGAAACCTTACCCTCAGGTGGAAAAGTACATTCGGTACCAGTACAAAGGGGGGGGGGCGTGGGGGAGGGGCTAGGAGGAAGGCAGGATTGAGAGATTTTCATTTCTGAAAAGCCCCCCCCCAGCTGATGGAGACGCCTGTCTCTTTAAGAGCTGAGGACAGGGGACCACCTGGAAGAAGATGCAACACTTCCCAGAAGCCCCTTCTTTCTTAGAGCTGTGTTTCTGCAACCTTGGCAATTTTAAGATGGGAGGACTTCAACTCCCAGAAGCCTTGAAGTCCTCCCGTCCTAAAGTCGCTGAGCTGGCTGGGGAATTCTGGGAGTTGAAGTCCGCCCATCGTAAAGTTGAGGAGCTGGCCAGGGATATCTGGATACCCTGTCTGCCTTCTTAGTCTGTATGCTTAGGGGAGGGGATTGTTATAAAGGGAGAATAAAGGATGAAACCACCCCCCCATCTCAATTACTCAGGCCTGGAGCATAACTGCCCTTCACCCCATCCCAGACCCACACATTGGGTGTCTCCAGCCTGTCATTCTTTCTCAGGTCAGCCTACCCTGTAGGGTTGTTGTTCTGGGCAAAAATGCTCCGTAGGCCACTTGGGTCCCGAGAGGAGAAATGGGAGAGAAATCTAACAGAGGCATGAGAGACTCACCCTGGCACCGGGGGCAACATTCTCCGGGCACCTTCTCTGGATTGGAACAGTCCAGCTCTGGGCAAGGAATCCGGGAGCAGAGAAGTTTTCCATCCTGTGGGAAAGGAAAGAGGAAATGAAGGAAGGAAGGAAGGAGGGAGGGAGAGAAAGAAAGAAAGAAAGAAAGAAAGAAAGAAAGAAAGAAAGAAAGAAAGACAAAGAGAAACAGAAAGGAAGGAAGGAAGGATGGAAGGAAGGGAGAAAGAAACAGAGAAAGAGAAAGAGAAAGAAAGAGAAAGAAAGAGAGAGAGAAAGGGAAAGGGAAAGGAAGGAAGGATGGAAAGAAGGAGAGAAAGAAAGAAAGAGAGAAAGACAAAGAGAAACAGAGAAAGAGAAAGAAAGAAAGAGAGAGAGAAAGAGGAAGAGGAAGGAAGGAAGGATGGAAGGAAGGAAAGAAGGAAAGAAGGAAAGAAAGAAAGAGAAAGACAAAGAGAAACAGAAAGGAAGGAAGGAAGGATGGAAGGAAGGAAGGAGAGAAAGAAACAGAGAAAGAGAAAGAGAAAGAGAGAAAGAGAAAGAAAGAGAGAGAGAAAGGGAAAGGGAAAGGAAGGAAGGATGGAAGGAAGGAGAGAAAGAAAGAAAGAGAGAAAGACAAAGAGAAACAGAGAAAGAGAAAGAAAGAAAGAGAGAGAGAAAGAGGAAGAGGAAGGAAGGAAGGATGGAAGGAAGGAAAGAAGGAAAGAAAGAAAGAAAGAGAAAGACAAAGAGAAACAGAAAGGAAGGAAGGAAGGATGGAAGGAAGGAAGGAGAGAAAGAAACAGAGAAAGAGAAAGAGAAAGAGAGAAAGAGAAAGAAAGAGAGAGAGAAAGGGAAAGGGAAAGGAAGGAAGGATGGAAGGAAGGAGAGAAAGAAAGAAAGAGAGAAAGACAAAGAGAAACAGAGAAAGAGAAAGAAAGAAAGAGAGAGAGAAAGAGGAAGAGGAAGGAAGGAAGGATGGAAGGAAGGAAAGAAGGAAAGAAAGAAAGAAAGAAAGAGAAAGACAAAGAGAAACAGAGAAAGAAAGGAAGGAAGGATGGAAGGAAGGAAGGAGAGAAAGAAACAGAGAAAGAGAAAGAGAAAGAGAGAAAGAGAAAGAAAGAGAGAGAGAAAGGGAAAGGGAAAGGAAGGAAGGATGGAAGGAAGGAGAGAAAGAAAGAAAGAGAGAGAGAAAGAGGAAGAGGAAGGATGGAAGGAAGGAAAGAAGGAAAGAAAGAAAGAAAGAAAGAGAAAGACAGAGAAACAGAGAAAGAAAGGAAGGAAAAAAGAAAGGAGAGAGAGAGAGAAAGGAAGGAAGGAAGGAAGGAGGGAAAGAAGGAAGGAAGGAAGGAAGGAAGGAAGGAAGGAAGGAAGGAAGGAAGGAAGGGTGAGATGTCTTATTTTGAGGAGTGCAATTAGAAATCCTTCATCAAACCCTTTATTTATTTCCTTAAATAATAAATAAATATTTATGCACCAAAAACATTTACATAGCTTACATCGAACTCTGGGCAGCTCCCAAGCAACGATTAAAACAACATCTATAATCAAACAACATCAAAGATGCATCTATTTGGAATCATCAACACGATTATTTTCTTCTATGCTTAAACCTAAATTGGATTTGGTTGATCCTGTTCACCTGATGAATTATTTTATACATTAAAAAAAAACAAAAAAAAACCAGGAGGAGCTCTGATCGCACCATCAAGGACGCCATGTTGAATTTTTTGACCACTCTGTGCAGGCGCTCCCAAGCATGGGAAAACTTACCCACAGAACCCGGAGGCATCTGTATGTGCCCCACACCCTACAGCTGCCCCCTTTTCCATTGCAAAGTTGCACAGCCCTGAAGCCCACCCCCCTTCCTCTCCCCTCCGGTCACTCACAGAACAGGAGCAGCGCTGGCATCCGTCAGCCGAGGTCGCCTCCTGCCCAGGTTCCACCGGGCGGCCATCCAGCTCACAAGCTGCAGAGGGATGAGATTGGAGAAGAAAAGGCCAACTTGGAGATAAAGTTTCTGATTGTCTCTCTGTGTGTGCGTGTCACCTGCAAAAATCTGGATGACCATTAGGTGGCAGAGAAGGGCTACAGAAACTTCCCTCTGTGGTCCTCTGAAGGGGGCTGAGATTCTTGGGACCAGGAATGCTGCCCAATGCTAGCCCATGGGGCAGGAGGATCCCTTCCTTCCCTTCTCTCTTCTTGGAAGATGGGGAAAGACCAGGATGGGGACAGGCTGGCATGGAGAAACTCTTATCTATTAGGTCTCTAAGCATTGACCTGAACGTGATGGGACTTAATCAATGAATGAAACAATGATTGATCCAATCAATCAATGAGCCAATGAATGAATGAATAAATGATTGGACCAATGAATGAATGAATGAACGAATGATTGACTCAATGAATGAATGAATGGATGACTGACCCAATCAATCGATGAGGTACTGTACGATTGACATGATAAAAGAATAAATGATTGATTGTTTGAATGAATGAATGAATGAATGAACGATTGAGTCAATGAATGACTCAATGAATCAATGATTGACCCAATCAATCAATGAGTCAATGAATGATTGACCTGATAAATGAATAAATGACTGAATCAATCAATCAATGAACGATTGACTCAATGAATTGACGAATGAATGAATCAAACAATGATTGACCCAATCAATCAATGAGAATCAATGATTGACATGATAAATGAATCAATGAATGATTGAAACAATGAATCAATCAATGAATGAATTCATCAACAGCTGCCCACCCACCATTTTTTAAAGCTCCAGACTGGGTTAAGAAAACACTTCCCCATATCCTGCTATGCTCAAACCAGTAGATAATGGGTTCTGTGTGCGAATTGCCCAAACCTGCCTATGGGAACACAAACGCAGCTTCAAACATCAGATTTGACACACAAACACAACTCCGCGGCTTTCCCACGTATTGCACAAAACCTCTTACCTTGACGGCAGTCGGGGCAGCACTGCCCAGGTGGCGTATAGCGGTCCTGGCACAAAAGCTGGGGGCATTCGGTCACTTGGCACCGGACTGTGCCTGCCTGGCACCGTTGGAGAGATAAAAGAAGATTGATCTAGAGTGGCACCTGGACAGAAAGGAGGGGCTAAGGGCGCTCTTCCCTGGCATCACTGGGGGGGGGGGCACCCAGCTGCGGGACTGGCATTTCCAATTCTCACAGTGGGAACAATGTGTACATTTCCTAGCTGCGTGTTTCCTGGTCGTTGTGATTCCAAGCCTTGACTTTGGATCGTGCCTCGTGAACCTTTTCGTATCGTAGGTTTAATTTTGCCTGCTGGATTTATCTTGTTTGGGGAACTTACAAGTACCTTACAAGTTACAAGTCTCCACTGGCCATTGCTCTTCGGACTAACCTTGGTCTGCTTTTGGCTGGATTTCATTGGGACAGTTCTGGGTTTTTGATGAAGGGAATTTAGAGCAGAGCAGAGCAACAGAGTTGATAAGGGACCTTGGAGGTCTTCTACTCCAGGGCTCTCCAACCTTGGCAACTTTAAGACTTGTGGACTTCAACTGCCGGAGTTCCTCAGCCAGCTTTGCAACTTCAACTCTGGCAGTTGAAGTCCACAAGTCTTAAAGTTGCCAAGGTTGGAGAGCCCTGTTCTAGTCCAACTTCTGGAGGCAAGGAGTTCCACCGGTTAATTGTTCTTACTGTCAGGGAATTCCTCCTTAGTTCTAAGTTGCTTCTCTCCTTGATTAGTTTCCATCCGTTGCTTCTTCTCCTGCCCTCAGGGGCTTTGGAGAATAGGTTGGTCCCTCTTTTTTGTGGCAGCCCCTCAATATTGGAACGCTGCTATCACGTCTCCCCTAGTCCTTTCTCTCATTAAACTAGACATACCCAGTTCCTGCAACCGTTCATCCTATGTTTTAGCCTCCAGTCCCCTAATCCTCTTTGTTGCTCTTCTCTGCAACTCTTTCCAGAATCTCAACATCTTTTTTACATCATGGTGACCAAAACTGGATGCAGTATTCCAAGTGTGGCCTTTCCAAGGCCTTATAAAGTGGTATCAACACTTCCTGTGATCCTGATTCTATCCCTCTGTTAATGCAGCCTAGGACTGCATTGGCTTTTTTGGCAGCTGCTGCACACGGCTGGCTCATATCTAAATGGTTGTCCACTATTGCTGGGGAATAATAATAAAACCCACTAAATCTTCATTATGGATTAACAGAGTTGGAAGGGACCTTGTAGATCATCTAGTCCAGCCCTTTGCTCAAGCAGGAGATCCTGCACCATTTCTGACAAATGGCAGTCCAACCTCTTCTTGAAAGCCTCCAGAGATGAAGCTCCCACAACTTCCGAAGGCAAATTACATGTGTGGCTGCGCGCGAGTGAGTGGAACAGCACGGGACCTGCCCCCCCCCTCACCTCACAGGTGCAGTGGGTGCACGGATCCTCCAGGAAACCATCTCTGTCCTTCAGCAGGTGTCCCTTGTACCTGCAACCCCCACATTCGGGGCAACACCTGTCCTCAGGGGGGCAGGATGCTGGCACAGCACGGGGGGACAATCCTCCACTTCACAAGTCACTCTGCCATCCTGGGTGGGTGCAAAGAGACCCCAATTCCATGGGAAGAATTTTTTGCTACCGTTTCTTGCCAAGGGAAGGGCACCATTTTTCCAAATCAGGAAGCTGGCATCCATACTGGCACGGCCGCCCACCTGCTCACCTCGCACTGGCATCTCCGACAAGGATCTGGCTTCCAGCTCTCACCATCTTTCCTGCCGTCGGCACAGCCTGCAGGGAGGACAGGGGGGAAGTGAACCTGTTGGATTTCTGCCTGCTGAGAAGCGGTCAAAGGGAGAAGGGCAATTGGGGGAAGGCAGGGCATGCAAGAGAAGTGGAAGTGTGGCTCTTGTGGATCGTGGCCCAAGACTTCGAGGTCAAAAACGTCAAGATGGTGGCCTCGGGGTAGACTTGAGGCCGCCATCTTGACGTTTTTGACTTCTTCCAACTCTGTGGACAGTCCTGACTGGTGGAAATCCAGAAATCCACTCTGTAGATCACGCACTTTTGATTTCTAGGTTGATCTTGGCAAGAGCTGAAAGGGAAAAACGGCCACCATCCCATGCCCCCTGCTTCCCTGGGCCCGATTCCCTCAAAGGGCACTTGGCATGGTGAGTCTCGAACCCCGGGCATTTCCTCACCCCGGCAGGGCTGCAGTTGGCACTCGGCCTTGCCCTGCACACACATGCAGGAGGTGCAGGGGTCTTGGTCCCAGGAAGCCCCCTCCTCGTAGTGCCGTCCATCTGCAAAGCAGGTCGCTCGCCGACACTCGCATTGTTCAAGAGTCTTCACCCAGCCCAGCAGGTCGGAATTCTGTCGGGGGAGGGGTGGGGGGAAAAGACAGAGTTGCAGAATCAGGATTGTACATCAACACACAATTGGGTCATCTCCACCCCAGAACTAACTATTAAGGTGGTAAGGCTGCTTCTCTACTCTTTTGGGAACAGGTTTCTAGTCCTCGTGGTTACAGAGCACATCTGTGTGCAAATTCCATGGATGGACCCTCGTAAAAACAGACAAAGGAGGACTATCACCAATTGCTTCGTGTTTAGTGATCCATGGCAAGTTTCCTTCAGTTCAGGGTGCCTGGGAGCAAAATTGCAGAATCACCAATAGAAGAGAATATTCGGGGTTGAGCTGTGGGGTCCTTGGTGGTCTCTGAGTTTGATGGTTTTCTTGGAGACATTTCATGACCCAACTAGGTAACATTGTCAGTGCCAAAAGGCAATGGGGTTTGGGGAAAGGAGGAGGAGGAGGAGGAGGAGGAGGAGGAGGAGGAGGAGGAGGAGGAGGAGGAGGAGAACAACAGAGGGGTTGTTGGTGGTCTCTGAGCTTCATGGTTTTCATGGAGACATTTCATGACCCAACTAGGGAACGTCATCAGTACTAAAAGGAAGTGGGGTTCACTCTGTGCTTATATAGGCTTGCTGTTGGAGGGTTTGTGGGCACGTTCTTGGTGGCTCTGATTAGGCTGTGGTTTACTCTTTGACTGCTTCTCTGACTTGGTAGTTCCTTGATTGGGTATGGTTTACTTGATTGTTGGTCTAGTATTAATCTTGGTGTTAATCTCTGTTTATCTGGTGTTGTTTGCTGGTGAAGAGCTGTTTCAGTCTTTCTGTTTCCTTTATAGCTTTTTGATTCTCTCTTTTGAATGGTGTGTAGATGTTGCTTATCTCTATGTGCCCGGTGATGACTGATTTTTCTGCGTGCCAGGCTTCTAGGAATTTTCTCAAGTTTTTGGACTTGGTTTGATCAAGGAATCACCAAGAACACTCACGCTGATAGGGCAAACCACTTGTACATAAACCGAGAGAAACCCCGCTCCCTTCTAGCACTGATGATGTTCCCTAGTTTGGTCGTGAAATGTCTGCGAGAAACCAACCAAGCTCAGAGACCCCCAAGGACTCCACAATCCTCCTCTTCCTCCTCCACTCAGCAAACCCTACTCCCAAGTGGCCTCAACGACTCTCAAAGAGAGTGCGAATAACCAGATGACTGCAAGGAATATAAAGCCCTCCCTTCCCCACCATTCAGTCAGAACTGAAGAAGCTTCTTAGATGAGAAGCGAAACGTCTTCAAGAAAAAAACCAAGGAAGTCCAATTGCCTTTTGAAAAAAGCATCTTTAGTCACCAGAGTTTGAAAACAGTTGGACTAAATTGTACTGAATCCAGGATCCCTTGGACTAAACCTTTCTTGGCCGAAGTTGTTGTGGTCTGCCACCGGCCTATGGAGCTGGCAGGAGAGTCGGACAGTGAGGAGGCTGGGGAGGAACATGGGCCAGTCCTGGACTCTGGGGAAGGCTCAGATGAGGGCTCTGCGTCAGAGGCAGAGAGGGGGCCAGGACCATCTGACAGTTATGTTCTGCCTCCGGAATCTGACATCAGCGAGGCAGAAGAACAGTGTGAGCCTGTTCCCAGTGTGCGCATGCGCAGAGCTGCCAGAAGGCAAGAACAATTAAGGGAAAAAAGGGCGACTCGGGAGTAAGGCTTGGAGTTGATTGGTCCCTCCCATAAGACATAAAAAGAGGAGCAAATGGACGTGAGCCTTTGCAGGAAGCAATTAGTTCATATAGTCAATTCAAGCTCTGAGATGTCCTGTTTGACTCTGTGCTCCGTTCGGCCTTGCAAAACTAATTGGCAATTAGGTCTCTGATAGCGTTTCAAGGGAGATAAAGGTGGGTGCTTATCCACATTACCCTGAACGACTGTGTCAACTCGAGCAGACATCTGTCGGAATCTGCACGGGCTGTGAATGACCGTAATTCACAGCCGTTTCAATAAAAGAGTTTTTTTGGGATTAAACTTGTGATTTATGCTTTCTCAGGAAGCCGAGGTCAGAATAAAAGTAAGTCCTCTGAATGGCACTTCTATCTTGATGGGTCTCGCCCTCGGTACTAGAGGGATGACTTGCCAACCTGCTTTCCAGTCAGTCAGCTCTGTCTCCAGAACAACCATTAGAAGGAATTGGCTGGTACAGTACAGTCCTCACCTGTTCCTTCACCATATCCAGCATGGTTCCCAGTCCTTCCACCAGCTCCTCCAGTCTCTGGATCTGGTCTTCCAGGCTGGCCACGCCAGAGCGTGAAGATCCCAGGGGTGGCAAATCTGGTTGGCTGGGCTCTTGCTGGTAGCGGTGAGTTTCTGCCAGGGCTAACGGCCCAAAGGGTGGCAAGGACCCCAGATCAAGAGAAGATTCTTCTGGGAGATCAAGATACTGGTCCTCAGACAGACCGTAGGGCAGAGAGAAGAGGTCCAACTCTGTGGGTCAGCAACACAAGAGGTCAGAACTACCTGATACAGGTGAGGAGGAATCTCCATAAGTCCCCATCCCTCGTTTCCTGGGCCCATTAATGGGGTGTGTGTGTGTGTTTATTGGGGCCCCTCATTCTTTCAGCAGGCCAGGCCAATGAAGATCAATGCAGTGGAATGTCCAGGATGGGATGTTGGTTGGCCATGCAACATTTTCTTTCAATTTTCCAGGGATGGACTGCTCAGGCCTTTCATGTTTAGGCTTTCTGCGGTAAATCTTTTATTTATTTTAGATTTTTATCCTGCTTTTATTGCTTTGGAAGTAACTCAAGCCAACGAGCATCCTTAATATTCTTTCCTTATCCTCTTTTCCCCACAGCAACAACCCTGTGAGGTAGGCTGGGCTTAGAGAGAAGGAGTGATTGAAAGTCACCCAGCCAGCTCTCATGCCTAAGGCGGGACTAGAACTCACCATCTTCTAGTGATTGGCTGAAAGTCACCCAGATGATTTTCATGGTTAAGATGGAGCTAGAACTCACCCTCTCCTAGTGATTGGCCCAAAGTCACCCAGCTGGCTTTCATGCCTAAGGAGGAACTAGAACTCACCCTCTCCTAGTGATTGGCCCAAAGTCACCCAGCTGGCTTTCATGCCTAAGGAGGAACTAGAACTCACCCTCTCCTAGTGATTGGCCCAAAGTCACCCAGCTGGCTTTCATGCCTAAGGAGGAACTAGAACTCACCCTCTCCTAGTGATTGGCCCAAAGTCACCCAGCTGGCTTTCATGCCTAAGGAGGAACTAGAACTCACCCTCTCCTAGTGATTGGCCCAAAGTCACCCAGCTGGCTTTCATGCCTAAGGAGGAACTAGAACTCACCCTCTCCTAGTGATTGGCCCAAAGTCACCCAGCTGGCTTTCATGCCTAAGGAGGAACTAGAACTCATCCTCTCCTAGTGATTGGCCCAAAGTCACCCAGCTGGCTTTCATGCCTAAGGAGGAACTAGAACTCACCCTCTCCTAGTGATTGGCCCAAAGTCACCCAGCTGGCTTTCATGCCTAAGGAGGAACTAGAACTCACCCTCTCCTAGTGATTGGCCCAAAGTCACCCAGCTGGCTTTCATGCCTAAGGAGGAACTAGAACTCACCCTCTCCTAGTGATTGGCCCAAAGTCACCCAGCTGGCTTTCATGCCTAAGGAGGAACTAGAACTCACCCTCTCCTAGTGATTGGCCCAAAGTCACCCAGCTGGCTTTCATGCCTAAGGAGGAACTAGAACTCACCCTCTCCTAGTGATTGGCCCAAAGTCACCCAGCTGGCTTTCATGCCTAAGGAGGAACTAGAACTCACCCTCTCCTAGTGATTGGCCCAAAGTCACCCAGCTGGCTTTCATGCCTAAGGAGGAACTAGAACTCCCCATCTTCTGGTTATTGGCTGAAAGTCACCCAGCCTGCTTTCATGGTTAAGGCGGGACTAGAACTTGGAGCCTCCTGCTTTCTAAACCAGCACTAATCACCAGACCAAAGTGGCTCTTACGTTACCGAAACGAACTTCCTGAGAAACCGATTGAGCAAGCGTGCTGTTTGTCCGATGGAAAAATGTGTATTTGCACTTTTGCACATTTGCGAGGAGTCAGATGGAAGCGCCAAGGGCTGTGCAGCCAGAAACCCCCCCCCCCGGCTTCTCCCAGACAGACGGCCTTTGCGCAATCTGAATCTAATTGATTTCAGCAGAACCAGGCCAAATTATGCAAACCACAACAAAGGAACCCCTTGTGCGAAAGTTGTTCCTACGGCTGATTTCTTTTGGATGCCTCGTTTTGTTTATTTCCAGCTCGGGATCCTGGATCTCAACCAGAAGATTCCGCCATCGAGGCTCACCCTCGGTGGTCCCCCGGGGGAGATGGGAAGGAATTGCTCTGGCAGAGAGACCTGGGCTGCTCCAGGGCCACAAAGCCCCCTCCCCACCACTCAACCCTCCCGCCTGGGCCACTGGCAGAGAGAGCGCTCTTCCCAGGCAGCCCCTTCATTGTGGGGAGGGCTGAGAAAAGGGGGGGGAGGAAGAGGAGAGATGGAGGAGAAGGAGAAAGAGAAAGAGGAGACGAAGGAAAGGAGAAGGGGGAAAGAGAAGAGGAAAGGAAGAAGACGACGATAGAGGAGGATGAGAAGGAGAAGGGATGGAGGTGAAGTAGAGGAAAAGTAGAGGGAGAAGGAAAGCCTTGGTGGCGCAGCAGACTAAAGTGCTGTTAACTAGCACCAGCTGCCTGCAATTACTGCGAGTTCAAATCTCACCAGGCTCAAGGTTGACTCAGCCTTCCATCCTTCCGAGGTAGGTAAAATGAGGACCCGGATTGTGGAGGCAATAAACTGACTTTGTATAAAAAAGAACACCGCTTGGGGGGGGGCGAAAGCCCTACTAAGCAGGTATATACAAAAGTATGAAGGCTATTGCTTAACGCATTGTAAGCCGCCCTGAGTCTCCGGAGAAGGGCGGCATATAAATTGAACCAATAAATAAATAAATAAATAAAAGGAGGAGAAGAGATGGATGAGGAGAAGGAGGAAGGAAAGGAGAAGGGGAATATCTATCTCTTTGTCCGTCTGTCCGTCCATCCATCATCCCTCCCTCCCTCCCTCCCTCCATCCACCCACCCACCCATCATCCATCCATCCATTCATCCACCCATCCATATCTATCTATCTATCTATCTATCTATCTATCTATCTATCTATCTATCTATCTATCTATCTATCTACCTACCTACCTACCTACCTACCTACTACCTACCTACCTACCTACTATCTACCTACTACCTACTCTATCTATCTATCTATCTATCTATCTATCTATCTATCTATCTATCTATCTGTCGCTTCTTCCCCCCGTCCCTTCGCTCTCATCTATATATCTAGGAAATGCACCTACACCGAAATGCCACCCCACGGGAGTGTGAAGCCAGGAGAGAGAGCCCTTGTTGCTTGCCAGAATGATTGATATCCTTCCATATCCGGTCCAAATGTCCACTACTCAAATGTGGCTCAGAACTGGAGCAGCCCAAAATATTCCGCTGGCGTGCCCGTTCCAGAGGGCTCCCTTCCTCCTCCCCTCCCTGGCATCGTGCCACCCTGGCACCGGTGGGGGTCCAGCCTGCCCCCCCAACAGCTGTTGCCTCCTGTCTGGCGGGAGCCCAGCCAAGGCCCACGGCTCTTAGCCGCCCCTGAGGGGGAACATCTGGCCCACAGCACAGACGTCCGGGGGTCGGGTGGGAAGAAAACCTTTCCCACTGCTGGGACTCCTTTGATCTCTGCTTCTCAGCTGCCCCCTCTGACTTGGTCCCCTCCGGGTGACCCTCCCCAGCTCTGGGTCGGTGGGTGGCCGGGGAAGCGATCTTGCCGAACTGCAACACTAGGCAACTACCTACTCTCTCTCTCTCTCTCTCTCTCTCTCTCTCACACACACACACACACACACACACACACCCTGCCAGCCCAGGGAATGCTGATGTGCAGTTTGGGTGGAGACCCTTACCCGGCAGGTTCTCACAGTGCCAGGGGCGATGGGGGAAGCCATGGGGGGAGATCTCGGCCGTCTGCCAGGAGCCCTGCAAAATACATAAATAAATAAATAAATAAATAAAAGCATCATCGTCATAAATGTCTAATGGTTAAGGAATCAGGTTACAAACCAGGTGATGGTGAGTTCTGGTCCTTCTTTAGACGAGAAAGCCAACTGGGTGACTTTGGGCCAATCACCAGGAGACGGGGAGTTCTAGTCCTGCCTTAGGCATGAAAGCCAGCTGGGTGACTTTGGGCCAATCACTGTCACTCAGCCCAGCCCACCTCACAGGGTTGTTGTTGTGGGGAGAATAGGAGGAGGAAGCAGTATTAGTTAAAGCCGGAGGTCCTAGACCATTTCAGACAAGGAGACTGTCCAGGGCCTCCTTAAAACCCTCCAGTATTGAAGCACCCACAACTTCTGGTGGCAAGCTGTTCCACTGGTTAATTGTCCTCACTGTTGGGAAGTTTCTGCTTAATTCCAGGTTGCCTTGATGAGTTTCCATCCACTGTTTCTTGTCCTGCCTTCAGGTGCTTTGGAAAATAAGTTGACCCCCTTTTCTTTGGGGCAGCCCCTCAAATATTGGAAGGCAGCTATCGTGTCTCCCCTAGTCTTTATTTTCTCTAGACTAGCCAAACCCAAATCCTGCAGCCATTCTTCATATGTTTTAGTCTCCAGGCCTTTGATCATCTTCATTGCTCTTCTTTGCACTTTTTCCAAAGTCTCAACATCCTTTTTTGTAATGACCAAAAATGGACGGAGGTTTCCAGATGTGGCCTTACTAAGGTTTTATAAAGCAGTACTAATAGAATAGAATAGAATAGAATAGAATAGAATAGAATAGAATAGAATAGAATAGAATAGAATAGAATAGAAAAGAGAAGTTGGAAGGGACCTTGGAGGTCCTCTATTCCAACCCCCTGCTTAGGCAGGAAACCCTACACCACTTCAGACAAATGGTTATCCAACATCTTCTTAAAACTTCCAGTGATGGACATTCACAACTTCTGGAGGCAAGTTGTTCCACTGAGGAATTGTTCTAACTGTCAGGAAATTTCTCCTGAGTTCTAAGTTGCTTCTCTCCTTCACATGATCTTGATTCTCTGCCTCTGTTTGTACAACCAAGGATTATATTATCTTTTTTGGCTGCTGCTGCACACGGCTGGCTCATGTTTAAGGGATCGTCCACTAAGACTCCAAGGTCCCTCTCGCAGCTCCTGTTCTGGAGCCTGTACTTCTACCTTTGGCTTTTCCTGCATAAGTGTAAAACTTTGCTTTTCTCCGCATTAAATTTCATGTTGTTGGATAGAGCCCATTGTTCACATCTGTCATGATCTTTTCGGATCCTGAGCTTGCCATTCACTTAACAACCGTGCCAATAAAGGTCGCAAAATGAGGCCAAACTCGCTTAACAAATGCCTCCCTTAACAACATAAATTTTGGGCTCAACTGTGGTTGTAAGCCGAGCTCTACCTGTAGTTCTAACACAGTTCTAGAAATGTGAAAGAAAAGTTGGCATTAACCAAGTCCTGCCCCTGGCATGAAGGAACCTCAACCGGCCTGGGGAAATGGACTGAGGATTGGGGTTTAAGGGTAATCACAAAGTGGGTTTGTTTGGGAATGTCTCTGGATGTAGGGCACAGCTAAGTGCCCCTTGGCTGGACTTACCAGGAACTTGCTAGATTCATCTCCGGCTAGGCTGGCAAAAGTGATTTGCAGGTCGAGGGGCAGCAGGAGGCTGAGCAGGTCCTCCCCACGGCCGTTCTCAAAGACGAAGGGTTCTTGGCAGTCCACGTAGAGGGAGATGCGCCGTGGTTCTAGGTTGAGGGCCAGCTGCGCCCAGCGGCCGTGGGCGAAAGGGGTGCTCCCGGGAAAGACCAGCGAGGCTGGTTCCATGTTATGCACTGCCCGGTACGCCAGCCGGAGCTGGTTCTCCTGGGTGCTGGATGCCAGCTGCAGGAGGGGGTGCCCGTCCCGCTTGGAGGCCGCCGGGGAGGCCAGGGAAATGAGGGTCCCCTCTGAGCCGGGGCTCTGGCGGGCCACGAAGTGGAAGCCGAGGGCGGCTTGCACCGTGGACAGCAGGTAGATGGAGTAGTCCCAGGGCAGGGTGAGGACGGGTACTCGCCGGCGGAACTTCCAGGCTGGGATGCCCGGATCGGGGCCCTTGATCTTGCTGATCCCTGGCACCGAGCGGCTGATGTTGAGCGCTTCCAGCAGATCAAGGACTGTAATGGAAGAGCAGGAGGGTTAGAGGCTGGATCGCATCTCCACGAGTCCCAGGGCTTGTTCTGCCCCAGCTACGGACCCCAAAGAACGCAGCACACGCAAAATCTGTACGAAACTTAATTTACTAAAATAACTCAGTCTTTTTCAAACAAAGGCTGTTAATAAACTTTCTTAACAGCCTACAGGAATTCTAAGATACAGTAATCACAATCTTACTAGGGTTGGCAGAAAGCCCAGAAGCAATTTTGCAGAGAATCCAAACATGAAGGAGAGTGAACTAAAGTTGTTCCCTACAGCTTGCTGCAATCGGCCTTCCTCCTTAAATAGGCTAAGGGAGTGGCCAATTAGCCCCAAGCCTTACTCTCGAGGAGACCTCCTCCTGAGGAGCCACTCCTGCCTTTTGGCAGCTCTGCGCGCCCGTGCATCGAGAAGAGGCTCTTCGTCTTCATCCTCTTCACTTAAGGGAGCTTCCGGAGGTTCTGAAGGCCCTGGCTGAATCCCCGCCTCTGGCACCACATCTTTTCCAGCCTCCTCGCTGTCCGACTCGAGTGCCGGCTGCACAGACTCCTGGAGCAGCACCATACCAGCCTCCTCGCTGTTGGAATCAGCTACAATCCGCACAGGCCGCTGACGGGCCACAACAGGGCTGGAAGCTCAGGAGAGAATTTTTTTGGGGGGGGGGAGTTGGAGTTTAGCCCCTGGGAAGTTTACAGACTATCCTATTGTGTTTGCTTAGATATAATATGTAATAATATGTTGAGGAGCCATCTCACCCCAATGGGATTAGCTTGCCCCACTCGTGCCAGCAGAAGAGGCCTCGCAGGGAGCCCGTTGTTTAAGGAGTTCTGGTGGGTGGGGTCCAGGAGAAGGGCCTTTTCGGCTGTGGCCCCTGCCCCGTGGAACATGGCTCCCATACTTTTGGCCTTCTGGAAGGGGATTAAACTTGGCTTTGCTGGTTGGCTTCAGACGCCGAGTAAACAATACCCTAATCAAGGAACTGTCAGGACTACTCCTACCAACAGTGACAGGGTAAGCCTCTAGAATATAAACAGAGGGCAAACTCCATACTGGTGTTGTTACCTTGTTGGGTCATGAAATGTTGGCAAGAAAGCAACTAAACTCAGAGTGCCCCAAGGAATCCACATCCCTCCTCCTCCTCCTCCTCCTCCTCCCAGGGCTGTCTTAACAGCATTATGGGCCCTGGGCAAAGCAGTGTACTGCGGCCTCTACGACAACTACTCACAGGAATAAAAATGTAAATGGTCGATAAAATTAAAACATAAATTTGCATGTTAGTATTAATAAAGAAATGCGGTAAAATGTAATAAAATACATTGCTGTATTTATATGATACAAGGTGCATTGAAGGGTTAATATACACAGATTAGTATGGGGACCCTATGCTTATGCGCCCATGCATTAAGGCAGCCCTGCCACCTCCCCCGCTCCTCCTCTTTTCTGCAAATCCTCCTCCCTTCTAGCACTGATGATGTTCCCTAGCTGGGTCATGAAATGTCTGCAAGAAAACAACCAAGCTCAGAGAGCACCAAGGACCCCCAAAGTCCCATCCAAGGAACCTACATTCCTCCTCCTCCTCCTCCTCCTCCTTGCAAACCCCACAACCTCCCAGGCCCAGCCCTGTTAATGTTCCCTAGTTGGGTCATGAAACGGCTGCAAGGAAATCACCCAGCTCAGAGAGCACCAAGGACCCCCACAGCCCCACCCTGAGTCCCCTTCCCTTGATTTGGATCCAATGGGAGGGTTGAGAAATGTCCCCACCCCAGGGGTGAAATGCTCCCGGTTTGGACCGGATCGCCTGAACCGGTAGTGATGGAGGTGGATGGTTCGGAGAATCGGTAGCAAAAATCCCTGCCCCACCCCCCCCCATGCCCAGCTGAGCCGCACAATCATCAGAGGCTTTTTCTTTTAATTTTTAAAAGCATTTTTTCTACAACCTCTTCGGCCGAAAAAAAATGCTTTTAAAAGTAAAAAAGCCTCTGATGATCGCGCGGCTCAGCTGGGATCGTCAAAGGGATCGTCAGCTGATGATCCCAGCTGAGTTGCCTGATCGGCAGAGGCTTTTTTTCTTTTAAAAGCCTCTGACGATCCCAGCTGAGTTGCCTGATCGGCAGAGGCTTTTTTTCTTTTAAAAGCCTCTGACGATCCCAGCTGAGTTGCCTAATCAGCAGAGGCTTTTAAAAGAAAAAAAAAGCTTCTGCCGATCAGGCAACTCAGCTGGGATCATCAGAGCTTTTTGAAAGCATTTCTTTACAACCTCTTCGCCGAAGAGATTGTAGAAAAAATGGTTTTAACAGAAAAAAAAAATTGGCCACGCCCACCGTTACATTACCCCCCCACCAAGCCACACCCACAGAACCGGTAGTAACAAATTTTAGATTTCACCACTGCCCCACACATATGCAATTGAACCTGGAGCCATCCTGACAGGCGCTTTCCTGAAACTGCACAAAGGCACAGTTCCCATTTTACTACATAGCCAGCATCCAAGTTAACATACACAAGGAAAGCACAAAGATTGGGCAAGGATCTTGTGAGTCTCACATCTCACACCAGAAAGCACAACTGGGCCAGGTTGTCTCCATATCAAAGTTTTCTTAGATGGCTCCTTAATGAAGGGAGTTTGCAGGGTTAACACCAGTGGTGGGCTGTTGCTGGTTCAGACCGGTTCGGGCGAAGCGGTAGTTGCAACCCTTGGCGCTATTCCGTCCTATACTGCCGTGTTTTTGAAGCCGCGTGCATGCACGATCACATGATACAACAAGATATAGATTTAAAACCTGAACTGTTCCTATTGGGTATCTTACCAGAGAAATTTAGTGAAGAAAATATATATTTGATTGTATGTGTGATAACTGCAGCGAGGATAGTATTTGCGCAAAGATGGAAAGCAGAGAAAATCCCTACAGAGGAAGAAATAATTAAGAAAATATTGGATTGTGCAGAAATGAATAGATTGACTTTGACACTTAAAGAAAGAGAGGAATCGGAATATTTTTCAGATTTGGGGGCAATTTTATTATTGGTTGGAGAAGAGATATATGTAGAGTAATATTGTAAAGAAAGAGGGGAGAAATGTTATAACAAACGAAATGATAAATATTAAGATATGAGAAATAATTGAGGAGGGGGGAGAAGACACAAAAGATGCACTCAGATGATGCACTGATGGATCGATTATGTATTGTATGTTTGTTTGCCTATAAAAATAAAAAACTTTTTTTTAAAAAAGAATAAAACATGGGTTAAAAACAACCCACATTAAAACTTGTTCGAGCACAGAACTAATTAAAACTCTGCAAAACAAGAAAGGGGGATGGGTGGGTGGGCTTATTCCTCCAGGAGGAACTCCCATTACAAGGTGATCCTCAACTTACGACGCCCATTGAGTCTAAAATTTACGTTGCTAAGCGAGAAAGTTGTCAAGTGAATTTCCCCCTCCCTCCCATTCTACAATCTTTCTTGCCACGGTTATTAAGTGAATCACTGCAGCCGGACGCTGCAGCCATCGTAAGTCCATGCCAGTTGGCCAAGCATCTAAATTTTGATACTATGGGGGATACTACAATGGTCACAAGTGTGTAAAACAGTTCTGGGCAGGGGTGAAATGCTCCCGGTTGGTAGTGAAGGCTGTGGGTGGTTTGGAGAACTGGTAGCAAAAATCCCTGCCCGCACCCCATGCCCAGCTGAGCCACGCGATCATCAGAGGCTTTTAAAAAAAATTTTAAAAGCATTTTTTCTACAACCTCTTCGGCCGAAAAAATGCTTTTAAAAGTTAAAAAGAAGCCTCTGATGATCTCGCGGCTCAGCTGGGATCGTCAGAGGCTTTTAAAAGCATTTTTTTCTATAACCTCTTCGGCCAAAGAGATTGTAGGAAAAAAATGCTTTTAAAAGCCTCTGATGATCCCAGCTGAGTTGCCTGATCGTCAGAGGATTTTAAAAGCATTTTTTTACAACCTCTTCAGCCGAAGAGGTTGCAGAAAAAATGGTTTTAAAAGTAAAAAAAAAAAAAAGTTGGTCACGCCCACTCAGTCACATTACCCCCCCTCTCCCCCACCAAGCCACGCCCACAGAACCGGTAGTAACAAATTTTACATTTCACCCCTGGTTCTAGGTCACTTTTTCCCAATGACGTTCTAACTTTAAAATGGTCGCTAATTTTTTTTTTCAACTTCAAACTAAACGAACGGTTGTAAATCGAAGACTACCTTATATTCTCAGGACAAGGCCTGACCCCTAATCCTCAGCATCCGTGAAGAATGCTAAAAATATTCTTTTTTAAAAAAAAGTGTTGTGAAAAGTCAACCAAATTGACCAGCCGTTCAGCGAGCCGAGAAAAGGCGGAAGCATTTTCGTCTGGTCTCCTCGGACACAAAAGTGGACATTGTGAAGGGCAGGAGGAGAAGGCAGCTTCGGACGAGATTTATTGAAGAAACAGATTTTCTCTGGATGATGAAATGACACCTCAAAGTTTCAAAAGAAGTTGCTGGATGAAAAGTTGTGGTTTTTGGTTTTTTTTGAGAAATCCCGGTGGGCCCGTCAAACGCCAGGAGAGCAAATATTGTCCTTGTCTGCTACAAGGAGGATCAGATAAATTACCCAGCAGTCAGTGTGGCATCAACATCTGGGAGTAATTTTCCACAAATTGTCAAGAGGCCAAGAGTGTTAGCACAGGACAAAGCCATGTCCTAGGACCGTGTTGGCGAACTGGCACGCGGAGCCATATCTGTGGGCACATGAGCATTGCCCTAATTCAGCTTCAGTGTGCATGTGCGTGCCGGCCAGCTAATTTTCGGGCCTTCCAGGCCCACCGCAAATCGGGAAACGGGCTGTTAATGGCCTCCGGAGGGCCACGGGGGTGGGGTGGGGAGTGAGGAAGGCTGTATTAACCCTCCCCAGGCTCCAAGAAAGTCTCTGGAGCCTGGGGAGGGCGAAAAATGGGCCTACTGGGCCCATCATGCCATCGCATGCCAAAAGCAGGGGGAGCGCAGGGGATCGCGCATGAATGCGTGGGGTGGGGCGCATTTAATTATGGATGCGGGCATGTGTGCGCCCAATTCCCACACGCTCTCCTTGCTTTTGGCACGCGACAGCAAAAAGGTTAGCCATCACTGTCCTAGGAAGCAAAAGTCAACATTGGCTTGGCCAAGAAAAAAAAAAAGATCGACTTAGTTTGCTTTTCCTTATTGTTCAACTGGAGGAAGTTCTTAGTAGATTGTGGGAATGCTGTCGACATAATATATCTTGATTTCATTGGCAAGGGCTTATTCAGGTTACAGGCAATCTTCAATTTACAAATATTCTTTTACAAACAAACAAAAACATTCGTACAGTGAGCATTCAAAGTTACAACGGCATGGGAAAAAGTGAGTTAGGATCATTTTTCACACTTACGACCGTTGCCGCATCCCCAGGGTCATGTGATTTACTTTCAGATGCTTGACCACTGGTTCATATTTATGACGACTGCAGCATCCCACGGTCACCTGATCCCCTTTTGCGACCTTCTGACAAACAAAGTCAAGGGAGAAACCAGATTCACTTAGCAACCGTATTACTCATTTAACAACCGCAGTGGTCCACTGAACCAATGCAGTAAGAAAATTGTCAGAAAACTGGACAACATTCACTTAACAAATTTCTCACTTAGCAACAGAAAGTTTGGGGTCAATTGTGGTCGTATATCGAGGTCTATCTATAGAACTGCTGTAGACCACGGGTGAAATCCAGCAGGTTCTAGAGAACCGGTAGCGGAAATTTTGAGCAGTTCGGGGAACCGGCAAATACCACCTCTGGCTGGCCCCAGAGTGGGGAGGGAATGGAGATTTTGCAGTATCCTTCCCCTGCCAAGCCTACCAAGCCACACCCACCAAGCCACGCCCACAGAACCAGTAGTAAAAAAAATTGGCTTTCACTACTGCTGTAGACATAATACTGTATATCTTGATTTCATTGGCAGGGACATTTACACCGTTAGGCAGTTGGACTCTGGCAAAGTAAATCATGATATTTGGATTAGCAAACTGGTTAAGTGTGGTTTGGATGAGAGGATGAATAAGTGGGCTTGTAACTGACTCAAAAACCATATTCAGTAAGTTGTCATCAATATCCAGATAAACCTTTTACTTACAAAAGTTCGTTTAGTGTTCCAAGTTACAATGGCACTGAAAAAAGTGACTTATGATCATTTTTCACACTTACGACTGTTGCCAACCTCCCCATGGTCACGTGATCGAAATTCGGATGCTCGGCAACTGGCTCATATTTATGACGGTTGCACTGTCCGGGGGTCACATGATCCCCTTGAGCGATCCCTCCCCCCGACAAGCAAAGTCAAGGGGGAAGCCGGATTCACTTAACAACTGTGTGACTAACTTAACAACGGCAGTGATTCGCGTAACAACGCTGACAAGCCAGGTTGTAAAATGGGGCAAAACTCACAATACCTGTCTCGCTTAGCAACAGAAATGTTGTGCGTTGTAAGTCAACCCTAACCCTGACTTCCTTACTTTGACTGGAAGGTCCTTTCCTACACAGGGTTTGGCTGGATGACCTCAAGGGCCTCTTCCAACATTAGGGGTCAAAAGTCAAGACCCTTGAGCTAAGCAACCTCCCTAAAGAGGACCTCTCCACACCCAAGAGATGGGTCAGAAACAGGGCTATCAGGCGCCTCCTGATCACTGGCTTACAAGGCTGCGACCTTCCCTCTTGGAACGGACCATTGGAGCCTCCACAGCCCGCGGCAGTCTATCTGAAGACCCTCCACCCCGAAGCCCTATCTCCATGGAACAAGCTGGGCTCAAGCTGAGCGTAAAGCAACCCAAACCAAGTGGGGTGGGCTGCAGGCGTGGGGGATTCCTCCTGCCCTCCCGACAGACCCCCCCCTCCCCTGCCAGTCTCCGTGGCCCACAACCCCCAAAGTCCTGGCGCCAGGGGTGAAATCCAGCAGGTTCTGACAGGTTCTGGAGAACCGGTAGAGGAAAATTTGAGCAGTTCGGAGAACCGGCGAATATCACCTCTGGCTGGCCCCCGAGTGAGGTGGGAATGGAGATTTTGCAATATCCTTCCCCTGGAGTGGGGCGGGAATGGAGATTTTGCAGTATCCTTCTCCTGCCATGCCCACCAAGCCCCCCATGCCACGCCTACAGAACTGGTAGTAAAAAAATCTGGATGTCACCGCTGCCCGGCGCTCACCGTCGTCTCCGAAGTCGCGGCGCTCCGAGTGGTCCCGGCGGTGGTCTCGGCGCCCGTCCAGGGTCCCTGCAGGGCCAGCGCCGCCCAGGGCAGCGCCAACAGCTGCCAGCAGCCCCGCATGATGCCCACCCAGGGATGCCCGCTCTGCTCCGGCGCTCCGCTCGCCGGGATGGCTGGTCTGGCTCGTCCAGGGGGCGGTCTCGGAGGGAGACCCCGGCGCCCCCCTGGCTGCCAGGAGAGGGGTGGGCGGGCGAGGCGAGCCCAGGCGGGAGGAGCGAAGTCCCGGGACGGATCGCGGGGGAAGGGGCGGGCGGGGAGGCGCGCAGAGGGGCTGAAACGGGGGCTGGCTCATGCCCCTCCCGGGATCCCCCTCCCCATAAGCAGGTGAGGGGGGGTGTCTCTCTCTTTCCCGAAGAGAAGTCTTTGCAAGCTGCCGTTCCACCTCGCTTGCCCTCCCTCTGCCCAGTTGCCCCCTCCCATCCAATTTGGTTGATGGGGCGCCCCGACGCCTCTTTGGGGGTCTTCCGACGCTCCCTCGGACCCCGCTTGGGCTCTTCGGTCAAAGGGGATGTGGCGGCGCGGTTGAGCCCCAGAGGGGGAAAGGTGGGGAGGCCCGTTCCCCGAAGCCCCCTGGGGATACACGCCCCGCCCCTCCGTCTGCTGCTGCCGCCGCCACCTGTCCTGCAGGTGAGGGCTTCACCTGTTCCCCCGGACCTCACCTGGCGAGGGAGGCGAGAAGGGAGCGAAAGATGCCCAGGAAAGAAAGGCTTTAGCGACATCTGCTGGCCGAACGGCGGCAAGACACTTAGCTAGGCGCGGCTCCGCATCAGGAGGGTTAATTGAAACCAGCTGTTATTCAGAACACCAGAAAATGTAAAAAAAATCAAATCAAATCTGGGAAAACACAGGATAGGCTTGGCCCGTCCCTAATTAAGAGGAACCCTGTTGTAAGCTGCACCAGAAATACACACTTTGCAGGGTCCTGTATATGCAAAACCTAAAAATCAGCTATGTATCCCTGTACCTTGTTCTTCGTTTGGGGGGGGTCTTTGATTGGAGGAGTTCCACAACCCATGCTACAGATTCCACATGCCTAAGCATGCCAGGCTATGAATTTAAGGGAGTTCTAGTCCTGGGCTGGCTGATCTTGGGTGAATCATCAGGAGATGGTGAGTTCTAGTTCTGCCTTGGGCCTGAAAGCCAATTGAATGATTGTGGACCAATCGCCAGGAGACTGTGACTTCTAGTCCGGCCTTAGATATGAAAGTTGGCTGGGTAATTGTGGACTAATCGCCAGGAGACTGTGAGTTCTAGTCCTGCCCTTAGATATGAAAGCCGGCTGGGTGACTGTGGACCAATTGCCAGGAGACTGTGAGTTCTAGTCCGGCCTTACATATGAAAGCCGGCTGGGTGACTTTGAGCCAATCACCAGAAGATGGTGAGTTCTAGTCCTGCCTTTAGATATGAAAGTTGGCTGGGTGATTGTGGACCAATCGCCAGGAGACTGTGAGTTCTAGTCCGGCCTTACATTTGAAAGCCGGCTGGGTGACTTTGAGCCAATCACCAGGAGATGGTGAGTTCTAGTCCTGCCCTTAGATATGAAAGTTGGTTGGGTGACTTTGGACCAATAGCTAGGAGATGGTGAGTTCTAATCTTGCCTTAGGCGTGGAAACCAGCTGGGTGACTTTGGAACAGTCTCTCTCTCTCAGGCCAAACTACCTCACAGGGTTGTTGTTGTGGAACAACAACAACCCTTAGAATAGCAGAGTTGGAAGGGACCTTGTAGATCATCTAGTCCACCCTGCAGGCGTTTCCAGTGGATGGTTCTTGGCCCCGGGGTTTCTCAAGGACTGCATTCACATGAAGTTCTTCTCCTGGTCTGCGTGGGAGGTGGGACTGAAGGTTCTCCAGATCTTCTCATTCCGCCTCCAGAATTTCAGAGGCATCTTCAGCTGGAAGGGTCCTGGTGAAGCATGAAGGGGGCCAGCTGGACTCTCTCAACCTAATCTAATTTCCCTGCATTTTTTTGTCCAAAGGAAGTGGAAATTCCTGGAGGATTTTAACTGAAGACAACCCCCCCCACACACACAAGTGACCAGCTCAGAGAGGGGGAAGTTTAGGACTTCATTGGGGCTGATTTGTCTCCAAGACTGTTATGTGCCTGTGAGGTCTCTTCAGAGGCACACACACACACAACACACAAAAAACTCCACAATGCATTAAGGAAACACAACTGCCGTCTCTGCAGTGCAGGCATGGCTCGACAGTGGAGCTGAGGGGCATCCAGCAGGCACTGAGTTCCAGAATCAAAATAGATAGGGACCTTGAGGTCTTCTAGTCCACCTCCCTGATCAAGCAGGAGAGCCTACACAATTTGAGACAAGTGGCTGTCCAGTCTCTTCTTAAAAACCTCCAGTGTTGGAGCACCCACTTCTGGTGGCCAGCTGTTCCACTGGCTAATTATCCTGTTAGGAAGTTTCTCCTTAATTCCAGGTTGCTTCTCTCCTTGGTACGTTTCTATCCTTTTGTTTCTCGTCCTGCCCTTTTGGTGCTTTGGAAAATAAATTGACTCCCCTCCTCTTTGTGGCAGCCCCTCAAATACTAAATACTCATGTTCCCCCTGATCTTCTTTTCTCTAGACTGGCCATGCCCGGTTCCTGCAACCGTTCTTCATAAATTTTAGTTTCCAGGCCTTTTAATCATCTCAGTTGCTCTTCTCTGCCCTTTTTCCAAAGCCTCAACATCTTTTTTGTAAAGTGGCGACCAAAACTGGATGCGGCATTCCAGATCTTGCCCGACTAAGGCTTTACAAGGCGGTACTAATTCATCTAATCCACTTCATCAAAAGTCACCAGGAAATTTCTCCACGTCCCAGGGGCCTGATATCAGGCTTCACCATCTCTCAATCAGCCCCCGACTTGTTTTCGTTTCAGGAGGCTCAGGAACATGGGAACACGTTGGTATTATTATTGGTGCTGCTGGTATTTTCTTGGAAATTCATAGCCAATATTATGGAGGAAGCTGTTGGGGGAAAAAAATAAAATAAAATAAAAAATGTCTGCAAACAGGCTGCAAGACTGACGCGGCAATGAAATGCAAAATTTTATTATCAACAAATTTGACAAAATCGAACCCAAAATTTAACACGGCAGGAAGGTCCTAAAACTGGATGCGGGTTGCTTAACCGCCGCCTTGCTTAGCAACAGAAATGCTGGTTGTAAGTGGAGGACTACCTGTGCTTGGTTTTTATTTTTTTAAATCTTTTGGGGTTTCTCGGAGCTCCGATGGGCCTTCTGGCTCTTTCTTGCTTTCGGTTCCTTTGCTTGAGTGCCTCTTTCTAATGGGAAGTACGGTTTCCTGGTGCTGCCAATAAATTCTCAAACCTCTCCACAGTTCAGGACGCTTCCTGTTGATTGGGGTATAAATGCCCCCCCAAGGAGCAGCATTTTAGAAAAGAAAAAAGAAAAAGAAAGAAAAATGTCAGAAAAGAGGCAGGTAAGACATTTCTACCTTTAGCCTCCTTACCTTCCAGATTTCATGGCTGAAAAACCCACCCTTTTGAGAGCAAAGTCTTGCAAACATCTGGAATCCAGATAGTCCTCGATTTATGACAGTCTTGACCAGCATTTCTGTTGTTAAGTGAGCTGCTTGTAAGTGCATCACGCCTGATTTTACGGCCTTTTTTTGTCATGGTTAAGCAAATGGCTGCAGTCGTTAAGCGAATCCGCCCCCCCCTTGACTTTGCCGGTTGGAAGCCAGCTGGGGAGGTCACAAATAGCGACCGTTGTAAGTACGAGGTCTGATTGCAAGTTACTTTTTTCGATGCCGTTGTAACTTTGAAGTCACTAGACAAATGCTTTTAAGTTGAGGGTTACCTGTACGCCAGTGGTGAAATCCAAAAATTTTTATTACCAGTTCTGTAGGCGTGGCTTGGTGGGCGTGGCAGGGGAAGGATACTGCAAAAGCTCCATTCCCACCCCACTCTTGGGGCCAGCCAGAGGTGGTAATTGCTGGTTCTCCGAACTACTCAAAATTTCTGCTACTGGTTCTCTAGAACCTGTGAGAACCTGTTGGATTTCACCCCTGCTGTACGCTCCAATTACTCACGCTTGTGCGATCCTTGTATTTTTGGCCATCTGTTTTTCCTAGTTTAACACACCATGCATTCCCACACACTCACAATGTACACTCTCCATCTCGATTCTCCCTTGCGCTACTTCTTGGGGGTGTGCAAACGGCCTCTGATCTGGCTTTAAATGCTACTCCAATTCGAAACCAGTTTTTAGTGTGTCTCAAAGCATTCAGAACCTGGCTTGGTTGTTGAACTGGGGGCCCTGAGAATGTGGGGGAACCCACAACTTGGCTTGTTTGAAGTGCCGGTGAATTTTCTCAGCTGCTATTTTTAATCTGATTTTTGTTCTTTGGAACTCTGCTTGCTTTGTACTTTTTAAAATTCTCTTTTCATGGGGGTCTGCCCAGAGTCACATAGAGGAGGTGGTCTATCTATATACATCTACGAAATAAATAAACTTGACTACGAAAAGAGACTTTTGCACTTCATTAAATCTTTGATTCGATTCACAGTCTGGAACTGGTAAAAATTTAACAGTTCAAGTCCTAGCCAAAGACCTAAGAATTGTTGAAGTAATGCCATAGGCGGCCCTGAGGAGGGTGGCATTTTTTTTTGCAAAGCCAGAATATTCAGGTCTAATCATTTCAAAATTTCCATTATTATTAAAACCATCATCATCGGTTCATCACACAGTCATCCAGATGTTCAGACTGCATTTGGCATTTCTCTCTGCCTATCGAGTCCTTTCCAAGGACCTGGGATAACGAAACAAAGAAAGTGTTAAAAAGTTATGATGTTTATGTAATTCCTTGCCAAGCACATCTAAATTATATTAAAGTAACCAAAACGTAGAATTGGATAAATGGGAAAAATTGTGGGAGAAAAATTACAAATTGACCATGGCAGTATCATACAAAGAAAACAGCTATAAAATGTTTTATAGGTGGCATTTAGCACCAGCGAGACTGGCAAAAATGAACCCCAACTTATCACCCCAATGTTGGAGATGTGGTCACAAACTAGGGACATACTACCACATGTGGTGGATGTGCCCTAAGGTGAGGAAATTTTGGTATAAAATTAAAGGGTGGTTGGAAGAGATTACACTCCAAAAGATAGATTTTAAACCAGAGATGTTGTATTGTATTTTAACATCTGGTGTACTTGTGTTTTTGTTTTTTTGTTTCTGTCTCTTGATTTCTTTTGCTATTGTGTGTTTGGTTTTAAAATGTAAAATACTCAATAAAAAATATTTTTAAAAAATAAAAATAAAGTAACCAAAACATCTTTTATAATCCCCAAGGCAGGTCACAAACTTTTGAGCGCCTCAAACCTTTGGAAATTGAAAGTTGAAAAATTGGACACGTGGGACAGGCGGATGTTCTTGTTATGATTTTTTTTAAAAAACAAATCAAACTAAAAGTTTTCAAAGTTACACTGAAAAAAGTGACTTAAGACTGCAGCTCACAGCGTTCCCCACAATCACGTGATCAAAATTGGGCATTTGGCAACTGGCATGGATTGATGACGGTTGAAGGATCCCTGGGTCACGTGACCCCCATTTGCAGTCTTCCCAGCCGGCTTCCGACAAGCCAAGTCCGTGGGGAGGAGCCGGGTTCACTTAAGGACTGTGTGATTTGCTTAACAACTACAGTGATTTGTTTAACACCGGGACAAAACAGGTTGCAAAATTGGGCATGACTCACTTATGCTTTGCTTAGCAACGGAAATTCTGGCCCCAATTGTCATCGTAAGTCGAGGACTACCTGTAGGCTCAGGGAAATGTTTGTTTTGGACACGAGATTCCTTGGGCCTTTCTCTCTGTTTGTGTGAGGGCCTCCATAATGGCGTCCTTCAATTTCTCCATTTTAAAATTGCTTTTTGCTGTTTCTCCATCCAGATGTGGACCGTCCTTCTCGGGTGCCTCGGCCTTTTGGTTTCCATCAGAGGTGGGTTTCAGCAGGTTCTGACCAGTTCTGGAGAACCGGTAGTGGAAATTTTGAGTAGTTCAGAGAAAATAGTAAAATAGTAGTAAAATAGTAGTAAAATAGTAGTAAAAATTCTGACTGGCCCCGCCCCCATCTGTTCTCTGCCTCCCGAGTCCCAGCTGATCGGGAGGAAATGGGGATTTTCCAGTATCATTCTCCCAGGAGTGGGGAGGGAATGGAGATTTTACAGTATCCTTCCCCTGCCACGCCCACCAAGCCACGCCCACAGAACTGGTAGTAAAAAATTTTGAAACCCACCACTGGTTTCCATTCCATCCATTGCACAGATGTGAGTTCCTGCTAGCAGCTTTGATGCTGCCTGAAGGGAGCTGCGAAGTCACAAGCCAGTTTTGCATGATGTGCTAAAACCATCATCCTGTGCACAATGCGTGAAGGACCACACCCGAAACTTAGCACATGGCGGACACTGGGTCTGAGTTGAGGAAATGAGTGGGGGGAATGCAGGTTCTGGATGCAAACCTGCCAGGAAGAGTTGATAATAGAATAACAGAGTAACAGAATTATATACCAAACGAATGACATTGGGGTCCCCATATCGAAACAATTTACCTTATGTGCGGCCAGAATCTGAAAATAACGTTTAACCCAGCACAGTACTTAAGCAAAATGGTTCAGTTGAGATCTGCATACCTGGGACTAGTTGGCGTAGATTGCAGGGATGACACCAAAATATAATTTTATCATATTTTATCTAAATCTTAAATTATTGTATTTTATTCCAATTTCATTTTAGACTGTATTTTATTCCAATTTCATTTTAAATCTTATTTTATAGCAATTTTATTTTAAATTGTATTTTATCCAATTCCATTTTAAATTGCTTTTATCAAATTTGAGTAATAATTTGTTTCTGGAACTCTGCGCTTTGATATGGCCCAAGGGCTAATCAATAAATAAAGATTGAGATTGAGAGTAACAGAGTTGGAAGGGACCTTGGAGGTCTTCTAGTCCAACTCCCTGCTCGGGCAGGAAACCCTCTCCCATTTCAGACAAATGGTTGTCCAATCTCTTCTTAAAAACTTCCAGTGTTGGAGCACCCACAACTTCTGGTGGCAAGCTGTTCCACTGGTTAATTGCCCTCACTGTCAGGAAAAATGTCTCCTTAGTTCCATGGTGCTTCTCTCCTTGGTTAGTTTCCATTCATTGCTTCTTCTCCTGCCTTCCGGTGCTTTGGAGAAGCAGAAGTCGTGGCTGCTCCAACACTGGAGATTTTTAAAGAAGAGACTGGACAGCCATTTCTCTGAAATGGTATAGATGTTCTGTCCCCGTCTCACACACGCACACAAACAGACAGCCGGGGGTTAAATAAACTGGCAGACAACCAATTCTTCCGATAAGAGGCTTGGCAGCAACCCAGTTGCTGCTTGCCAAGAACTTTACTCATAAACAAGATACACACAGTTCAAGAATTGTCCAGTCCGTAATTAAATCCAAGGCAGATAATGCTGTTTCCAATGTGACTCGATAGTAGTTACCGTATTTTCCGGCGTATAAGACGACTGGACGTATAAGACGACCCCCGAATGTTCTTGTTCAAATATAGGGTTTGGGCTATACTCGCCGTATAGGACTACCCCTCTTCCAACGCATACCAAATAAAAATTAAAAAAACATCAACTGGCTCACCCACAATGTAAAAGCAGCTGTGCTAGACCCAAAATGGCCCCTGAAACCAGCAGGAACCTCACACAGCCACAAAAAGCCCCCCAAAAAACAACTTTCACACTTTACACACACACACAACACAACACAACACAACTGGCTCACCCACAATGTAAAAGCAGCTGTGCTAGACCCAAAATGGCCCCTGCAACAAGCAGGAACCTCACACAGCCACAAAAAGCCCCAAAACCCAACTTTCACACTTTACACACACAAAATTCCACATACAGCTTTGTGAGATTTTGTGTGTTTGTGTAGTTAGAGTGAAACACTACAGAAACACACTAAATCTCAGAAAGCTGCACAAATATTATTTTATTTTATTTTATTTTAATTTTTATATGAAAGCTAAATTTAAAACTTCCTAAACTTTAAATGGCTAGGTCTAAAAAAGAACAACTAAAAAAAAACCCCAATTAACTATTTTTTTTAAAGCTCCCAAAGGGGAAACAAACTTACCCAACAGAACAGGGATCTCCAACCTTGGCAACTTTAAGACTTGTAGACTTCAACTCCCAGAATTCCTCAGCCAGCTTTGTTTTGCTGGCTGAGGAATTCTTGGAGTTGAAGTCCACAATTCCCTGCCTGCTTGATTTCAGGCAGGGAGTGGCTTGCTGATGGAATGGATTCAGGCAAGCGAAGCAAGGCAAGCATTGCGACTAGTAGCTAAGGTAAGCAAGCTGGAGGGGGAAAACTTTTTTCCTTCTCCATGGCTCTGGCGATCCCAGCTGAGTTGCCTGATTAGCAGATCGTCAGAGCTTGGATTGCCAGAGCCATGTGAAAGGAGAAAACTTTTTTCCTTCTCCGTGGCTCTGGCGATCCCAGCTGAGCTGCCTGATTAACAGATCGTCAGATCTTGGATCGCCAGAGCCATTTAAGGCTCGTCAGAGCCTTTCGGGCTGGTCTGCCTGGTTACAGGAGAACGACACCCGGCGTATAAAACGACCCCTGACTTTTGAGAAGATTTTCATGTGTTATAAAGTCGTCTTATACGCCGGAAAATACGGTAGTTTTGTCCGTCACATAGTCTAAATGGCCACCTCACTCCCTTTTATACCCTGTGGGGTGTGGTCCAGTGACTCAGCTTAATCTCTGGCACGCTTCTTCTTCTGTTGCACGCGCTTATCTCTGCGATGCTGCCGAGGATCCAGCCAAGACTCATCTCCCTCATCACTGTCCACCTGTGGCTGCGTGGACGTGCTTGGCCCCGGCCCTATCTCTTGCCCTTCGGCGGACACCGAAGGCATTGCCAGAGAGGAGGGTCCTGGAGAGGGAGGCCTTGCCAACTCCTCTCCTTCACTCTCAGAGTCCTCTCCTACTGATGACACAGGCTCAGGTAACGGAGCCACAACAATAGGGCCGTGATGGGAAACCTATGGCATGCACATGTGCGCACTTTGGGCACTCGGGCACCAAAAAGGTTAACCATCACTGGTATAGGGTCTCCTGCTTGAGTAGGGGTTGGAATAGATGACCTCTGAGGTCCCTTCCAAGAGTGTTATTCTGTAATTAATTCATCCATTCATTTTTTCACATTTCTGAACCGCCCTTCTCCCTCAGAGAATGGCTCTGGGGGTTGTATGAGTTGAAGAGTCTCTATATTTAGATGCTAGGCGTTGCTTGGCCTCTGATCCAGGTTCTCTTCTGTGATAGGTGATGCTGGCAGGGAAAGATGCCCTCAGGGATGGATGACCTCCGTATAGAATCTTCCAAGAGAAACGGACGTGGAAAGCAGCAGAGGTAAGGTGGAGCCCTTGAGGTTCATGCTCCTTCAATGTGAACTGCAAACCACAGGTGCCAAGGAGCCAACCTGGAACCCACACATTTAAATCGGTGGAAGAGAATATCAGTCGCTCAGGGTTGGAACGGTGGGGTCCTTGGTGTTCTGTGAGCTGGATGGTTTCCTTGCTGACATTTTGTGAGCCAACTAGGGAACTGATCTGTCCCCGTCTACACACACACACAAACACAGCCAGCCAAGGGTTAAGAAAGTATTTGGCATGCACACAGGTCGTTATCTCAAACTTGGCAACAATATAAGCACCGTCTGCCAAGAGCTTTTACTGCAACAGATAACATAAAATTACATACGCATTGCAAATAGTCCAGCAAAACAATATCCCTTCGGCAGTTTCAGACGTTGTTCAAGTGACTAGCCAGAGTTAGTTTTTGTTCGTCACGGAGTTTTACCAGCCACAACCCTCTCTTATATAGTCTCTGGGGTGTGGTCCAGTGACTCAGTTCTAATCCCTAGCACGCCTCCTTAACTGCTGCAACCGTTTATCACGCCTTTGTTGGCGTGCATCCAGGAACGACGGCTCTCCTTCCTCGCTCTCATCCGAGACACCTGGCTCCTGACTAATCTCCTCTCCCTCGGCCGGCACCTGAGACAGTGCCAGAGGGGAGGGGCCTGGAGAGGGAGGCCTGGCTGACTCCTCTCCCTCATGTTCGGAGCCTTCTCCCTCCGATAAGATAGGCTCAGAGGGCGGGGCCACAACAGGAACAGCATCAGTGCTGGAAAGGAGGAGGAGGAGGGGGGCGAGGAAGAGGAGGAGGAAGAAGAGGAAGGAAGAGAAGGAGGACTGTGGGGTCCTTGGTGCTCTCTGAGCTGGATGGTTTCCCTGCAGACCCTGACCCAATTAGGGAACATCATCAGTGAGGGGCTGGTGGAGTGGAGGAGGAGGAGAAAGGCAGGAGGAGCAGGAGGGGAGGAGGAGGAAGAGCAGGAGGGGAGGAAAAGGAGCAGGAGAGGAGGAGGCGAAGGAGAAGGAGGGGAGGGGGAGGAGGACTGTGGGGTCCATGGTGCTCTGTCAGCTGGTTTCCCTGCAGATGTTTCATGACTCAGCTAGGGAACATCATCAGTGCTAGAAAAGAGAGGGGCTGATGGAGTGGAGGAGGAAGGGAGGAGGAGGAGGAGGGCTGTGGGATCCTTGATGCTCTCGGAGGGTCATCGTTTTCTTGTAAACATTTCATGACCCAACTAGGGAACATCCTCAGTGCTAGGAGAAAGGGCTTCATGGAGTGGAGGAAGAGGAGGAGGAATGGATTCCGCAATGCTCTTCTGCTCTTCCCTTTTCTCACGAGATCCAGGCAAGGCAGGAGCCCCCTTGATCGGCGTAACACAGCCCGTTCTGATTCCCCACAGAGAGGCTGCCGTAGCCTTGGTGAACGTGGCCACCTGGCCTCCATTCTCGATGCAGGAGAAACAAAGGACGTGGCCGTCTACATTACCTCATCCCCAAATAAGGACCTGGGGCCCGTTTGGATCGGAATGTTTTACAAGGGAAAGGTCAATATTCTTTTCCTTTCATTTTTAATCCCGTGGGGGGTGTTGAGAAATAGCAGGCCAAATGTGATTAGTTCCAATCCTGGCTTATTTTCTGCAAGCCTAGATCACTAATTGATGATGAAATGGCTGGTGCAAACCCAGATTGTGGGTGAATTCTGGACTCAGATTAAGCATTTTGTGCGAAGGCAAAGTCAGAAATGAGCGTTGTTCAGGAGAATTGGAAGGACTCCTGTTTCTGGAGGCCGGACCTGATTATGAAGGTCCCACCGGAGATTGAACAAATAAATGAAGGGATTTTCAGGCCTTTCTGAGTTTTGCTTGGACAAGTCAGGAATCTATTTGCTGGTCAGACTGTTGGATCTGTCTCTCGAACACTGGAAAAAACACTATTAAAGGTCCACATGTGTATACAGTGGGCTAGGCTACATACCTGCCAGGCTACAGGTCAGACTTCTTGTAGAGATAGTGGGGAAGGAAGGAAGGAAGGAAGAAAAAAGAAAGAAAGAAAGAAAGAAGAGAGAGAGAAAGAAAGAAAGAAAGAAAGAAAGAAAGAAAGAAAGAAAGAAAGAAAGAAAGAAAGAAAGAAAAAGAAAGAAAGATGAAAAGAAGGGAGGGAAGAAGGAAGGAAGGGGAGAAAGAATCAGAGTCAATGAGAAAGAAAAAGAAAAAAGAGAGAGGGAGGAAGGAAGGAAGGAAGGAAAGAAGAAAGGAAGGAGAGCAAGCAAGGAAGGAAGGAGAAAGAAGAAAGGATAGAGGGAAGGAAGGAGAAAAGTAAGGAAAGAGAAAGGAAGGAAAGAAGAGAGCAAGGAAGGAAAGAAAGAAAAAACGAGTGACGGAAGAAGGAAGGAAAACAAAGAATAAGAGTGAGGAAGGGAGGGAGGAAGGAAGGAAGGAAGAAAAAAGAAAGAGAGGAGAGAAAGAAAGGTGAAAAGAAGGGAGGGAGGAAGGAAGGAAGAAAAAAGAAAGAAAAGAGAAAGAGAAAGAAAGAAAGAAAGGATGAAAAGAAGGGAGGGAGGAAGGGAGGGGAGAAAGAATGAGAGTCATCGAGGAAGAAAAGAAAAAAGAGAGGGAGGAAGGAAGGAAGGATAAAAGAAAGGAAAGAGAAAGGAAGGAAAGAGAGCAAGGAAGAAAAGAAAGAATGAGTGACGGAGGAAGGAAGGAAAACAAAAAATAAGAGTGAGGGAGGGAGGAAAGAAATAAGGGAAAGAAGAGAAAGGAGAAGGAAGGAAGAGAAAAAGAAAAGAAGAGAAAGGAAAATGAGGGTGAGGAAGGAAGGAAGGAGGGAGAGCAAGAAAGAAGGAAAAAGAAGCCATCTTATGGAAGTTCCCTCATCCAGGCAGATCTCCCAAAATGTTCATCCTCAGAAGGCCAGCAACAACCAACTGACCACAGATGGTGAGTCAGGAGAGGTAGAAGACTCAGCAAGACCCATAGAAACCTGCAACTTCAAAGGCCCAGCAAAATGGCGGAGCCTTCTGGAGCTCATGGGAACCATCCCCGTAGACTGAGGGGAGCTGAGAGACACTCGAGAGCCACACCTGTGGAGAGATTGTCTCAATCTACCTTTTTTGTTTCGCTGAATCAATTAAAAAAAATAATAATCTGATTTTGGGCAGGCGAGCGGGCAGGGAGACTTCCCTTACGTAAAAGGAGATCTTCTTATTTTCCAGAATTCCCCTCAGGGAGATTGGTGGTGGATAGACTCCTACAAAATTCTTTATTCCAATTGGATAAAAGGCTTACCGAAAATATCGTACGGAAAGTACTGTGTCTACTTAGAGGAATACGGTAAGGCGTCTCCCATAAAGATGGCCGCTCAGCTACTACAGGGAGTCCTCGACTTATGACCATCCTCGGGCCCAAAATTCCCATTGCTTAGTGAGATGGTTTGTTACGTGAGTTTGACCTTTCTTGCCACAGTTGCTCCGGGAATCACCGCAGTTATTAAGTGAGTCACACGGTCGTTAAGTGGAATCCGGCTTCCCCCTCATGCTTATCATGAGGTCGCAAAAGGGGATCGCATGACCCCGGTATGCTGCGACCGTCATAAATGTGAGTCAGCTGTCAAGCGGCTGACTTTGGCTCACGTGACCCTGGGGAGGTCATAAGTCTGAAAAATGGCCATAAGCTACATTTTTCAGTGCTGTCGTAACTTTGAACAGGGAACCCAGATTCACTTAACAATCCTGTCCCTAGTTTAACAAGTGCAGGGATTCACTTAACAACGGTGGCAAGAGAGGTCGTAAAATGGGGCAAAACTCACTTAACAAATGTCTCACTTAGCAACAGAGATTTTGGGCTCCATTGTGGTTGTAAGTTGAGGATTACCTGTATATAAAAATCTTGGTTAGGTCCCCTTCCTAATTCTCTTAATTTGACCTCCGGCATTTAAGACTTCTCCAGTCCAGGATTCTGATAAGGAACAGAACAGAACAGAACAGAACAGAACATGGGATAGAATAGAACGGAACGGAACGGAACAGAACAGAACAGAACAGAACAGAACAGAACATGGGATAGAATAGAACGGAACGGAACAGAACAGAACAGAACAGAACAGAACAGAACAGAACAGAATAGAATAGAATAGAATAGAATAGAATGATGGAAATGGAAAGGAAAATGGAATGGAATGGAATAGAATAAATAGGATAGGATAGGATAGGATAGGATAGGATAGGATAGGATAGGATAGGATAGGATAGGAAAATGGGAATAGAATAGAACAGAGAAAATGGATAGGATAGAAAATAGGAATATAGCAATAAAATATAGCAATAGAAAAGAGCAGAACAAAACAGAATAAAGAATTAAGACTAGACTACTAACTTGTCACTTTGAATGTGCACTAATTGGCATACATTAAAATGAAATTTCTTTGCATACAGCTCTCAAAGGATCACCACCTCTAATATACAGTATACACTACATAAACAATCTACACTACATAAACCGTCTTAGTAAGCCAATTTCCCTAAGTTGAAGGTGCCCAAAATCCCCCTTCCACCACGATTCAAACAACAACTTTCACTCAGGTGTCAAAGCTCATTGTGGTGAATACCGGAAGGTCTGGCTGATTGCAGGAGGGGACATTCTAATGATTTATTTATTGTTTATTGGTTCGATTTATATGCTGCCCTTCTCCGGAGACTCAGGGTGGCTTACAATGCGTTAAGCAATAGCCTTCATACTTTTGTATATACTGTACCTGCTTAGTAGGGCTTTCACGCCCCCCCCCAAAGCGGTGTTCTTTTTTATACAAAGTCAGCTTATTGCTCGCACAATCCGGGTCCTCATTTTACCTACCTCGGAAGGATGGAAGGCTGAGTCAACCTTGAGCCTGGTGAGATTCGAACTCGCAGTAGTTGCAGGCAGCTGGTGTTACTTAACAGTGCTTTAGTCTGCTGCGCCACCAAGGCTCTTTATTGTAGCTGCAGAACCTTGTAGGTGCAGACCCTCAAAATTGGACCTTGGGGTGCGAAGGCCGAACTAGAACATCGAGGTCTGTTAAGGCCCCCTTTTCTCTGCCTTTCAGATTATAAATACTGGAAAGAAACGGACTGCATCAGAGACTTGGCTTACCTTTGCAAGTATGAGCTGAAGTATCAACGTCGCTGATCCTTCTTGGCGCTCCTCAGAAGCCTCGATCGAGACGGAATGGGACAACTTGCCACGGCCAATTCGGTGTGGGACAGTTCCACAATTCAATTTAATGATTTAAAATAATTAAAATAATTATTTTGATTGTGGACATTCACGTTTCATTTTTGTCTCTTCCTTTGGCATCCTTCTCTTAATGCTCCTATTCCGCGATTTCTTCGATATTAGTGTAACTCTTGTTCTGTGGTGAGTTGGCCAGGGCAAGTTGGCTGCAGCAAGAATAGAAGTTGGAAGGGACCTCGGAGGTCTTCTAGTCCAACTCCCTGCTCAGGCAGGAGACCCTACAACATTTCAGGCAAATGGTTGTCCAATCTCTTCTTGGAAACCTCTAGTGATGAAGCACCCACAACTTCTGAAGGCAAATCGTTCCACTGTTCCCACTGTTAGGAAGTGAGGACCTTAATTCTAAGTTGCTTTTCTCCTTGATGAGTTTCCATACATTGCTCCTTGTCCTGCCTTCAGGTGCTTTGAAGAATATATGCCCCCCCCCTCTTCTTTGTGGCAGTCCCTCAAATATTGGAAGACTGCTATCATGTCACCCCTAGTCCCTCTCTTCATTAAACTAGAAGTTGGCTGGGAATGTCCTTGGTTCCCAGGAGAAAGCAGGGGTGAAATGCTCCCAGTTCGGCCCGGCTCAGCTGAACTGGTAGCAATGACGGCTGGTAGTTTGGAGAACTGGTAGCGATGGCATCTCAAAGCTCTGCCCACCCACCCGGTCGTCGTTGCTTCCTATTTTTAACCAGGAAGTAACCTGTTTTTTACCTTCTGTATATGCGCAGAAGGGTTTGGGCATGTGCAGAGGGTCAGATAGGTGCATCATGTGCGCACGCGGAGCGCGTGCACTTCTGAACCAGTAGGGAAGGTATGTAGTTTTCACCCTTGGGAGAAAGTATATTGTTTTGGCTACAAACCCCAAATATCTCCCTTCCCTATCCCCCAACTCCAGTGTGGCAGCACTGAAGCATCAAAATGGCCTTGGTCAGCTTCAGGGTTGACAGGCGGCCCCCCTTAATTGAAAAGGAATTCCTGCAAAGGGAAAAAAAATGTATGTTACCCAAAGCTCAGTCTAATCTCCCCTTCCTCCCACTGGGGCCCCTTAGGTTTCTGGGGATACTCATTGTGAAACTATTTCACCAGTCTATGTGCCTTTACAGCCCTTGACACCCATCTTAAAGCATTCCTGCTGGGGAATTCTGGGAGTTGAAGTCCACATCACTTATAGTTGCGGAGGATCGGAACACAATTCTAGCTAGTGCCTGACAAGCTAAAGAAATGTGGGATAGACAGCATCTCCAACAGATGGATTTGTA